GCTCCCTAGCTGCCTCTCTAGTGTTATTCGCAAAGAAGCTAGAAGGAGGGCTACGCTTCTGCGTAGACTATAGAGCTCTTAACGCAATCACTAAGAAGGACTGATACCTGTTACCCCTAATCTAGGAGACCTTTAACAACATCGCTAAAGCAAAATGGTTTACAAAGATTGATGTATCAGCTGCTTTTCACAGGATAAGGATCAACGCGGGAGACGAATGGAAGACAGCCTTCCGCACCCGATTTGGATTGTACGAGTGGCTAGTCACCCCTTTTGGTATGGCAAACGCACCTAGCACCTTTTAGCGGTATATCAACTGGACGCTTCGTGAGTACATGGACGACTTCTGCTCAGCCTACCTGGATGATGTCTTGATCTACACCAACGGTACCCTGAAGGAGCACTAGCAAAACACAAACAAGGTCCTTGAGGCCATGGGCAAAGCTGGTTTACCTTTGGATATCAAGAAATGCGAGTTCGACGTTAAATGTACAAAGTACCTTGGGTTTGTGATTGAAGCTGGCAAAGGACTGAAAATGGACCCTGACAAGGTTAAGGCTATTAAGGAATGGGAACCCCTAGTGAACGTAAAGGGAGTGCGCAGCTTTCTAGGATTTGCGAACTTCTACTGACGTTTTATCAAGAACTACTTAGAGATAGCAGCTCTACTTACAAGGTTAACTGGAGATGTTACCTTCCGATAGGGAGAAGTAGAGCAACAGGCGTTCGACAAGCTAAAAGAGATCTTTATTACCGAACCAGTACTCGCTTAATGGGACCTGGATCGAGAGACTATCTTAGAGACTGACTCGTCTGGTTACGTAGTTGCTGGAGTACTATCTTAGTACGATGACTAAGGGCTGCTACGACTAGTCGCCTACTACTTAAAAAAGATGACTAGCGCTTAGAGCAATTACGAAATCCACGATAAAGAATTGCTTACAGTAATCTGCTGCATAGCTGAATGGGACGGAATGCTGAGGTCTTTAAAGAAGTTTACGGTAATTACCGACTACAAGAACCTAGAGTACTTTGGGAAGCCTCGGCAGCTTAGCGAACGCCAAATGAGATGGGCCTAGTTTCTCGGAAAGTTCCTAAACATGGAGATCGCCTACCGGCCTGGAGCTGACAATGTCAGAGCTGATGCTCTTTTAAGAAGACATCAGGATATGCCAGCTAATGGTTCAGATGCACGGATCTCTTGACGTTTCCTGCAGGTCTTTAAACCCGCTACTGCTACGATAGACAAAGACCTAGCTGACGACGAAGCACTGAAGATCTTTTGGTGTAGTGTTGAGAGACCGACAGTTTTCTCCTACTTAGTGTCTGCACCCCCAACCCTACTAGCTCAACACAGGTTAGAGCAACTATGGGAGGAAGCTAGGGAAAAAGATCAGGTGTACTAATCGGCCTGGAAAGCGGTTAGGGACGGTGAACGCAAGTTTCTAACAGCCTTAGACCTCAAGCTATTAATCTTAGAGTGTCGCTTAGACGACTCTGGTAACCTATTATATTGAGATCGAAAATGGGTACCAGACAGTGAACCTCTAAGGACTGGCATTATACACAAAATGCACTCTTCAAGGGCCTTAGGACACCTAGGAAGAAACCTCACATACCAAGCTGTTGCACGGGAGTATTTCTGGCCTTTATTAAGCAACTCAGTTCGCCAGTATGTACGGAACTATTCTGTTTGCGGACGAGTGAAGCCTTGGAGAGATGGCCTCCAAGGGTTACTACGGCCTTTACCAATTCCTGAACGCATCTGGAAGGAAGTCTCTATGGACTTTATAACAGGCTTGCCTGAAAGTGAGGGCTGTACCAACCTAATGGTGGTAACAGACCGCCTTAGTAAGGACGTAGTACTTATGGGCTTAGCAGACATTACGACAGAGAGTGTAGCTAAGGCGTACATGAATCACGTCGTTGTATACCACTGGCTACTGGACTACATTACTTCAGACCGAGGCTCACAGTTTGTAAGCCACATGTGGGCTAGGCTTTGTGAACTAATGAGTATTGAGCGAAGACTATCGTCAGGATACTACCTAGAGACCGATGGATCTACGGAGAGAATGAACGCGATAGTATAAGCCTACCTCCGCGCTTTCTGCGACTGGAATCAGAGCAATTGGAAATCCAACCTAGGAATGGCTAAAATCGCAATTACAGCAAGGGAAGCGCGGTCTACAAGGATGTTACTATTCTTTATGCAGCACGGATACGAAGTGGACCCTGTTCAGATTGCTATTAAGTACGGCCTGGAAAATAAGCCTAAGGGAAAGAGAGTGCAAGACGAGCATGAAAAGGCTGAGAACATCGTAGAAAGATTGAGGCAGAGCATTCAGCTAGCTCAAGCGATCATGGGAGAGGCCTAACAAGACTAAGAACTGCAGGCTAACAAGAGACGGAAACAAGCTCCTTAATTGCGAGTTGGTGACAAAGTATGGTTAAAGCTAGGCGACTACTTTAAGACTAAGAGGCTAAGCAGAAAACTTGACTGGAAGAACTTGAAGTATACGGTACTTGAGATTGTAGGACTAAGCGCAGTTAAGCTAAACACTCCTGGACGAGTTTATCTAGTATTCAACGTCAACATGCTGAGGCTCGCTTCATCGGACCCGTTACCTAGTCAGCCACAAGATGATAACGAGCTAGAGCCTATTGAGGTGGATGGAGAAGAGATGTATCTGGTAGAGGAGATCCTGGAGGAGAGAGGCTAGGGGCACAGAAAGCAGTACCTGGTAAAATGGGAAGGCTATCCCGATCTAACTTGGGAACTAGCTGTAAATCTGAAAGAGACTGATGCTCTTAAAGATTGGAAACACGCCACACAGGAGGGATCTAAGCCTAAGAAGGGGGGTACTGTAAGAGGCTGAAGCCTTGGTTAGTAGTACTTGGCCTGTGGCCTTCGTTATAGCTGGTTGGGATAGGCTGCAACCCTCGGAGCGTTGTCGGGGCTTCATCGGCGCTCCACGGACCCTTAGAAGTTTCTCGAACCTAGCACTACGTGATACATAGACTTAGCGCAAGCGTAGTGTAGCTTCTCTATCGAATTCATTACTGTTATACCTTGCACTTATGGTCAACCCATCGCACCCTTACACTCATCCTGCAGCGTTTTGCAGTTATAGCTCAAAATGACCCGTTGAACGCAACATAGTACCCGTGCAAAGATATAGGAGATTAAGATTACGGCCGATATACGTCATTCTCAACTTTTCCCAGCCCCCTGAGCGAGCATCCCACTCACGTGACTCCAATCGGAAAGGTCCCTTTGCGCCACCATAAAAATCTCACCGGAAACCCACAGCGGCACGCATGCCGCAAGTACCTCTAGAATCAGACCCTGGTCAAGAAAAATCCGCAGTGAGAGCTATCGGGCCCTTGCGTCTTTGCATGGTTAGCATCGGTGAACCACCATCACGAAATTCGTCTCACAGGAATTCGGGTAGATGAGTAGACCAACATGCAGATTCTTGGGCAAGTTTCGAGTCTAGAGCTCCGACGCAAGTACTAGATGAAGGATGGCCAGCTCCTTTTACTCAAGCTGTTGACTAGGCTCTCGCTCTCGTCGTTAAAATTGTAGTTTGTAGGCGGGATGATTGTACGCACTGACCACAAGAGAATATGCATGTTGTATTGTGATACTCGGATATAATGCACGTACATGCTTGAAAAAGCAAGTGACTCGAATGACGGACATCAGTACAAGCACATACGAAGACGCAGCCACAACGGCTTGCACGCTTTCAAGGCTCATTTGCACTGAACAAGGCAAAGCGACCCCATGCTTCGGTCATCTCGCTGTCAGAGCTCGGGCATCCAGTAGCATGCAAGATAATTCTAATTGCCCAAGCCACAACCTCTTCTAGGTGCTCTATCATGCGGTGCACGACGAAGCGTGGTCCTCATATGCCGGGGGGATAAGCCCGTGCAATTGCTGTGGACCTATCACTCGGCCGATCATCTTCTTCAACCACATATCTGTCACCGATCCACGTCTGATTTGCTGGTGAAAGGACATAGTAGGTGAGTTCCAGCCATCTTGGCCCTCGTATCGGCCTTGAACAATGCAGTGGTGGCTTGACCAGAGCACACACTGACTCATCACTCCTGTCGACAACGCACGCGAATCATCGGTGGCAAGTCGTACAGCTTTATCACTTTCGATTCCTGCAGCAAGGAGACAACAGGCCGTCTAAACCAATGGTTACGCGCCTGCGTTGCATGGTATCTCCTGTATTGGCTCACCCGTGTTATATGGCGACAGAATCATATTTGAGTTGGGTGTGCAAGTAAATCTGCTTCCTATTTTCTATCTCCTGCTTTCATCCTTGTGAAGCTTCGAGTCTCTTCCGGTTCGTTCATCACATTGCCATTCTGTTTTCGACGTGGAAGTGCCTCCGTTGTTCCAGTCAAAATCGAGTGTACAGATCGGATAATTCGTCACACAAGAGCAGTTCTATGTAAGTATTCCCACTTGACACTTGGATTGAAATGCACTGCACAAATCCTAAGTCGTCGTTTTCGGTCATAAAAAGATACAGAGAAACCTCGTCTGTATGAGTGACCATCATCGCTGATCAATTGTACTGACATACCTTGAAAGATGAACAGGCTTTATCTTCTTCTCCCTTACATACGGCATGATTGACACGCATATCCCACCGTATACTTCACCCAGGCAACCTCGCTGAGATAGTATGGGCAGGTCTCGATCTCAGTTACGAAAACATCGTCGTTCGCAAGGGAATCGAGAATCTCGCCATCCTTGCTACCCTCGTAGGTCCTTGGAAGTCACAGAAAGTCTTCACAGATTGCGGGAGCATCCACTGAGGCCAGCTGGGTCCTCTCAACGTTCCTCTGATGAAGCATCATCCGAGGGATCAGGAATATACCGGCACCCTTTTCTGATTGATGGCTTACCTCGATCCTCTTCTCTTGATGAGATCAGTGCAGTTTCGCTGTCCACATCAACGTCCGCTTCACAAGTAACCATGGGTGATTCAATCCACCAGTCGTTGTCCCCATCATCGGTAATATGCACAAACCAAGAAGATTCCGCAAGGCAAACTTTCAATCGCCCGCTTCCTCTTCGGCCGTCTGTACATGGTCGAGAACAACTTGAGTCGGATGAGATTACTCACCCACCAAGTAACGAAGAGCAGATGGAAGATAGATTGACATACCAGTCAAGTCCCGCAGTTGTTCCATCGTTGGGCAACCTGAATTGGCTTTACAATGATGCCAGTCTTTCAGAAATGTTGAGTCCAAGATCGAGATACAGACATGATCCTAGACCAGATCACATCACATCAGATCTCTCCATTTATCACCCGAGCTACCAGGAAGTCGACCAGAAAGTGAAAGAGATTAAGGATGAGTTAGCACTTATATGCGAGGAGGGAGCCAAACAGGGTAACGCGTCATGGGGTGAGCTAGCCCGGACTATAAGAACCGATCGTTCACCTTATGTTAACAAGCCGATACGTGTTGGCGTTGTGGGAGACATTGGGCAAGGGAAGTCCTACCTCATTGGAGCACTGCTCGACGATGTAGAAATTGTCATGCATGTAGGTCCATCTAGCAGATCACACAGCTAGTACTTGAAGCTAATGAGAATTTAGGGAGACGACGGCGAAAGCTGTACGCGCGTCATTCTCGAGTACCATTACTGGGCTGGATTACCAGGGTCCAGATACATGGCTTTAGTCACTTTTTTCAGATGGGAACTTGTGCGAAGGCGACTGGAGGAAGCCTTCCAGGACATGAACAACGGTCTGTTCCCTTTCGAAGACGATGGCGAACATGGACTTGACGATAACATTTCCGGCCGTGTGGACGAAGACTATACAGAGGCTAAGACGGAAGCCGCCATTGGTATCTTTATGGCAATCTTTCGAAACCATCCGGATTTCAAGGGCAGAAATGCCATAACAGATTTCTTGTCCAGGAGCACACAGTCGTATTCACGCCATGACGTCCGAGACGACCTTATTGGCCAAGCCCATGATATGTATCGCAAAGTCCGAACTGACACTCGCGCGATATGTGCTTGTACGCCAGATGAGCTCTGGTCTGGTATATCCCGCTTCACACATGGTCGTCCAGCTGATGCCAGGACGAACGATAACGACCCCTGGCCTTTTGTTGAGCTCGTATCGTGAGTACTGCTCAGAAAGTATCTAGACTAAGAGCTTACGATTCTAGGATCCGCGGAAAATTTGCTATTCTCGAGAACAATATGATTCTCGCTGATACCCCAGGTCTTGGTTCAAATGCTACGTGCCGAAGGAAGTAACTGACATCTACTAGGGCAGAACGATATCAACCTGCTTGCTCGCGCTAGCGTAGTGGACTACCTGCCACACTGCTCAGCCGTCATAATATCGAGCAGTATCGATCGTATTATATCCAATAACAGCATGTTGAAAAAGATCACGGAAATGCAACGAGATCGTCTCGTGATCGTAGCGGCTACGTTTTCTGAGGTTTGCAGCAGCAATCCGATCGAAGAGCAACCGTACTGACTTCAAGAAAGAGGATAAATCTGAAATCCAACGGATCCAAACTAGAATTCGAGCCGGACGAGAAGACATATTTTCAGAATTTAAACACACAGCTCGAGCTACTTAGTCGGGCAGAGCTCAACCAGGACCTGCCCCCTGAAACTCAACAGCTGATCCAGTAAGTGACACTGAGCAGATTCGAAATGTCTCTAACAGTTTTTGTAGGCTCAAGACACGCTTGTTAAAGTTCCAGTAAGTTTGGGAATCGGAGAATGCGGTTTGATTCATATTGACCAAGATTTAGGAAGACTGAGCTTCTAGTCCAGGCACGGAATAGGCGCGTCACCAAAAAGACCAAGGAACGGAATCGGCTCGGCATCGAAAAGATCATGGATTGGAAACGGCGCGTCGTCACCAATGCCATAGAGCCTACGATCCTACCTCTCGAAATGTTTTGCGTATCCGCTTATGACTACCAGTGTGATGTCAGTGGATTTGCCTTTAAAGAACCCGCCATTTTCCCTCTCACGCCAAACCATACTGGAATACCTGCGCTCAAGCAGTGCCTGGTTTCACAATGTGCGCCGAATCGAGCCCGAGATCTTGTTCGCTTCGTAGCCTTCACATTGCCAGACTACATACGTAGCATGCAGATGGGATCCTACGAGCGTACCACTGCGATCCAGCCAACATTTTCAGAAGAAACTGGAACACTGCGCGATGTAAATGATCCACCATGCTAAAAGACTTCAACTAATATTCTATCAGTTCTGTTTAACAAACGTAAACGCTCGCATCAACAGACTGTTCGACGACATTGAGAAGCGGCTACTAGACACATTGCGTATGATACTTGTTACCCTCAGCATGCCTCACACTCATTTGACGTAGAAGACTGTTTGCCTGCATGTATTCAACATGCTAGGAGTATGTGCCACGAATGGCTCACGACGGTATGATTGAAGGACTCACCGGGTGGCAGGGGCTGACTTTTCTAGTTCCACCACAGTACGCACAGATCACACATGCGGAATCAGGGTGAGACAACCAGCGTTCATTGTTTAGAGGGTGTTCAAGCTAATAGGATCCAAGGAAGCTCCAAATTCCCCAAAGGCCCCGTCCGCAGTTGGAACTACCTGTTGCTCAAGCCGATACAGGACAATCTCGAGACTGTTCTCCAAGCCGTGGAAGAAAGTATGCAAGACGAGCTCCGCTACGTGAGATGGGAGATTTCATCAGCGACTGAATATCTTGATTCGAAAATTCGCGGTACGACTTCTTTGGAAGACTATATCGTCTGGCTGACACTGCAAAGGCAACGGCCCTAGACCGATGACAGTTGAGCTAGATGCACTCCTGAAAAGCCTCAATTACAAAGCCGTAATGTTTCAGGACGTCATGGACGCGTGCGCTCAGAATATGATCGTCTTCATGCGGTAAGTAGATTGATAGCCTACATCAATCGCAATCTGCTAATGTCGAGCACAGAGATCAGAAGAACCGCTGTTGTACGGACACAGTCGGAATATCCTATTTTCGAAACGCCATGACTGCCGTATACACTAATAGTGCAGGTATTAGACCAGCACAGCGCAGGAAGCAAACAGTTCAGCAAGCGCAGATGGCAGTTTTTGAGCGGCAGGTCTGCGACGAACGGCCCAATCCGTACGAGGCCATTCTTTTGGGCTTAAAAGCGGCTATCGAATTGCAAAAGCAATATGTCAAAAACTTCGTCGTGGAGAAAATTTGGATCCTTTTCATGGCCATCGATGATGATCTAGAGCGATCGAGGGAAGAACGAGTGTTCCAGAACGATCAGGAGTCTCAATCGATGCGTAGGCTAAGGAGTCAAGCCGTGTCGGAAGCAATGCAGGTACTCGAGACTTTAGAGGCGAAATTGACCGAGAGCAAGATCGATGTGGAGGCAATCAAGGCCCAATTGTCAGGGTCAACCACGCTGTAGAGACAGTCGAGTTCGTTAGATATTCCGGGCCAAAGATGGAATGTCCTTTTGCTTGCGCTCGTAGGTATTTCAGTTCTATGGATGGTTAGGACTAACATTTGTGCTTTGAGCAAATTGTTGAGCGTGGCCATGTTCTCTATAAGAAACGGTTGGGTAGTCCCAGTGCTGGAGTTGAGATGGTGCAGGTGGGAGTAGCATTGCGACACAATGGTGTATTGCCCTGGGGCAATACTGTGTAGTGAAGGGGCACTATGCCATAGTTGCGCGAGGAAGTCTCACTATGGCATACAGACAGTGTACATGTGTCTACGGGAATCTTCGAGACACTGGGCTAAGTTCGGCATTTCTGAGCGAGCAATCCTGCTTGCATGCTATGACAAGTTGCATCTTCTCTTTGATTCTTGATAGGGAGCTTGGAGGTTTCGGCTAACCTGGAACGATATCATAAATGAGGTTTACTATGTGGCTGAACTTTGTTTTCAACCCATTATCGCAGCAATTTCGAACAGCACCTACAAAGTTTGGTGTTCAAGAGAGAATACCAGGCGGGTTCCTCCAGAGAAGACCCCAATCAGCTAGATTCAAGTACCATAAAGCGCACATGGGGTTTCTATCAGGCTCAGGATTAGGGGTGTACGTATACACGGAAAACCAAGGCCTAATGGAGTCCCGATAGACATGGGAGTTAGTTTTATCGGCGCTGTAGTCATCGCGCATGCGCATTTTCATCACGCCTGCCATGCCTTAGACGTAGTCTTTCAGGCCGGAAAGCTGATATATGGCGAGGCGTGAAGCGACGTATCTTGGTGTCTGTTGTAGTGTTGCAATCGCAGGGAATAAGACGGAACACTAAACGTCGGATAGACTGAACTGTTAGGTAGATGTGCTAGTACTATCCATGCGGGCTTGGAGTTGTTGCGAGCCTGAATTCGTTTGCGACAAGACGGTCAGCTGCTACTGCAGGTAGCGGCACCTCTCCAGGTTAGGTGATGCATCAAGTCAGGCCAGAGAGCAGCGTACCTCCTCCCCTTTCACGGTACTGGTCCTCTGACCGCTTTTCAGTTACCAATAGTGTGTTTCTTGCGGGGTCGCAAAGCTGAGGTCTTGCAGCGCTTCTAGGCAGCCTCTTGCTTAGCCACAGCTACGGGACTAAGTTGTCTAACGCAGCCCTCTTACCGAACAATACAGCTTAAACCCAACTTCTACTAGTTCTAAGGCTATAACGTCTACTTTTGACTTTTGTTCTTAGTGTCAGTTCTATATTATAGCTTCTAGCGGCACAACAACAGCAAGTTTAAAGCTAGGCGTATCGCAAGAGAGTATAAGCCTAGAATCTACAATCTAGGAACGCCTTAAGGGTTTTTCCCTAATTAAATCCGCGCACCTCAAAAACGCTACTTTAGAGCTCTTCGAGGCACATATCAAATATACCAGTTACATCGCTTTCTCTCATGTCTAGGGCGATTGGTCCTGGCGTTCGATTGATGGTATACCATACGAGGTAAAAGCATCGCAGGAGAAAGCGCATTGCATCGCAAACGACCTACCAGCTTTAGTGGGTGATAGCACCTTCTGGATAGACACGTTGACTGTCGATCAGGAAATCAAGCAGAAGTCTCAGAGATCGTGGATGCCATTCCGGATATCTTCAGGATGGCTAGAAAGACAATTGCAGTCAGAGGATGCGACGGGCTATACGACTGCAATATCGCTGCTGTCGACGGTTTTGAGGACTATAATGAATTTATAGAAAAGCTTCATGCCCATCACGATGCGCACACTGACTACATCTGCGCAGAGTCCTATCTCCAGAGGTTGTGGATGCTACAAGAGTGCTTACTCTCTCATACAATTGAGTTCGTAGTTGGAAAAGGAAGTATGTCATCGTTTCTTCGCTTGATGCTTATGATTAAACAGTACCAAGATCAACCGAAGAAGCTGGCAGTGCGGGTACAGGGCAATGACAAGTTTAACGAAGTCTACCGGCACATTGCAGAAGTAATAATCCTCACAGATGCTCTCTGGACGCTGGCTCATTTGTTAGGCGGCTCTAAGGGCGAAACTGTCAAGAATGAGTTTCTCGAGGCTTATGTTTATGGCGGCACCGTTGTCAACAAACATATCGCACAGCGTAGCTCGGAAGAAGATATTCAATCCTGTAGTTTTTTGGGGCCAATCAAGCATCCCATAGCTCCGCTACCATGCCTCGCGACTACATCTTCGCGACGATGCCCTCCTTTCCGTGGTACACATATCCGAAAAAGAGGCCTTGTCAATGTCCTTTGGAGAACTCTATCTGGATCTTTACCAACAAGCTGCACGCTGCGGGCATGCCTCCACGTGCAGGTTCACACGCTCTATGGTCGAATTTGCATGCACGGATTCCATGAATGGATGGTTACCGAGTCAATATCTTCCAATTCCGACGACACTAGGCGATTTTCTGGAATTAATGAGACAACGTGTACCCGAGAGCTCTAATGTTTCTTCACCACATATGCACATCACATCGGCTGTGCGCGTCGAGGATTTTGAGTGCCGAAGCTCCCCTGCCCTACTATGCGTTAGTTAACACCTCCCGTCGCTAAGTAAGCGGGCGTTAGTAAAGACTTGTTTCTTGTAGATACTAAGACTAAGGTCCTAGTTAGCCTAGTCCTAATTTTCATGCCTACAGATTCAACGAAGGAGTATCATCAAAAGGTTGTCTGTACTCTTTACGTTGGGTCTTGGTATACAGAGGATAACTTACTGTATATTGCGCCTTGTTCGCTTAGTAGCCTGACGATCTCTGAAGCGTGAACTGTCATGATGTGTTGAAGTAGTAGCAAATAACCGTGGTATATAGAGTTTTTGCACAACAAACATCTTCCATGTGAGATTCCACCAGTCTGCTCTTACAGAATTTGGGATGTATGGTACTTTATGCTGTACTCAATAGATACTTCTTTTGCTATAAATTTAGGGCCTGTGTAGCGATCGTACTACAAAGCTGTAGAACATATAATAAGTTGGCTAGCTAATAGGAGCTTAGGCGAGTTACGGGCAAGAGGAGCGACTCGTGTGTAGAAGAGGAGACAGTAGTAAGCTAAAGTGTATAATTATGCAAGAGATAGAAGTAAAATACAGCTTTTTTTAGCCTATTCTCCTCCTATTAGACATGCCTCCGCATACTATAAGATTATCCTACAACAATATGCCCTAGGGACGCATAAGGAGCATATGATGAGCATATGATGAGCCACACGGAGGAGGAGGAGGAGGAGGAGGAGAGAGAGGAGCCAGGGGCAGCTATACGGGCGTGAAGGAGATGAGATGGGAGTGGGGTATATAGACCCTAACCCAGTGAATGTAGCTAATCGGATATCCCCTCTTATCCGTCTGGTTCAATACAGGACTCTAGACCTTGGCATCACACAAAAAGATCATACATATGATGATCACTACATAGGCCCTTATTGTAGAAGAACAGCAACGCATTCATTTCAACTATAAAAGGTCTAAATTGTACCACTATGAAACATTACACTCGCTTGTGCAAGGCGTTCTAGTACATGTGGTCCGGTACGTCCTGGCACCTCATTGTTCGAAGTTGAAAGACCGCCCCCAGTTTGTCGCACCATAGTGCCTTGCCAGGCCCTTACTGCTCGCAACTGAGTTAACTTGTTCGACTACAGCCAATCCTTCCGACCTTCTTCTTCATCATATCTGATTTCACACTGTCTTTGCAAGCCTTTCCGATAAAGTATGCCGCGACCGGGGTTGCCAAAATACCCACTAAACCAAGAGGTGCTGCTGGGGTAAAGAATAATACCCCACTGACCAAGATTAACGCGCTACCAGCCGAGGACCCGGCAATTGTGGCAAGTGAGTTCGCGGCTAGCCGTTCTCTACCCCGAAACATCATCTCCAGCCCTGTGGATCTGAAATCTCCCTTGACGTCGAACTTTGCAGACACATAAGGCTCGCCATCTAAGTGAGTCTGACCGTAGATACGTAGAGGCAGGATGCCTGGCGGTATATGAATTGTGTTGTCAATGCGATACTTATGGCCAGATGGAAGTAGCACGTGCAAGATGGCCTTCCGTCCAACTGACTGCCGGGTCCAAACAAGTGAAGTACCGAGTTCATTCAAGTCGTTGAAGCATCCAATAAACTCCTTCCTCTCATACAATTGATTTTGAATAGCCGCGAACGTTTCAGAACCGGGGTGATAGACAGCAAAGTAGTGCAATCTTTCCGGTTCACACTCGCTAGTGGTCCGGACTTTGTCGTTGAACATGTGGATGACGTGATCAGGAAAATTCTCCTGGTAGGAAAGGTTCGCTTTGCTGTCCAGTGTTTTGGCATTGAATTGCGTGTTCACTCCGATGTCTTTCATCACTTGATCCGCCTGAAAGTTTTCTCCTGCGACTGCAATTGCTTTGATGGGATCGACCGCTTTGCTGAGTTCAGCACCCATTTTGGCGACGGTTCAGGAAATTTCGTCTTATTTCGTCGATCAGTCGCTGCATGCAGGTTTCGTTCTAGCCAATTTGTACTTACAATTACGGGGAAAGTGTGTTCGGGGTCTGATGCTTCAAATATTCCTGGTTGTATACTGAGCGGCGTTTTGGATCTGAAAGAAGTTTCGATTCGTGGTTGTACTTCAGGAAGTAGATGAAATGATGAAGGAGTAGTTTTAAGTACTTGAGTGGAATTTATAGGATAGAGCAAAGTGGCTAAAAAATAGTATTCTAACAATTCTGGCACCCGACCAGGGCAGCCAAGCTGCTGAGCTGATGCGGTGAGTGTTTGTGGAACAGTTCAACTGCCTCGCGAGGCGTTCTTGAAAGTTGAGAAGCCACAGTCAACGCTAAAGACTCTCTGCCATCTAGACAGTGCGCAGCACCCAGCAGTAAGCGCTATGAGCGTCACGACCCATCAACCTCTAAACCTTTCGATTTTTGAGTGGTATCGAAAGTGGCTCAAGTGATTACATTTCAGGACTGATAGATGTGTCGACACTTTGAATGGGATGGCGTTGGGGCTAGGCCTGCACGCAGATGTATACCTAGGTAGCTATTTGCTTTTTCCCAGCTATGAACTTCCCGAGGTATCTTCATTGCTAAACGCCACTACACATAGAAGACTCTGAGGGAGAGGTGCCAACGTGACTACCATCTGCCTCAAGTCTCATGAGTGGGCCATTTCGTCTCATCCATTGCTGCAGATGCTCCTGGCACAGACTTCCGATGCCGCTTAGCATACTGCGTCATCTTTTCCAACACAACCTTCCCACAGCAAGTATGCCTAGCCTAAGAGGGGCTGAGCCATGTCTATGGAGAAGCATCAGGTCTAATTCGTAAAATGGAGCTTCGCGTCGGCGTTCAGGTTGAGCCACTATTCCTTCAGCTTCGTTGCCGAACCCCAAAGATGCATAAAGTTTGAGTTTGTCTCTTTGCCCAGTTCATAGTAGTCTGAGTACTGCCATTACAAAGGAAGAGAGATTCAGAATTAACGACCATGTGTAAGGTTATGATCGAACTATCGTTGCTTTATGACATTGGCGTATCTTTCCCTGGAAAGTCCATTCTGAGACGAGCGACGCGTGAGTCATCGCATTCTAATTCCGAACCAAAAGTCGCAAGACTAAGCATGTCTATCCGTACTAGGAGGAGAAATAGAGGCCATGTGAAGTCTAAAGGCTGTGTAAGTTACCTCTGATGACCATCACATGCTCTTTGAGCCCCATCACTGCAACCACGGTACTGCGATGACCCATGACCAACCGAGAGCCACTCATAACTACTTCACACTCATACGCTTCTACATGCAAAAAGAGGCTCTCGAATGAGAAGTATCGCAACATAAAGATCTGCTGCTTGAGCCAGTTTTAATTTGTAGTAATCCCGGATCAGTAGTATTCGCGCTCACAATTAGTTGGCAGTAGTCCACTAACATGCCCAGGTAGTGTGCTCAGAGCCAGATGCGGCAGTTATCATCAGAGCTGCCTCATCGGCAAGAAAAGCATCCGGAAATGGCATGATGTAAGCCACCTCGAGTGCGGAAAGCCTAGACCACCTCGACCGTCTTGGAGTATCTAGCTTCTACCATACTTTGTTTAAGACTTATCGTATGGCGCTAGCTAAAAGCTTACCGTCTGAAGCGAGACTGCGGGGCTGTGAAAAGTGTCAAAGCTCTTTAGGGGTCAGGTCCCAAACTAGTAGCACCTTAGGCTGCAGAATATAATCAGCTGATCTGCTTTCTTTCTCGCACTGCAAGTCAAGTTCAGCTTTGGGTAGATGGAGTACATAACGCCATGCAACATGTAGCTCCACCACGCTTGTCATCATCGTCACGACACTATTGATTAATTGTGTTAGCTGAACATATTCTTTCGCCTAACGTTCTGATGGACAGCTGGCCGACTCCTTCAGAGCTGTGCAAGCTTGTCTTGCTGTTTTGTTTCAAGGGCTAATGATTAGAAGTAGTAACTCATGTACAGATGTTAGTCGAACGAACAAATGAATGTAACTTGCTATCTGCAGAACCTGATCTATTCTATCACCCGACATGCAGGAAGTACTGCGACCACCTCGGAACCTCGAAAGCCGAGTCCGGGAGATGAAAGACATCTAGAAAGCATTCGACTATGATGAGTATTCTAGCGAAAACATAGAGAAGCAAAATAGCGGTAGCAACTAGTGCCATGGGGAACCAAATTAGTCCCATCACTCCCAGGGCGAACCTAAGAGAATATCTTGGCAACTTCGAGGCTGTTTTATTCAGTTCCCACAAATGTTTGCCTAGATTGGTTTTGTAGAACAAACCAAAAACCAAGAGAGAATATAAAGGCACTAGACCCGAAACCAAGATTGTAAGGCTGCTTAGCTTCCAAAGCAGTTCGTCGGTCTTACCGCGAAAAGGTCGATTCCAGACAAGGAGATGTACGCTGCCGTAGAGCGCACCTGCTAGAAGATATCCTAGTGATCCATTAATTACATATGTCTGTATCTTGTCGCGTCGGTCCAGCCAAGTTGCATCGTCAGGCCGATTACGCGAACGTACACTGAAGACTTTGGGCGTACGCTGGTCTACAGGAAGGAAGCGAGACGATTTAACAGTGCGCAACCCGTACTTTCTATCAGCCTTTGCAGCTAGCTTGAAGCGGTCGAAATCCAGCTTGGTTAGATCGTTAAATCGAGCCTTCAAATGCGAGAGATCCTCGTTTTTATTCATAACAAAGCCATGGTATACGAGATAGTCTGTTGACGGGAACTTTGAATCCTTCGATGGCCTGAGCAAGATATGCTCAACTGTAGGATGAGATACCGCAATTTCGGATTCGCTCGAAGAGTAGAGGTTTTCGTGGTCATCCCAGTCGTCCATATCGATCGACGACCAATCAACAAGATACATCTGTGAAACAGTGCCAAATACGGCCATTGGATGTATATCGTCATGTGTACAGATGGTTGGTTCTCCAACATCCAGCGGCTTATCCCACCAAAAGAAGAAATATAGGGCCAGGGCACAGGCGGCATGTACAGCGGTGTTGATCTCAAGAAGCGAGATGGAAAGGCCCTGAGATATCCGAGTCAAATACTGGATGCCAAACCACAACGCTTGGCCGCAAGTTATCATCTTCGTAAACATGTTTGCCTTGCTCTTGTCTGTTATTTCAGAAACAGACAAATTCGGAATAAGATAAGGGTCATGGCCGGCAATAAATGCAAGACCCCCTAAGGCTAGTGTCATCCTTTGCCGCCCCTCGGGAAGATAGTCTTGGCCTAGGTCACGAGTATCGACGACAAAACCACCTATCGTGGCATATAGGGAATGCGTATGCGTCCATGTGTGTCTTTGAGATTCCGGATCAGGTTCCGGATTCACGGATCGGAAGAAGTCGTACAGCATTGTTGGTAGCTTTTTCACGAGACTTGGGGGCTCCGGCTGACCAAAAGCCTTTCGCATGGTCTTCCCGATCTCTGTTGCGTCTAAGTGCTCACGAAAAGCAGTCCAGACGACCTTGCTACCGTAAGCATTTGTTAAGTGTGCCAGGAAGTGATGCGAGATACCCATTCTGGAGCAAAAAGTGTTGTAAGCATCCAACCTAATTTTCGCCAGAACTGCGCGTTGGCTTTTCCACGCTCGGGAATATTCAATGAACAGCTGTCCACACACACACACACACACACACACACACACACACACACACACAGAATCATCGTCAGAAGAGAAGACGAGAGGATTGAGAACGTGCCGCGGACCAAAGGCTCGGGCTTCCATGAGTGGTACTGTGGATCGCTAGGTACGGTCGTGTTCGCCATATTGTTTGTAATGATGTTTGGGTTAGAATAATGTCGAGCCATATAAGAAGGAAGCGGGTTCCCTCCTCTTTAGTGGCACTAGCTGTCATTCGCTCTTCAGCTGCTAAGGCATACGGAGGCTGAGAAATCACAAAGTTGAGGCTGCGCAACGCTTCGACGATGCTCTGCCCCGCTCGAAAGTTTGGGAGATGACATGTGAACCCAAACTTTACATAAAGAGGTCTGTGTTCTTGGTAGCATGGCTCTGTAGCTCACGCTTCACAATCCATAGACAAATGTAAGCCTATCGTCGCCCTCTCTGCCCGATCGCACAGCCTTCTCAAGCCAGTCCGCTAACCAAGCAAGCTTCGAATGGGACCGCATCATATCACTAGCATTCTTCAGCCACCTCTGCTGCTGCGGCACCGGACCTCTGCCATGTAGCCTTTCAGCCTCGACATCATCCTCACTCCACTTTCGCAAAATGCCCTGTCTCGTCTCATTTTCCCTCTTCAAACGTCTGTAGAAAAGCACATAGCCAATGGCTGCCAACGCAACAGACGCAAGCGTCCACCAGAAAGGCACAATGTATCCAGCCGCAGCATATTTCGGTCGGAACAAGATTGCTGAGATGACACCAGCGAGATTACCCCAGCCATTTATACCAAGGAGTAATGCGCGCTTGCCTGGCGAGGGCGTGTTACCAGATATCCACGCTACCGTGAGCGGAGAAGCGATGTAAGTACCAGAGAGGAGAATGTTGAGCGCAATGTAACGAGGCACTGCCCAAGCAGATGGTAGCAAGACCACGATGACCAAGCCTGTTACCATGATTAGTAGGCCGAGCAGTATGGGCTTAAGGCGTATACGATGCTTGTCACTGTATCTGGCGGCAAAGTATAGTATAATGGCTCCGCAGACATGCGGCGGCGCAGTGAGCAGATTGATGAGCGCAGGGTTCGCGTTTTCTGTCAAAGGCGCCAGTACAAGTGGGAGGAAGACAGAGAAGGCATAGACCGGGACGGCAGACAAGACGTTGCAGGCTAGGATATGCCATATCTTGGTGTTGAAGACTGCTGAGAGTATGTCGTGAGGACTCAGACCGCGATCATCAACCAGTTGTCGTGCGGGCGTGTTAGAGGAGGTCGAATGCTTGGACGAGTCGAGAAGACCCCGCGATTCCTCATCGTAGGTATCCCCCGCCTCACGTTCATCTTCCTGAATCGCTGCAGGCGCATTTTGTATGTCCCTGTCTCTTACAACACGCGCCGATGCGTATTGACGCTCCTCGGGCGTAAGGAACCAAGCCGTCTCTACGCTGTGTGGTAGCCAGAAGTATCCGATGAATGCCACGACGACAGTTAGAGTGCCTTCGAGTAGGAACAGAACCTGCCACGGCCGCCACTCTTTGTCCGAACCGTGTTCGTCGTTCCCAAAGTGTGAGAATACGAGGTAGCTAATAAGGCCTCCAAGAGCGCCGCCAACGGCTGCCTGGCCGTAGAAGAACGAGAGCCGTCTGCCGAATTCGAAGCGCGTGTAGAAGAGGGAGAGATACGTGACGGTGACTGGATAGAACCCGGCTAGAGTATGATGTCAGCTCTTGACTCTTCATAATGTGCAAAGGTTTCAATACCTTCCAGACATCCGATCAAGATGCGCAACGTGAATAGCTGCCATCTATGCCTCACCCACGCATGCAACGCCGTACAAACCCCCCAGAGGATCATACAACTCGGCACCCAAAGCACCATGCCATATCTCCTCCCCAGCGCCGCGCCGAGAGGTTGTAACGTTACGAAGAAAGCGAAGAAGAGCGCAACAGCGGTATTCAGCGCGCCCTTGTCAAGCCCGATATCCGCCGTGAAATGCGCAGACTCCGCATTACCAATCTGTTCTTTCACATCAGCATATTCTTCTTTTCTAGGGTGTGGTAAGGGGCCTTGGATGGGGGTTTACCTACATTCGACTTGTCCAGCGCATTGAACAAGAACAGCAGCGCTAGAAACGGAAGTAATAAGCAATCCAGCTTCCTCAGCGTGCTATTGTGCAGTCGCGCATCCACTGCGTGGAAATCCTCGAGCTCATCCTGCGGCATCGTTGTGGTGACTGTAGCTGGGGACCTGCTGCGAGTTTCAGTGAGCTCGTATGGTTGCTGCGATTCGGTCATATTGTCGGGCGCCAAGAGTGAGCCCACGCGGACGCATCACAGGGTCTGCGACTTCGGATGACCTCGGTCGAGGGTGACGTGTTTGGAGTGGAGTGATAGAGTGACTAGAGGAAGGCATGCTGATGTTCATAGGGATGTAAGACGGGATACCGTTAGGTCAATAGCGGTTTGGAATAGGGACTTGGACCCTGATGGGATGACGAGGGCTTGGGATCGACCGCCCAGTTGGAAAACGACCGAGCATGCAGCCTTATCGATAAGATACGTCTACCACCAGAGCTGAAAACGAGCCCAAGACCTTGAACACTCCTTGTTACTTGAAGCTACCATCTCTATTCCTGCAAACATCATTCATTAACGGCCCTCTTTTCCCCCGCCATCTCTAAATCCCGCTTTTTCCCAAACGTCTTGACAGCCTCATAGTACAGCGTAGCAGTAGCCTCACACGGCCCCTTGACCGCCTCATTCGCACACTGATTGAACATGTCTGTCTTGAATTTATCGTCGATACGCGCTTTGTTCGCATCGAAGCGGTTTTGCTTCTTAAAGTTGCGGTAGCCGAAGTCGTGGCGGTAGCACGAGTTTATGACTGTGGTGGTCAGTAAATAGAACTGTGGAAGGAGAAGGCAGAAGGAGAAGGAGAAGGGGAAGCAAAAGGGGAAGAAGCGGAAGTAGAAGGGAAGGAAGGGAAAAGAGGAATGACAGAACGTACAATCAAACCCAAACGGATTATCCGGACTCGCAGTACACCCATTGCTCGACCAATCCAATTCCGCAGGACCAGTCTTCGCATTGCGGTTATCGATGAACTCGGCGATGGATATATCGAACACGTAGCTGTCTGTAACCTGCTCAAGAGACGTTTGACGCGTAATAATCTGTGCAGGTGCAGCGATCGCGAGAGACGCAAAACCCAGGAAAGCAGTGACGATGGTGGACTTCATGGTGGATAGGTCTGGCTTGTGAGTACGAAAGTAGAATTGTTGACTCTACTAGGTGGGATAAAAGCTGAGCCACGACGAGCAGTTTATATCTACCTTGGATTCCACCATGTTTGTTATGCCGACGTGTGCGCCGCGTGTCTATCACACTCTTGGGAACTTGGCTGCTTGCCAGATCGTGGGCTCCTGCATATGTACTTTACTGCACAACATTTGCATATTTGCTTGCACACTAGATCGCACACCTAATTGAAAATAGGTCCTTATTCGCTGGAAACGCAGGAGCATCGGGAGAAACAACATGGGGGAAGACGGAAACGTGCATGCGTATGCCAGATCAGTCGTGTTTACGGTCTTATGTCGGACTCACCAAGGGATCTGTAGCAGGTGATCCGAGGCAATCTCTTGATTCGCTCTCTCACAGCCTCAATCACTGCGCGTGATGTTGATCGACAATATTTGTTGGCTAGTTTAAGGAAGAAGTAAAAATGCCAAAACCAAGAGCGGGATTTGAAATGACAATAGTAGGAAGGGCCGCAAGGGTTGGAAGTAAGTGTCCCTGTGGCCTGATAGTCATGCTTAAGCTGCTCTCGCTACAATTGAACACGAACTGATTATCTAACCGAAATTCCCCAGAAGACATACGAGTTGGAAATGGACATGGTGTTTTGTGTAAGTGTAAGTGTTATCGCATGTCATGAGATTGGCCTCCTTCCGCGTGTCACAAGTATAGTAATGATAAAAGAAGCTTCGTTAGTGGTGGCTGAGTAGGCATTGTTCAATGGATGTGTTGAACGACATGCCTCCATATCCATGCTAGGCGGAGAAAGCTACTGGAGAGCTGGTCACAAGACTGTGTTCCTGTAAGTATGCACGTGCGGGGAATGGAAGTCTCGAGTAGGATGAAGCCAAGAAGCCTAGGTAGAGTTGAGGGGTGTCCTGGAGCTCTACGCTGGCGGTTTTAGCAAACCCCGCTACCGTCCATCAGTGTAGAATTGTCGCCATAGATAAAGTCCGTCTGTACTGTAGCTGGCCCAGCTCTTCAATTCCTTGTAGGCGTAGCTCACGAGTGGGCGGAAGACGCCTGTAGAACATGGCAAGTATCTGTAGTCAATATTTCACAAAAGAACCACCACTCCTTCGTGCAATGCCGTTCAATTGTCTATGAGCATATTCCCACTACTTGTACGGTGTCATCCGCTCTTTCTTATCCTTCCAATTCTCTCGCTTACAACTTGCTGATGAAGAGACGGGCGGCGAAGAGGCGCACGCGCTGGGGTAGGATGTACTTGGAGAAGACGTAGATGAGCGATGGCAGGAGGATAAAGGCCACGGTAGTCTCGTTGACGAAGAAGAAGGGGATGAGCTGGGGCATAGCCGACTTGAGGACAGTCTATCACTTGATATTAGCGTCCCTTTTTCCACATCTTGCGCATGCCCATTCTATCTCACCATCTGCTGTGGGCCAACCTCGGTCTTCTTGTTCTGGCTCGCGATGAGGGCGGGACGCGCCATGGCCGATGGGCGGACAGCCATGGGCGCGCGGACAGCGGCCCTGGAGAAGGGGCGGAGGAAGCGGGCGGCGTTCATGTTGGGCTACCTGGAGTTTTGCGGGTCAGCGCGCTGCTGTGGGGGTCCAATTGGCGGGGCAGAGCTTGCGGAGGGGAGAATTGACGCACTGGACGTAATGTTGGGGGCCCGGGGAGATGAGCGGAGATGGTGTTGCGGTCGCGGGAGATTCGGTGGTGTTGCTATCGTCGTCCGCAAAAGCTCGCACAGCTGCGATCCCGGGATATGCCGCGTCCGTGCGGCGGGCTTGGCACTGTTTCTGTTCATCCCGCCAGCAACTCCGCAACTTCCCCACGACGTCCTCTTGTATGCACTGTGTTTCTATTAGACTACAAGCTTTACACATTGCTCTTCCACATCTGATTGTCTTACGCCGGCTCGTATTGATATGCGCTTACAGTTTAGGGTGGCGACCAGGAAAATGGTATCGCAAATAGGGAACCCCGAATAGAACTTTCATCTTGACATATCTCTTATGGAGAGACAACATTCGAATATCTTCTACCTCCGCATTACATGGTCGTATATCTTCGTTGCCAGCCATCCCCTGTAACGTGAATGAACTAGTGTTGGCTCTTCCTTTCAACCGCATCAAGTGCGGGGTGGGCAGTATATGTAAGGACACAGCATGCTACGGTCGTGCAGCAGACTCCATACACTGATCGTTGATACCTACAACTAAACAATATGGCGATAGAAAAGGTTATGATACTAGGGGTAAAGCGATATGATAGGGCTTGCAAGTATCAGTTGGCTAACAAGACAAGTAGAACTGGGAACTTTGTCTTGCCATCATCAACGCCCTCCTCCCATTAGAAACTGAATCTCACGCCTACAGCTATCAAGTCACTGTACTCACCTATCCTTCACAAACCCTCAGCCTACCACCCCATATCAGCTCTTCTGCGGTACAGCACAAGAAGTCGGATTTCTCGTCCACTTCACTCCAGTCAGCAATGGTCGGACAAGATGTAATCATAAGCACAATGTCAGGCGGGGATTTTGAGCAACACATACGTATCATCGATGCCGCCATCGCCGCAGGCGTCAAGCGCTTCATTCCTGATGAATTCAGCCACGACAGCATGAACCAGCAGATACAAACGCGCATCCCAAAACACGCCGGACGGGCCAAAGTCATCACCCATCTCCAAAACAATGCCAGAGACCACCCAGGCTTCGAATGGACTGCAATCGTGACCGGTTACACGCTAGACACCCAGCTCATCGGCGGCAACATGGGCTTCGACATGGAATGGTACAGCGCAACCATCCACGGTACCGGCACCGAGAAATTCGCAGCTTCCAGTCTGCAAAGAGTGGGTCGAGTCGTCGAACGGGCCATCTCACATTGGGACGAAGTCAAGAACCAGTATATATACGCTGCTGGCGTTATAACATCCGCGAGCGAGGTTCTGCGATCTGCTGAGAAGGCTACTGGTCGTGATTTCACCGTAGGAAATTACGACGTTGAAGAGTGTATCGCAGAAGGGCAAAAGAGAATTGAGAAAGGGTATCCCGACTCTGGAATATTTCTACTAGAGCGAAGTGTGCTGTACGACGAGCAATTGGAAGCCTCGACACCGTTTGAGGAGAAGAGCGCGAATGGTGTACTGAAACTGGAGTCGGAGTCGGTTGAAGTCATTGTCAAAACGGCATACCACGACTTAAAGCACCACGGCAAACCCGGATGCGGATGTTCGTCATGACATCCTAAGACCGGAAATATTGCATTCAGTTCAGCGCTCAGCTTCGTACCAACTCGTAATGCTTTCCCTACGTTATATAAGGAAGAAACTAAACCGGTGCTAAACTCTTCTATTACGTTGCATCACACAACCGCATCTAACAAGGAACTAAATGACATCTTATACTAATGTAGACGTCTAAGCTATCTATCTATATATGATATCTGTGTTTATGTTGTTGCAGTAGGCAACGTAGTAAAAGGGCTTTCTACATCTGTCTAGTTTCTTCCTTGTATAAGGTGACCCCAAAGTTGGGGCTGGGATATCAAAGGGTCCAGGCGCGGCCGAACGGGATCTACGACGTGGCATATCCGGCATATGCACGACACATATATGATCGGTGAGGCGGCTGTATGAAGGACCGCCTGGCTTCGGGAGCAAGGATGTTTTGTGGACGTGGGAGATCATGCGGGAGGAGGATGCGGGTGCGGAAAGTGCGGAATACGAAAGAAGCCTGTCAGGTCATCAAGAAGAACATTGCGCATGAGCAATCTCCTATGAATTAAGAAGGTTTGAGGAAGCGTGTATGGGAAGTGCTGTGTATCATGGGATGGTAAATTTTGTGGAGGGCGCGGAGAGCGCGGAGCTTGAGACCAGATCGGGGTGGAGCATAGTGTGATGAGTCCTTCACGATACGAGCAAACTAGAAGTGGATTCTTGCTACCAAAGATCTGCTGAAAACATCATACATTCATCTCCACTCACATACCTCATGTCAAACCACCTTTCTTCATGTCGCCCAAACGACCGACCACGGACGACACTTTTCAAGAAAGCGGTCAAACCTTACATTCCGTCCATCATACTACGAACCCGATCCACTTCATCCTTGTTACACAGCCTCACGCCCTACGTGTTCCATGGTCCCAACTGCCAGAAATCACCGCCTCAGTTTCAAGTTGTGCCACAGGATCTGAGACCAGACGGCAAGAATGCTGAAACGTGATGTGTGCGGGTGTATACCGAGGTAGCCTTTTTTTTTCGTCCGTCCGGCAGATGGGTTTGGTGAGTTGATGAACGGACTGGACCGGAGACAGTGTTGGCTACATGTGGTTTTGTGGTTTGGGATATGTGTTGTTGTGATGTTTCAGTGAGGTGGCAGTGCGTGTGTCTCGGCGGTGGTGGTGATGTGGCTGAGCGTGGGATGATCCACTAGGCGCATAGACCTTGCAGCGGATGAAAAGCAAAAGGATGCACGATCGTACACCACTACCACTTTTTTGGCTTCGTAAAGAAAGCATGTTTAGCAGTTTCGACAAATCTACTTTCTGTCAAAGCACGTTCAACGGTTTGAGAATTAATGGTCTTGAGCGTTTTGTTGAGTTGTTTGCAAGGGTGCAGAAGCAAGTCTATAAACGTTTGCGGAACGGAACTACTAAAGTCTACCTACGTGGTAAAAGGGGGATATCGCTAGTGTGAGGAAAAGCTATGCTGCTGAAAATGCTGGAAGTCGTCCCTTCGTGAATGCCAAGATTGAAGCAACGCTGGGGGGATGAACGCTATAAACAAGAACGCTGGAAGGGGGTAGGGAAACCAAGTGGACGCAAGATTCAAGTGTAAAAACGATGAAAGGGGATGAGATACCCATATCACACCACCTATACGGTGACCTTCTGATGCTAACCCACCATTGCAGTACCAAATCGCCGGCAACGCCCACTAAAACTCAGCGCACAATTGTTGCTCTTGGAAGAAAGTCTGAAAATCGGCTATCCAACTCAAATCATGCTCGCTATCGAGTTAAGCGCCGTAGTAGTCGTCCGTATACCGACAAGCTCCGGTTCACTCACTTGATGCGAGAGATTTGGTGAATAATGATGACCAGAGAAGCTCGACAAGCTTTGTAATGGCGTTGTGAACATGCCGACCACAGGCTCGTGTCTGTTTGTTGGTTCGCCGTACGCATCGCCAAAGGAAGTTGCCGTGGGGGTCCGGAGCGAATGCATTGTGGGTGTCGCTGAAGTTGGCGTGGGATATGCTGTACTGCTGGGGTGACATGAAGTGTTGACTTGTGGGGTTGATGTCGGTGTCGAGGTGGGCATGGAAGACGGTCCGCTTGACATGCCATAAGACTGCAGCGACGCACTACCGGTTATCGGCGTCGGTGTGGAATGACGGTGAGATGTTGCGTTTGATGGCGAGATGTCTTGCTTGATTGGGTATGAGGACGATGTAGCTGAAGCGGATGATGCCGCGCGAACGCGTCCAGCCTGTGTCTCACGGCGGCGTTTGGGTCCATCCTTAACTTTAGGGTGTGTGTGGCACTGTGATGCTGTTAGCATGCTCTGGCCTGCGATAATCCGATAAAATGTAGTGACTTGAATCAGGACTGCTGAAGAACGAACAGTCAAGCATGATGGGATGCGAAGGAAAGACTACCAACCTACCTTGTATGCATGTCGGAACCACGTCGTTCCTTTCTTCTTATTGCTGACGAGCGCAATCCATTCGCCGCAGCTTCCGCAAAGTCCTTCCCAGACGTCAAGGTTGCCTTCCGTCCGGCGTGTGTCTTGTGGGCCCTGGAATGCCGCACCGGTGGCTGCGCTAACACCATGTGTGAAGGACTTGTCGTACCAGAAAGCACTATTCTTGAGTACAAGCCATCTGCCAGGCTTGCATAGACCGCACCAACCTTCTCGTTTGTTGCCATGTCCACGGACCCAACGCGGTGTGTATAGATCGCCAACAAAGCGAAGATCCTGCTCGTGGGGAATAAGGTCCGGATCTGAAGGGTTCATATCAGACTCTGGTGGGTTCAACGCTTCCTCGTGCAGAGATGAGTATAGATCTGGCGGGTCTGAGAGATCTGCAAAGTGGGATGAGCATCCTCCGTGACGATCTGCGTTGCTTTGGAGTAAACGGAAGAGGCCCTGAGAAGGGAGTGGCCGAGGCACTTCGAGATGGAACTGCTGTTGGTCCTGAGGCGCGAAGAATGGTTGACTATTGGGATGCGAGGGGGGTGTTTGCGAATACAACATATTTTGCGTAGGAAGTCCAAAGTTGTTGTAAGCACTGGAAGGGTAAGCGGGCATGGAGTGATGTGGGTTCATCCGAGGACCATATGGCGCATATCGATCAGAAACTTGTGACATCGGGCGTGAGTTGTTTGGGGTGGATGTGGGCGCTTGTCCGGTAGACCACCTCTTGAACCGACTGCTGTCAAGTGTGTATGGCGATGAGCGAACGTTGTTGTGCGATGCCGGTGATGCGCGGGATCGGCTTCCACTTCGAACAACACCATCGTACTGAGATCGGCGTGGTGATGCAAGCGGTGACAAAAGGTGACTGGCATTTGGCTCCGCGTGGCTCCACGCATCATACTCAGACGCATATGAAACTGGTTCTGACGAACCCATCTCTTCATAAGGTGCCGATTCTGGCAGCACACCGCCTGTGCTGGACATAGAAAAGGAAGACTCAGACATTCTCCGGGTGGAGCTTGGGTTGAAGTTTACCATGTTGTCGTGTTCTTGCTGGCCCATGTTGTTGTACTGGCGTAGGTCGATTATCGGAGTGTTCTCGTCATGTCCCATCATACCATGGCTGAAATCCGTCACGTCTGAATCCAGAGTAGGGAACGATTCTAGCTCTTCGCATACCTTCTGGCCCCACGGACCTTTGTTTGTTAGCATTGCGTGCATGTGTGCTCTTCAGGACGCTTACTTGTGTCGATGACGCCAGGAAAGTAGTTGGTTGTTGCTAGCGATTGGGGAGCAGTCATAGAGTTACTGTAGACGACACCACTTGTGACAGTCGGTTGCGATGTCATCACATCTGATCTTCCCATGAACTGTTGCTGATTTTCTCTGCTGCCTGCAGTAGGACCCTGCGGCGCAGCATAGTACGACGGGTGGGTCTGCGGCACAGCCCACGTGGGCTGCGGTGGCGAAGGTCTGGACATAGGCTGCATGCCTTGTTGTTGTTGTTGTTGTTGTTGTTGTTGTTGTTGTTGTTGTTGTTGTTGTTGTTGTTGTTGTTGTTGATGTTGCTGTCCATGTGGAGGGAGGCCACCGTACGAATACATGGCTTGCATTCCTGGAGTGGGAGAGGAATGTCCCATAGCGTACTGTCGATTAGGTGACGGACGGTATCTACTGAGCCGGTTAGTCTGCCCAGACGCGAAGCAAAGGCGTAGATTCTCGTAAAGTGCTTACTGCTGAACCGTATTGAATTCCATCTTTATTTTCGTCCTTATATACAATGACCTTAACAATGGTCTGTAGGTAGTCTGAATTGCAACATGGTAAGCGACTGACGATGTGATCCATATTGTTCCGAGTAGCTGAACGTAATCGTTGTGCTGCACTAGCGATGGTTCCGCCAGGGTATGCTATAAAGCAGTGCAAGGGAACAAGGTTATGTCGAGAGGACTTACATTGGTAACGAAAGTAAAAGGCTGCAGCCAAGTGAATGTGTCAAGAGGATAGCGCTGTGCGACTATGGCTGAGCAGATGTGGCGCCGAATGTGATGTAAGCTTCTCAAAAGAGTGTACGAGAACAATGTTCTCAACGCAACCAGCGCGGATGGAGCCCGCTCCAAACGAAAGAAATGTATACGAAGGTAGTTGGGCAGGATCCTAAAGAGTGACGGGCCAAATAGCAGGAAAGGCGGTTGGAGGGGTTGCTAGGCTATATGATGAATACACGGGGGTTGCAACATCCGAGAAGGAACAACGAAGAGCAATGGTCTCTGTGATTGACGCAACGGAACCGCTTGGGCTCAAGTTTGAGAGAAGTGTCGCGACGCGCCTTGGCTGCAGGTGATCTGGAACGGGCACAGCAGAAGCGTTCACCCAAAAGAGAGTCTGGCGGGGATGGTGTAATGGGTGGTGGACCGGGCGCAAGGCTGCTGGGGTGCCAAAAGGCGATTAGACGCACTCTGAACGGTCGCACCAGTCGTTGTCTCCATGATCCTCTCGGCTGGCTCGGAGAGGCTCCTCAGGGCTGCGCACCAAGTGCCCCATGTTACTGAGGCCGAGCTGTTAACATGGATGCAGCGCTGCCATGCCCATCGTGACCACAATCTGACAGGGAGCTGTTGGTCGATGAGTTCAGCAAGAAGGACATCCCAACACTCGTTCCACCTCGGGGTCGAGTTTCAGCGCTCAAACGGGATGGTGCATGTCGTTTATGGAAGGATGGAGTGATGGGAGAGGTTGGCCGTGAGATACGCAACTTCCCGCTGTATCAACTCCACTACCGGGGTTTAACAATCCAGTTTCATCGTAGCTGGAAAAGTTTTGTCTCAATCGAGAGCGAGTCTGATGGCACGGAGCAGCTGATTGGGGGTGGGGGGTTGTATCATCGCGTGTGGCGCCTAGTTTGGTGAGGGAATGGGATGAGTCAGCATTCGCTTCCAACTGGCCCTGTCTCTTTACCGCGTCGCGACACGGCCGAAACACTCTTGACACACATCCAGGGGAACCTGAGACCCACTCTGCTCGCAACGTGTACCGCACCATCAATACATTTCTCGGTTTTTTTCTGTATTGATTCGCCGACACGGACGCTCGGCTGTGTCGCGCAGCGGAGTTGTGGCCGCATTTCCACTTGACGTCGACGCTTTCAGCCATTTACTGTCCGGACGCACCGCGTTATCGCCGAATAATGGCATCGTCAACTGCCCATGACCGAAGCGATGCCACTTCATTCCGTTCTGGCCGGTATGGTGTTATCTTTGCGCAAACAGAGACATGTGCATCTCGCGAGCCGGCTGCAGTTACATAGCACGGTGCAAGAGATGACAGGTTTCTGCACTGGCCATTGAGTCATGTTGACAAGTGACAGCGGCCGATCGTCAAATTACCTGCTAGTTGCAGATGTTAGGATTCGTCGTTCACTGATTCCAATATTTCCCGGACTTGGCTACGTACGTAAAGAGGATTTGCCTGGGTATCACGAAGCCACGGAGTGGTTGGCAACAATCCTGCTGTGGCCGATGATCTCGCTACCTGGACTGCCTCAGCCTTGTACCACCACCAATCCTACACTTATTTGTCAATAACGTACGTTTGCCACCGGAACCTGAGCATCCAGGCTACCTGCAATCTTCTCGTAGTTCGAAGCATAAACTCCATAGCCCCGCCTCGGGTTCCGTGTGGGACGACCCAAAGCGAACGATGCGCTGCAAGGAAGGACTTGCGAGCACGCAAGCATTGTGGCTTGAGAAAGCATCACATATCAATCAGGAGAGAACTCGATTCCGAAGTAGTGAGTACAACAATTGATCACTATTTCGATAGACTTAGCTACTGAACACCCTTTGTTTGCCTTGGACGCGTGCACCATTTAGTGGCGATCAAACGATTTCAAAGCCACACGATGTGCCTGTCATCTACGCAAACCTGATGACTTCCAGCCGATGATTTATCCAATTTATCTTGCCCCACCATGGACATTCTTGATTTCGGAAGACACGCAAGGCGGGAATATCATGTCGCCCAGACCAAACAGCCATGCAACGTCGATCGTCTGCAGGACTACACCTACCACCGCAAGGGTCTTGGACGCGATATCACAACCACGTATGATCAAAGAGGGTGCAAACCGTGCACTGCAAATTCTGCAGGTAACAAGTTACAAATATGCGAAACGATCTTTTGATGGGCATTCGAACACGTCATAGTCGGCACTGATCTCGCAATGACCTTGGACCTCGATATGTGAATCTGCTATGAACACGTTCCACATGTAATTGGAGTGATTGCCCACCAAGACAGCCACATCGTACATCAGCCCAACCCCAGAGCATCCTATTTTAAGCCATCACGAACCACAGCGGACTCTCCAATTGAGTCGAACAAACTTCAGCCTTATGACGTAGACACTATGCAAACTACATCCAACACATCATCAATCCGACACACAGCAACTCCCCCGAACCCAGTAGCTCATCTTCAGCCCTAACACCCAACGACCTGGGATCAACGACCAACGATCATCGACGTAAGGGAAGAGACTAGGGTAACCCATGCTACCAAGACACTGGTTTTGACAGGCCATCGCTGGCGGGAGCGGGACGCGCGGACAATAGCCACGGCACTAGTATAGTAGTGAAGTTAACTTTCTTGTCACTACTAAACTAGGTGTATTAGAAGCAATCGGAAACTAGGAGGTGACGGTGCGGCAGGTGCGACGAGACTTGTGATCTAGTGTGAGTTGAGGTGGGCGGGAAGATGAGAGTACGATTTGCTATTTATGGCCGAGGCATCTGAAGAGGGGTGAAAAGGGCGAGTATGATTTGTTGTCTGAGTTCACGATATTCGCATCAGCTGGTTGGGTGATAGAATCGTGATATGCATTACATGCACGAACAGCCTCATACGGGCGCGGTCTACCTACCGTCTACTCCCCAACACCAAAAAAAACTAAGGTATATATGTATCCACGTACCAATTTTCAACCTCCCAACCACACCGCCTATAACTTCCCAATCTTGATCTCGCACCCGCCACTAACAGTATCAAAACTCAATGTGCTTTCCCCCTGCCCCTTTTTCGCCTCGACATGGTTCTTCCCCGGCTCATCGTTCTCCCCTAGGAGTTCCAAATCCTTGCCTTGCAAATGCAACGCTCCACTCAAACTCGTACCGTCAACGACACCCGACCATTCAGGTGGGTACGTCACATCGAGTCCACCAGACGTGCTCTTGTGCGTACTAACCAAGCCAGACATGGCTACATTCTTCGCCCGGTACGGAGAGCGCAAGGTAAGAGAAGTCTGGCCAGAGTGCGTACTTGTGTAGATTTCAGATTGGTAATCACCGGATTTGAATGGGAGGATATCAGCGGCTACGAGACCGGCGACGGAGTTGAATTCTGTGCGGGAGCCGTGGATAAAGGTACCGTCGACGGAGCCCACGGTGGTGTTGATGTAGGTTTGGTACTCGCGGTTGGGAATGTACTTGCGCTTGAAGTCTGTTCGTATACTTCCTGATAGCGAGTCTACCATGAAGACGGCTGGGTTTGTGGAGCCTTCGACGGCAGACTGGGGCTCAATGTCGATGTTGACGGATCCGCTCTTCGTTTTCACAGAAAGGAGGTCGGATAGTGCGTATTTCCCGCTTATGGATCCGGAGATGGTTTGCAGGTAGGTGCGGCGCGACGAGAAGGCTGTGGCGTCGAGGGTGCCGGTGGTTGTAGAGATGGACGTCGTGTCCCTGACAGTGAAGTTTGCGCCGGCATGGACTTGCATGCCCATGTGTGTGGTTGAGACTTTGAAGTTGGATAAGGTGGTTCCTTGGGCCATATAGATTACTACTGACATGCCGAGACAGGCGTTGCCGGGTCGTACGCCGTCGAAGCCGTCGGGGAACGAGGGATCGCCAATTGTTATGCCGGTTTCTGTGGACGAGTATGCGATGCTGTTGACGTCGACGGATGAGGATACGGCGTATGACATCTTGACCTGAACAGTGCCGGCAGCTTGCTCAGGGGGTGCTTGCGCGACGTGTATCCAGCCTGCTACCCGCTTGTATGAACCATCGAGTTGGTGCACTGCTTCCTGGATGTTGAGCTCGCTCGCTTGCCCGAGGTCATGGTGTTCGGTCCGAACGTTGTAGTCTTTTCCACACTTTGCGGGCCATCGAATGGGGAAAGATTGTTTCGGTGCGGCTGATTGCGCCTCGGCGGATGGCGATGGCCATGGGACGGCGATGAGACTTGGTTTGTCAGAGTCGTCGTCAATGAATCCTTCTGGATGGGTGGCATCGCCCTGCGCGGATTGTGCTGATGATGGAGTGGTAGTCACAGTGGCCTTGGTGCAAATGTCAATACATATCTTCCCTTTCTTGGCAGGTTACACTGACCTGTCTGTCCCTCCGAACAGATACCGCCGCGACCATAAGAGCCAGCGTCGCAGACACGAGCATCATCGCAAGTACTGTTCCAACCACCTTCAGCCATGTCTTCTTCAGGCATTGCTGCCTTAAACTTCTTCTTCCGTACTGCTCTTCTTTGGAAGTCGCATCTCTTGCTTCTCGTCCATCCAAGGAGAGCAGCCTTGCGCCTTCTTCTCCACTTAGTCGACTTGTGAAGAGACCAGGTGTTGTAGCTTCGAGGTAGCTAGGCGGCGGCACCTCTGTCTCCACTTCCTGGTTCACAAAAGCCTCTAGAAGTGGTGTCGAGCGATCGTTGTATGGTGACGGCTCAATGATAATCTGAGGCCTCGAGGAGCGACTGTTCGCAGTCGCAGTGTCGATGTACATGGCTGGCATTGGAGACTCGTCGCTTGCGACTTTTAACGAATGAAAATAAAGGAATGAGTAGATTAAGATTGTAATGTGCGCACGCGCAGAGAATGGACCGAACCAGGGTATCAAGAATATACAAGTCGAGTAAGAGAAGGATGTGGAGATGTCAAGAAAAGAGACCAGGCAGCCATTGTCCTAAGTAATCGCTTTAAGCTCAGGCATCGAAGCTTGATCTGCAACTCCAAGGGCTGGGTCGAGCAAGTGTGTCTGCTACACATTTGTTTCGGTGGTGGAAACGCTGCATGTTTGATCTTGGCTTGGCGGTGGTTAGTGGATGTCAACGGCTGTCGACGCAGCTATTTTGCGCTTTTGTTCCTCAGAGAAGTTTCGACTCGAGTTATGACTGTTGATCACTTGTTGCTGGTATCTAAACATATAATTTTGTCGAAATAGCAAAAGAAGAGATTACGAGAGACTGTAGCTCAGATGCGTAGGAAGGAGAAGTCGTGGCTGGTGCCGTTCGGCAGTGTCGGACTATGCGGGCGCTAGGCTAGGGGCTCGCCACTGCTCCTGGGGTGCCGATCAAGCAGTTAGAACCTCGGTCTGCAGATACGGGAAATATGCAGACGAGCTTGAATTCCTGGAAATTGAATACCATCACGGCTAATGGCAATGCGCAAGACAGGGCTACTGAGATGCCTTGACCGCAGGGCATAGCTTATCTTGACATGAATCAGTATCTTGATTGTTTGCGGAAAAACTAGCACATTTACTCATCGGTTTCGTCTACACGCATTTGCTCTTTAGCCTTATTGAGATGGCAGAAATTTAGCATAATATTGTCTTTCTGAATTCTCATTCAGAGACAACTTGAGCCAGAATCGAATCACCGCGGTCGTAGACTCTAATCACATGTCCTCGGTCAATAAACCACACTTTCATGTTTCACTCGAACATCCAGCACCGTATCCTTCATAACAACCATGAACACACAATGCAAGCCCATACTACACCCTCCCCGTCCCAAACCGACCCCCTCCCAGCACTCTACTAGCCGCCTTACTAACCTTAACAACATCCCTATACGTCAAGCTCACCCTCGTACCCCTCACATTCCTCCCCCCATCCTCTACAACCTTCGCCCTCCCTTCTTCACTTAACAACACCCAATTCGCCACCGTCTCCTCATTCAAATCTTCATCGACTTCAACGGATGAGATTCCATGCATGAGTTCGCAGTAGGCGCGACCTGTTGTTATGAGTAGAGAGCGGGGTTCTTGGAAGATGCGCGTTGGGAGGTTGAGTAACCCGTCTCGTTCGATGAGAGATTTGGTGAAGTGGAATCGTGTTGGCTCTTCATTCTTGTCCCCCACTTCTGCTTCTTCCTCGTCATTACCCTTTCCATCTTCTCGACTCTCAGGTTCGGGTGTGGGCTTTGGTAGCACATCCAAACATAGCCCCGCACCTAAACTAACAGTCGCAACAACATGCGCATACGCATCTCCATCTTCGTGCGGCATAATGCCCTCACCAGGCTTATACTTATTCACCAGTACGTGGTTCGGTTGACCATGAGGCGTGTGATTAAAGATTTCAAGTTCTTTGAAACGATCCAGAATGGGTGTTGTGAGGTAATTAGGGAGCGGGGCGGCAAGAAGGGTATTGTTTTTGGTGAGAGTAGAGGGGAGGGCTTGGAGACGTCGATGGGTAAGGTGCGTCCATCGTTGGGAGGGAATCTAGTGGAGGAAGATATGTTAGTTGAAATTAAATGAGACCAAAGTGAAGAGATGTAAGTCTGGGTTGGATGTTGATGGTCATGTGCGTAGATGGGTACGTAGATGTGGGGAAAGAGTAGGAAGGCGGGGTATTAGGGTAGAAATGGCAAACTTTACAAATGCGACACGGTATCGAAAATAAGAAACCGAAATGGATGAGAGTAACAAGAACACACCTTCTGTAATATGGACGCCTCTTCTTCCACACTGATAAAATTGGGAATGTAGTAGAAGTCTGGCGGCAGACCTGCGATGCGGAAAGCTTCCAGTCCTGTCTTGAGGTCTGCCATTTGCGATTTCATGATCACGACTCTGATCAACGGACGGTTTCAACCACGACAAGGGAAGTTTTGTTGATTCATAGTGATGTGCTGGTGTTGGATGGTGGAATTCAAGAATGATGTAACGCAGGGCAAACGCGCCACTAGTGCAAGCTAGTCGCGCGCTCACGTGCAAATGTACATCTCACAGATTGTGGCTAGTTTCAGATATTACGGGTGCTAGATATGATGCCTGATGATGGGATGAAGCCTCTTCATTGGAAGACGACACAGAGGAGTGCATGTCCATAAGACATGCAACATATATATTCTATGAACAGTATAAGAACAGTTACTTCCCGATCCCAGATATCCGTGCTAATATCATACCTGACTCTAACGCTCACACTCACCCAAAGGGAGGAGCCTCAAGTCCCTGTGCAACGTATACCAGCCACGTGCACCACCACGACGTCCACCCACAAACCTAGGGCCGACTTCTAATCCCAAATCAAAACGCCAGATAACCACGTCATGATAACACCAAACAACAATAGAAGCACAATCACATCACAGTACAACTCCCAGGCCCACTTCGTGCACGTCGGCGGCGACTAACACCACCTGCACCCCCAGCACCACCTTCCTCCTCATCAGCATGCATCATCTGTGCCTCCCTCGCCCTCCTCCTCCGTCTCCTAGCTCCCGCCCCACCAACCCCCGCCTCCTCGTTCAACATCATCCAATCCGCCCACTTGCGTTCTAAACGCGCAGCGGCTGCAAAATCGCCTCGCAGTACACGCTTAGTATGTTCCTCAACAGTCGGTTGCCAGTTGTGGAAACACTTGAGCTTGATGATTTCGCGGGGGTAGGTTGGCATCTTAGAAGCAGAGCGGGAAGAAGGACGCGTTATCTCTGCGTTTCGGGAGAGGACTTCGCGGACACCGGTCCATGTTACGTTTGCGCAGTCGTACGCCTCAATACGCAGTCCGACCTCAGGGCGTTCCGAGTTTGTCAGTCCACGGGCCGTGCGGTTGCGGTTGCGGAGGCCTGATGCGGCTTCCGCGAGGACGAGGTCGGAGATGCGCGTATTGTCCATCTCCAAGCTAGCGAGACGGCTGCAGGCTTTGAGCACGGGGAGCATACCCGCGTCACCTAGGTTTTCGCAATAGGAGATGCAGAGGTGGTGGAGGTGAGGCGCGCAGGGGGATTCGGACAGCGTTTTCAGGACTTCGTTTGTTAATCCGTCGATCTCTTCAATGTCTAGATGGGTGAGGACTGGCACAGTGGGTAGTAAGCTGATCAGCGCATCGTCGGTCAGTCCCCCGCATTTCGAAACTTGGAGGCCTTCTAGATACGGAACGTTGTGTACTAGAGTCTTCAGGCCAAGATCGGTGATACTGCGGCAGCGTGTAAGGTTCAAGTGCTTGAGGTTCCTGGGTGGGACGATTGGTCGATCGGTGAGGACATCGACCTCCTCATCTACACCCTCAATCAAAGCAGCCAGTGCTTCATCGTTGAGACTATCGCAGTTCTTCAAGTCGAGCCTTTCAAGTGTGTTGCGCTTGAAGAGTTGGACCATCAGATCCACATCATCCCAGCCTCGTACTTCGCCCGCTCTGATATCGCGCAGCTTAGTACAACCATCAACTACTTTCTTCAGTCCTCGGTTGTCGATGTTGTTGCACCACGAGATGTTTAGGACTTCGACTCTTGGGCAATGTGCAGCAAGAATCTTCATTGCTGCATTTGTCGCGCCTGCGAGACCCGACAGGTTAACGTGAACAAGACGACTGTTCTGGAGTAAGAAGCAGTGAATTGACGTTCGATCGATTCGACACCCCTGCAGTGAAAAGTTCTCCAGATTCTGGCAAGACTCGATAAAGCCATCCTTGCCCCAGTGTTCTCTCAGCTGCACGCAGCCTCTCAGATTCAAGTCCTTCACAAACGGTCCCGCCGAAGTGATGATGTTAACCAAAGCGTTGGCTGAGATATCGCGATAGAACTTGCTCGTGTCCAGGTCGCTCCATAGTTGGCCGTCGAAGCACATAGCATGCCATGACTTGGAGATGCGCGAACAACGTACAATCTCCTTTGGTTCGAGGTATCGGAGGATCTGCATGCGAATCTCGGTGGGCATGTCGCTCCAGAAGTTGAAGTTGGCTCGTCTCTGGACTTTATGGACGGGTCGTGAAAAATAGTCGCTCTCGGCTTCGATGCCATCTCTGGTGAAAGGTCGTCGGGCGGAAGGGAGAGGTACTGAAGATTGGACGTCTGGTGTCTTCATACGGAGACGAGTCCTTTCGTCCCAAAAAGGAGTGCCTGGTGGGCTGTTGGCGACGGACGTGGGTGCCGTAGAGTATCCGTTGGACAACTCTGACGAGTAAGAACTGCCGAATGAGTTGCCATACGGCGAGCCAGGAGATGCGAGAGAGACGCAAGACATGGATGCCTTTCCACCACTTCTCAGACTGTGTGAGCGAGGTCTACCCATGTGTGCCAGACTATTGGACGAGCCCATCCGTTGTAAGCCCATGAGAAGGCGCTGTCTGCCCTTGAGCTTTGGCTGCTCGATCATAATGGCCTCGGATGGAGGGGTTCCCGGCGTGGGGTGCGCTTCGCCATGGTCGACGACGACCGAGTCGATGGATAGTGGCTCCATGGTGAAGCGTGACTGTGTGGTACGCGATGCTCGGGGACAAGCGGTTCGACGCGGGCAAGAAGGAGGGTCCTATCAATGGCTATGATAGAACGAGGATATCGTCACGCTTACTGGAGCAAAGTGGCAGGGAGAATGATTGGGAACAGTCCCGTAACCGCAAAAAGGAAGGAACGTGAGAGAGCTGACGCTGACCCGGTGGTTGGGTGCGCGGTTTTTGATAGCTGAGCGGAAAGCGGAATAGGCAGTCCAGTCGAGAAAGGCGGGGAGCATGGCCCGTGTTATGCGGCGAGCGAGGCCGATCTATAGCCCTTCGGCTCAAGCACCGTCTTCAGCCGTCAGCTAGCAGGTAGACCAAGCATGACTGAAAGGCCTTTGAGTGCGGTGACTATGGTGTGTAGCAAGATGACGCGAAGGATGCCAGCAACAGCGACGTGCAGCGTCTTTCATGTGCTGCGAGGTGCTGCTGTCCAATGTCTTTATCGCAGCTATCGATAAGATCCGGAAGGCCCGATTAAAAGAGTACCACGTGTGGGGCCTCGGCGGTCACCCGCGCACCTTTGAAGAGAGACATTGCCCGCTTGACCGTTCAAACAGTATCGCGTGAGCAGATAAGAGCCTTGGACTTGTTCAGCCATCACATCAGTCTTGTGGGAGGAAGTTTTGCACTCTGGTATCGAGAAAGCAGGAATCGGCGTTCAGGGTCGGTTCTCCACGCTGCAGTTGGCGTTATGCAGGGTCTTGCCCAGCAGAATCCTCTTTGCGCCTAGCCAACATCTACCCCCCGCCATGAGGATCAAATTCCGCCAATCTGGCCGCCTTCTAGACGCAGAAGCTCCGCCCAGGAACATCTCACCCCATGCGCCAGGCAGAAGACGTCCTTAGGCCCAACGGCACATGGACCATTGACCCGGGCCAGGTGTTGGTTCGTCTAGCGTCTCCATGTTTCCTGAATGTCGGGTGAAGATTGCGCAAATACATTGTTATTTCCTGTTAGAGTGTTGACATAGTCTACTACGTATACCTTGGGGGCATATTTTGGATACGTACAACTGGACGAATTACGCATACCTAGGTGCCATTAAAGCCAGGTCACAACACTTCAAATTCTTGCATAACCAAAGCTGACCTTCGCTCCAAACTCCCTCATCAAGCAGTCGTCACCCCACCCTCCCCCATTAAGTGCTTCAAAAACTTGCCATGCGCCCCAGGCCAGTTCTCTTCACACTTACCCTTCACAGTCCCAACCAACATCCTATTCGCCTTGATCTCTACATCCTCAACCAAACTCCACTCACTTTCCTCCCCCTCCTTCCTGTCCTCCTCACCCAACTCCTCTGTCCTCAAACACCTCCAAGTAGTCCTTTGCGTCAGCCCCAACGGCGCCTTGATGATCCACAGAACCCCATCATCCAAATCCGTCATATGCGCATCAAACTTGACGGTCGTGTCCCATAGGCCTGCTGGGAGCGCGTTCATGTGGTCGGTTATTCTGTAGCATTTTGCGGTTGGGGTCGAGGGGTCTGAGGGGAGAGTTTCGTGGGATGCGTATTCGGGGTCAAGACGTATGAGGAGTTCATGGTTGTGGAGTTGAGAGACGGCACTGGCGAAGGATATTGAGCGCGGGAGGTGGGTTACGTGGTGGAGGGTAGCGGTTGTGTTGAGAGCTGATATTTGTTAGAGCGAAGGAGGAGTTGAGCAGAAGTTTAGGGACGTACAGAACATGGCTGCCGGATCGATCTTGTTAATTGGTCACTAGATGTACGGCGGATTGACGGTAAAAACAAACTTGCGGCGCGAATGTTCGCTCGTGTAAGTCCAATTACAAGCAGGGCTAAGCGTTCTAGTTTAATACTTGAGGTTCAACAGCTGGAGTATGGGATGAGAAGCTTGAGAGGAACCAGGCATGTGTATGTCGAGGGCGAGTTGATGCTCGTACAGTTTCATAGGGATAAGCGACACGTCTCAACTAGCAACGCTCCCGCTAGTAAGAGAATGAGCTAGCGACGAGCATGCTGCTCCTGTGCGCAACATATTTCCGGGTGAACACTGTTCCGCTCAATATACGTTACTATGTGTTGTAGTGCGAGCGCGGTAAGATCGAAGACAGCAGATTGCCTGGTCCGATTTACGCTGCTCCGTGCACAACCGGTGCCCCTCATTCACATTAAGTAGCGTGCAGCACGAGCCACTCGGCATGTGTCGCGTCACGTCGAGTAAAGGCCCCATCGTTCCTGTGTTTATTCCTGTTTGCACGGGTCGAAACTCATGATAAAATTGATCATCTACCTAGGTAACTCTTCATGCGCGATGGAACATCCCCGCAGGGTAGAGAAGCATCAACGCTTTTGTCCCCAGCGCAACTAAGCCTAGAACCCAAGACGAGCCCTCGGTTCACCTATTTGATTCTTTCTACAACCAAGCTAGCGAAATTGTTCACGAAACGTTCTCGCCGTACCAAGAAGCCAAAATCCCCCATCTCTTACTACCGAGGTACTTGTGGTCCGTCTGTCTGAAAGCGTTGAGAGTATCGCGTCACAATTGCGGCTGTAGTTGGAAGTGAACAATGTTATAATGGATATCTTGAGCACTAATATAAGAGTGACACTTCTGGCTTATGACCCCACATGTACTAGTCATCAAACATATCGTTCTCTTTCTAAGCATCCTCACTGTGCCTTTAGCTTTTGTCTGTTTCTGAAGTGGATACAGCACACTGAAAAAGGCGTTGCAACTTGATCAGGAGCTATCCAACTTACACAGTGCTATGATAGATTGCAGCAGGATCATGTACACAATACGTTCCACAGCATAAACAATAATGGTATTGACCGCAGTTACTTATGAACTATGCGTACCCGCACTTCGAAAAATGATGCCAAATCACCCGGCGATTTTGAAAAAGGGCGAGTGGTGTGATCAGAACGGATATCCGCATTCGAAAGTGCTTAGTTCTGGACTCTCATCTAGAAATTAGAACTCACAGCTGACGATGCTTCAATCATAGCCTCTCGCTCGACAAATATTATTCCAGGTTAACACCGCCACAAGGCCCTCCAGCGCCTTGCCGACGTGGAAGTACCCACGTTCAAGTTCGACGCAGCATCTTTCTAGGATCTATATACACAGATTGAGCAGGCCTTGGGGCTGTTTCGAGAAGGCGCGCCCGGAAGCTTTCAAGTGAAAGGAGGACATGCCTATCACGATCGACGTACCTATTATATGGCATTGCGACTTGAACGGCTTGGTCTATATGTAGGAGCTTGTTTTTACCGAACTTGTAAGTTCTTCCATGTCTTTCCTGATCCATACCCATCGCGCTGATACAGCCCTCGTATTTGATAGCTTCTTCCCTGAGTATGACGGCGTATAGGATTATGCGAATTCTTGGGGTACCAATAGAGAAGCTACATCATCTTTCGGGTGCGGATAAACTTGCTGGGGCTTGATAGCACTCTATCCATACTGTTTGAATACTCGGAGAGTTGTATAGTTGCGCAAGATCAGATATAACTTAGTCTTATCATCCTCTTTTAATTCTTCAGTCTTTTCTTTGTTGGGTTCTGCCGGTCTTTCATGTATTGCAATACACTGCCGATAAGCGTCGAATCTAATCAGAGTTGCGTGTAGATTTGCTTCTTTTCAACTTCGATTTGGATGGAGGGGATGTTGTGAAAAGCGTCCCAGATCTAACGGAATTGAACATTAGCTGTAAGCGAATATCAACTTTGGAACTCGAAAGAAAAATGTTTATGCGCTCCTCTAAAAGAAGATCTAAACTGACCTATGGCGTGTATCGGAATGCGGAGCTTGACTCGACGCGATCGGGTTCCGCGGGGAAGCTTGACGTAGCGTCGCTGCGCGTGTCCCACCAAGCACCAGGCCCACCGCTAGCTATTCATCCATCAGACCACGACCACGCAAAAGTAAAGTATCCCACTTCACACAGGTACAAATAATCTTCGCGTCCCCTAACCAACGCAGGGCAAGCACCAATTGCACCGACACACGCACAGACGGCACAATGGACAACCTACTTATGCAGAAGACGCCGACAGCGCTTGCGATTGCACAGGCTGTGGGTATAACAGGGAGCGTATTCCTACTAGGTGAGATTGATCTGGCAATGAAGAACGCATTTCGAAACTCGAACAATGGCATCATGTGTATGAAATGTAAGATCATGGCTGACGAGTTACACCAGGAAGCAACGTCTCGCTCTCCGTAGTCGGCATCCCCTCCGCAATGCAAGCCCCCGCCCCGCTGGCAGTAAAGCAATGGCACACAATATTCACACGCGGTGGCGCAATCGCACGGCCTCTAGCTATCTTATCTGCTCTCGCAACAGGGTATTTAGCTTATAACCGTACGTTCTGCATCCTCTCCATACCGCCAACCCCCCCGTACCCATCCATAGCTACCCCAAATGGCCCATGCATACACTAACACTTACGATAGAGGATTCCAAATCCACACCCTTCCGCCTAAACCTCGCCGCCACCCTCTTACTCCCCAGTATCGTCCCCTTCACCCTCCTTGTCCTCGGACCCACCAATGACAGACTCATGGCCAAGAAAGACGAACTCGCGACTGCGTCCTTGAGCAACAAAAATGTGGAAGCGTTTGCTGCCGAGGGCGAGACGGTACATGAGTTGATGGATAAGTGGGCGACATTGAATCTGGCGAGGGCGCTGTTGGTGGGCGTGGGAGCTTTGTGCACGGTTGCTTCGGCGGTGGTGGGGAGGAGGGAGCTTGTCAAGTTTGGGGGAAGATGGTGAGGCAATGTTGAAAGATGCATCGAAATACGGTGCAGAACATGCAGTTGAGAAGAAACACGGGTCAATGGAGAGAGTAGATGAGGCCGGTAGAGCAATCTGATCAACGTTTTACTTCACGGGAGCTCCTCATAGAATGACGTCAAGTGCGATGAAGAGTAGCGTATATGGGTTGCTGCACAGACGTGACTTTCCGGCACCGTATACAACTGTATGCAGCCCTGTGTAGACGCAGAAGCCGCACGAATGGAGGGATCAACGCGAGGGGACTCATATGTCAGTCCAGTGCACTGAAGTGAGCCCTAGGGTGGGCGAGCGTAGCGCATAAAGACAGAGCTTCGTACTAAAAGGGGATTGTAAGCCATGAATTATCAGCATGAAGCTGCTTGCTTCTCAGTCGAACACTTTCGGAGATCCAGGACCTGTACACACCCACTATGCTGTCGGTAAAGAATCAAACTCAAGAAACAAATATCTGGCGACACAGTGGTAAGATGGAATACAGCAAACATAAACTCCCCAGTGCACAGCTGCCAATGCAGGAGTCGAACATGGCCCCGCAAAGGTGAATAACCAGGCAGATTGAATCGTGGAGACTTGTGGTTAACAATGGAGGGTGGCATAAAGCGTGGTAGTAAAGTGAGTTTGTCCTCAATCTGTCGTTCCGTATCAACATACGGAAGAGATAGCGGTCCACATAGCACTGGAAGGGTCATTGCGGTTTAGCAGTCATGAACGCCAGTGTTTGGATACCATGAAGGCTGGCATTGTTAAGTAGCATGAATTGATTATGCATCCCTGGGTCAAATGTGGCCGTTTGATGTTGAACGAGATGTTGGTAATAGGAGTCATGGTGTTGAGTTCACCGGGGCAAACCTCAAGTGACGCACGTGGCGCTAGCGTGCCGCGGCTGCATACGACGACGTCAATCATGGCATGGACCCTGGATCTTGCGCGAGAGCTCTTTTCTTATTCCTATTGACGCGTCTACCTCTCTGGTCTTGCAAACAAATAGATATCACGCGCATACATTCAGCTCGGGCCTGCAAAATAACGCTATTGTCGCGAATTAAGTGCACGCGACCGCGCCAGGCATCGGCTTAACAGAAGACGGCCGCCTGCCGTCGTATCGCCAACATCACCTTTGCTCTCCGAAACCTTTACCACATATCGCAAATATGGCGCCCCTCAAGATCTCAATACCGACGGCGCAAGACCAAACACCCGAAAATGGCAAGGCCTATACTTCCTATACCATCAAGATCGAACACCCCTTCCCCCGCGCTACAACTAGCATACAAAAGCGCTACTCAGACTTCTCCGCCCTCGATTCCTCCCTCCGTTCAGAAGTTGGTTCCGCGCCGCCAGCTCCCCTCCCACCAAAATCCTGGCTCGGTGGCTTCCTAGGCTTAGGAAGCACGGCGGGCTCACCCGAAGCCATCGAGAAGCGACGGTCCGGTTTAGAAGCCTACCTGCGAGCAATAGAAAGCTCCGAAGACGGCCGATGGCGCATTTCCAAAGCCTACAAACAATTTCTGGAGCTGGGAGAGAAGGATGGTAGTAACGGGAAGAAGACCACAGGCTTCCCCGGTTCACAATTCGGCAAGGACAGAGTGAGAGATAGTTCAGATTGGCTGGACAAGCACTCCGAACTCAAATCCAACCTTCAAGATGCGCGTAGGTGGTTGACAAAACGCGAACAAGCCACCGCAGCAACTGCCCAACACGAAGCCGCAGCCAACGCGAAGAAAAGCCTCGTTCGTGCCTCTACACTCATTTCCGCCTTGGACGAAGGACTCAGTCGCCTTGGTGGCAGCAGCAACAACAAAACAGACGAATGGTCCGGCGAAAAACTCGGCGATGGAGAAATCAGAAGACGAAAAGACATGATCAGTGGTCTGAGAAAAGAACGCGACGGCCTCGACTCGGTACTAAACAGCATGGCCGTCAAAGCAGCAATATCAGGTTCCGGAGTTTCATCACACGCGCCATCTACCTCGTCGGCCGCTGTAACCGAGTCGCAAAAAGCCGGTCTATTCAAAGGCTCCGCATCCCAAACCAAATCATCCAGCAGCCGTCGCGTCCTCGGAGCGCCCGCTCACGAAACAGACAAGACTCGCGAACTAGACAACGAAGGTGTTCTACAACTGCAACAGCAAATTATTCAAGAGCAAGACGAAGATCTGGTTGATTTGACAACGGTTGTGCGCCGCATGAAGGAGATGGGGGTTCAGATCAATACGGAGATTGTGGAGCAGAATGCTATGTTGGGCTTGTTTGAAGAGGACGTGGAGAGGGTGGATGGGAAGATTAAGATTGCCAAGAAGAGAATTGATAAGATTAGGTGAAGCAGGTGGTGTATTGATGGAGGGCAAGGTGGGACTTGATATCTGTCTCTCTCTCCCTCCCAACGCAGTCTCACGAGACTCGGGTATGTAATATAGGGATCGGAGCTTGTGTTTTGGGTATCGGGAGTTTCTGTATGGACTTGGCAAGGATAGGATAATATGATTGTGATACCCCATGGAGCCGCGACAGCGCGATGCAAGTACAAGATGAGTGTATTGAATGTGCGTCTTCATCTACGTATACAAATGGCGTGTATTCAGCTCAGCTGTCTTCCGCCAACATCCAAGTGAAGCGATTGTCCCCTTCACTGATCAGTATTCCCCAAACGGTCCATCCGATCCAGGTCCGAGTCCAGATCTAGGTCCTCCCCTCCCTCTACCCTTATGCTCCTTTCTTCCACCCGGATGGGAATGACGCCTATTCCCATCCCCCTCACGCCCACCACTCTGATTTGAAGGACGAGGACCCGACAGAGGTTCGCGACCCGATGCGGCTCGTCTAGCTTCTTGAAACTCTCTTTCAAGTGCAAACAAAGCGGCTTTAGGTGTAATCCGAACTCCATGTGCTGGGGGTAAGACGTTTGACCTATCAGCTGTATCTGGACGGACGAATGGGTTCACGTAGTGTTGACCGAATGGATTTTGGGCGAATGCGTTTCCGTAGATATGCGCAGGGCTTCCGTTGAGCAGGGAGCTGTCCCATGAAGAAGGATTATCGTTGTGGGCGAACGACGGCGGCGTTGATGGAAGTGGTGCTTGTCTATTGAATGGAGAGCTTTCGGGCCGGAGAGGCGTGTTTCTAGAGGTACGTGGTGGCGTCGGTGGGTGTATCGCCTCGTGTGGTTGTAGTTGTAGTGATTGTGGGATAAATTGTCCGTTGAGGCTGGGAGGATGAGCATCGTATGTTGGGAATCCGACTGCTTTGCTGAGGTCGTAGACTGCTTGGTTGCCATATTTCACAGGTACGTAAGGGGAAGCTGTCGGCACAGTAAGACGAGATGGGAGACGGGTTTTGGCGCGACGATGCTGGTCGACGAATCGCTGGCGTTCCTCCGATCCTCGTCGTGCATTTTCCCGAACCAACCTCGCTGCACGCTCGTAGGTCTCGGAACGAACGGCTGGTTGTGCTAGCTGAACATCTTCGTCTTCGTCTTCATCGTCATCTTCGTCTGCATGGCCGAAACCTCTTATAAGCGGTGGGGCACCGTTGTTGAATAGCGAGCGCTCCACCACCGCTTTGACATGGGCTATTCTCTCTAACAGATTCACACGTTCGTGGGCGATGATACGCGCGTTCTGTGCTGCTATCGCAGCATCGTCATCTGCATGGGTACCCTCTCTTAGTGCCTGTCTTTGTTGTGCCCGTCCAGCAAGTGTATTCCTGGCAGCTTCGGCTATATCGTCGACCTGTTCTGGAAGCGACAGTTCTGGAACGTTGTCACACTAAGGGCAGCGGCCGTTTTGTTGCTCTAAGGGGTCAACCCAAGCTTGGAGGCATTCTTCACCGAACATGTGGCGGCAGGGCATGTTGACACGTGCGTGTGTGCTGCTGAAAGGTTGGAAACATACATCACATCTGTCGTCCTGGAATTCGTCGTAATTGAAGGCACTGGTGTTTACGTTGCCATTACGAGTGGAGCTGGGGGCCGGGGGATCCATTAGTGAGCGGTGGGAAAATATATTGAAGACGTCCGTCCGTTGAAGTGGTGTGCGTGGTGATTGAGGGTAAGTCGAGTCGTAAACTATAGTGGGCAGCGGAAGAATGGAGTAGCGATGTTGTGTAAGTTGGCATGTGTGATGTGGTGGTTGACTGTGAATCGAGTCGAGATTTTGGTTGTTAGTGAGAAAGAGCAGGTTCGATTGTTAGGTACAAGTGACAACACAGCCAGGACGACTGATTCGGAGGCAGCGGCGTCTGACGCACCAATGTGTGGAAAGCTGACTGGAAAGTCGCACGTGGATGTGGAGTTGCCATCCTCACAAACCCAAGGCGCGAACTCACCTGCTGCGGTAATCTAGTAGGGTAGAACACTGAGAGCTACGCCGAGTTGACAATGGGCACTGTAACCTATCAGCGTCACATCCACGCACACCGCCTTATCTATCATGAGCCTGCTCATGTGACTACGATACGTTAGCGCGGAGTTAACTGGAGTTTGATTGGAAGCACCAAGACGCGTCGAGCGCGTTTTACCCCTCTTCGAACTTCACACTCACACTCACCTCACTCTTGCGCCACGTATACCGTCTTGGAAAAGCATCAGTTTCTCTTCTTAATGCTTCTTGACGAGACTACAAAGGTTTCCCACATCCTGCTCATTAACTTTTGATACCCACGAGTTACTTTCACTTCCACAACGCGGCGAGCAACGAAGCAAACCAAGCCCTCCCGACTCAGACCGCGACAGCACGGCGAGAAATGTCCGCACTTCCTCCTTTCGCATTCGCAGATGAATTTGGTTTCGATTACGACGTCGACTCAAATCAAGGTTATCTACTCGACGTGGATACCACAGACCGGTCTCTGTAAGCGCTCCTATCCAACATTGCTGCTAATAGGCTTGTCCTGGGGAACGTATCCAAAAAGACGGTAACGGCGATGATACGATTCCCCCTTCCCTAGGAACGTAGCCAACATCGGGGGCGGACAGTGTCCGTGAAGTCCTCGCCTAGAAGAACAAATCGCATCGCATCGTCACGAAAACATGGGACAAAAGGCCAGCGCAAACAAAGTCGGGAGGAAAAGGCATGGAGGTCGCACACGGACAGAAGTAAAAGTTCTTCTAGGCTGTTCGGATACAGACCTTGCGCACATTGGCCATTGCATCTAATGCAAAATCTCCGCCTGTCCGCTGCACCTACATTGTTTAGGTGCAGGAAGCCTCCCCTGTACAGACCCTAGTAGGGCTGTTAGACCTATCCACCGGTATATGCCCATCTGTTTATCGATGTCTGATTCTTCTAGTGAATGTATGTATCAACATGACATTGACGCCAACGTTTATGGTCTGGCGACTAAATTTCCGAATGTGCCTCCGCCACGCCCAGCACCAAAGCCGTTCCCAACCGGACCTCATCAGAGCGGCATCTCAAAGTCAGTTACCGGGATTGAGGATTGTTTTGAAGTCACGTCTGCTGTTGTTTCGATGGATTACCCAACATTGACTGCAGCCAACACTCGTACTCGCGAAAGGGTTCCCGATCCCATCGCGGTTGAACGTTCTTAGGGGCCCTTAACGTTTGTTACCTATATGATTCTCCGTTCATGTCGAGCATGTCCACCGAATAATGGGGAGAAATTTGTGTTTAGTTCGACAAATAGTCAAAGGAACCATGAACGAAGATACCACGAGGAGCCAAGAGAGGGTGGAGCGAGGCCGAGGAGGATTGGCAACAGGTCAAGCAAGGTTAAGCAGGAGGAGGTCAGATATTCGAAGAGGAAGATGAAGTAGATGGAGAGGAGGAGGCAATCCCGGATGTTGATTGGCAAGCTATAGAATATTTAAGATGGAGTTGGAGAAAGTTGAAATGATGCTACGGGAGATCAGCCTGAACACTGATGGATGATCGGTACCGAAGGGGTATGACCGTTGTGTGGCAGTCCGCATTTTCTTTGTCTTGAAGACCTTGGTCTCGCCTAGTCAGTTTATAGAGAGAAGGTCGGCAACATTATGGAATTCATTCTGAGAACAAAATCGAGTAGCATAATTGGCAGACGTTAAAGACTGGCTGTGTAGATCCTTGATCAAACTCGACCTGGCGTAGATCAAACTCATTCACAACCGCCAGCATTTCCTAAGCTATCTTGAATGAGGATACGTGATTTCGTTGACACGTGACACATCGCTGCACAATGTTCACTAAGGCTAAATCGGAGCTCGCAGCACACTTCGTATAAACCTGACCAGTTCCTACACACTTTTAAAAGCGGTACACCACACTCGGGCAACTCGTTGTAAAAATAGCTAGTTAAGCAGCCATTAGGGCACGAAAGTCTTTCTTAACCAATAAGAGGAGATTTCGTTAGTAATGTTTCCTTTTAGAGGGGCTGGAAAAGCCTTGGGTGCGTCAACGGCTGATTAACCAGTTATTCCTATAACCAGTTGCCTAGGGATAGGTTGGACTCGAGCGGGATTCTGTTTCCCAGAGCTGAAGCCTTGGTAATATAAACACTTCATCATGCCACTTCAACGCCTTCCTTCCAAGCTTTCAGCCTTCGCAACAGGTGAGCGCCCAGTTGCCTGAAGTGCACATAATTGGTGTAGGTTTCGAAGTAGGACATGGCCTAGATCGTGCATCGCCAAGGGCGCAGTGCTGAAGCGATGCGCAGTCAGCTGAGACGGGACTGCCTGGCAACACACAGATAGGAGGGCTGAGAGCTGATCCCCGTCCACACTGTATCACACACCCACACTTCCCACGAACCGTGATATACATAAGTCCTGCTAACCCTAGGACATAGCTTCGTTCTCCTTCCCCTGGAGACGATCGAATGCTTCGGTTCTTCACTCTTACCAGAAGACTTTATTTTCCTACATCTTACTCAACCTCTATCATGGAGAAGGTCCAGCAGTATCCCATCTGCGGCTTTGTGCCTCCATACATTCTCTCGGCTATAGCTGACTCCACCGTCGCCGGCTCTGATCCAGTTGCGGAAGATTCTCGTGTCGCCTGCCAACATACGCTTCAACATGGAAGGTCTCATGCCGATCAACGTCGTGAGCTGTGCGCTAGAACTCAGGTTAGTCTTTCTGATGCTAGGAGAGGCTTCGCTCCCAAACACATCATTGGAGCCATCGCTGATTTCAAGGAGACCCATGCCGAACGACATCAAGCATTTCAGCAAACTCTGGTGTCAGCAGACGCTACAGTCCCAGCCTCCGTGCAACGAACAGTCTATGATTGCAGAGAGACGGAAGACCTCCCCGGAACGCTTGCCAGATCGGAAGGACAGGAACGCATCAAGGACCGCCAAGTCAACAACGTCTACGATGGATTCCAAATCACGCACGATTTTTTTGCGAAGATTTTCGGCCGCAATTCTCTTGATAACAGCGGGTTACCTCTTGTTGGCAGCGTTCATTTCAAACTGAAGAAAACGCCAAACGGGTACAACAACGCCTACTGGGACGGTAACGAGAAGCGAATGGTTTTCGGCGATGGCGATCACATCACCTTTGACTTCCTCACCGACTCACTAGATGTCATTGCCCACGAACTGAGCCACGGCTTTGTCCAATTCTCCTCACCGCTTGACTATTATTCGCAGTCGGGAGCCTTGAATGAGTCTTGTGCCGACATCTTTGGCTCCATGGCCGAGCAATGGTGGATGCATCAGAGTGTGGAAGATGCGGACTGGAATCTCGGTCAAACGCTTTTTCCGGTAGCGTTCACGGGTTCTGCGCTGCGAACTTTCAAGGCCGGGAAAGCATATACAAACGACCGTATCTTCGGAACCGACCCGCAGCCGAAGCACATGCGGGATCTCTACGAGGGGACTGAGGATGGGCAAGGCGTCCATATCAACTCGGGAATCCCGAATCATGCCTTCTACTTGGCTGCGAAGTCTCTTGGTGGAAATTCCTGGGAGAAGGCTGGCAAGGTGTGGTACCAGACCATGACCTCGGGTAGGATTCCATCTGACTGCGATTTCAAGACTTTTGCGGAAGTCACAGTGGATATTGCAGGGAAGGAATTTGTCGACAAGTCGGTGCAGACGGCTATTCGTGACGCATGGTCCAAGGTCGGAGTGCTTACTTCAAAGCCGGCCGTAGTGCTTACTCGAAAGCCGGTCGTAAACTGTATGATCGGACAGTTCTCTGGGAGTATAGGAAGAGAAGGGTAGAACTGCTATCTGACATGGGAGAAAAGGGATATTCGAATGAGAAGCAATTGACTTTGTCCTACAAGCTCTTCAAGCTCGAATGGGTATCCATGATAAACGCCAGTAAATGTCTTCCAATGACCCGATACTCCTAGTAATGCATGAACCTCGAGTGTTGATTCATTCCGTGGCCGTATGCTCAATGACGATGAGTTGCCAGGTCTCCATGGCTTCCATGACCTAACATCAACCCACCTATCAACTTCATCCACTCCGCACGGTACTAGCATCATCCCCACCACCTCCAAAATCTCTCTTCTTCTTCTTTTTCTTCCTCTCCCCTCCCCCTCTCCGCCGTCTCTCCATCCAGCGCCTTCTTCTTCGGCCTCCCTAGTTTCGTCTCCCCACCGCCACCTCCTCCCCCATCCCCACCGTCCTTCTCCTGCAGCACGGCCCCCTCATCAGTATCAAACGCCTTCCTCTTCCTCTTCAACTCCTTGTCTGTCTCCAGCATCTCGCTGACCCTGCCCAGCTTCCCCGTATCCCGGCGTAACATGAATTTGAAGTCGTCGAGCTTGATTTTTGCGCGGCGCGCGTGGTGTGCGACGGAGGCAGCTTCGTGGCAGGTTTCGATGATGTAGTCGGTGATTATTTCGTCGAGGACGCGCATTGTTTCTGGGAGGGGGTAGTCGTTGTCGCCGAAGGCAAGGAGGAATGCTTCTACTGTTGTGGGCTGTCAGATTGGGTGTGTCATGGGTGAGGGGAGCGACGTGGAGGGAAAAACGTACAGTCCTGTGTGGGAAATTGCTGGCCCTTTTGCCGCAGTCTCATACGTGGCTCGGTCATGGTTGTGTGTCTATGTCACGCTCGAGAGAGTGTCGCACCGCGGTGTCCTTGTCCTGCTAGTTCTCGTTCTACCTAGCCGCTGTGATAACAATCGTCGCGTTTTGTTTTGAAGCGCAGAGCCAAGGGGGATGTGTGTAGGTTGGTATGAGCAGTTATGAGGTTGTTGAGGTCATGTCGTGATGAGTTGTAGTCGCGATTGTGTGTACAAGCCTGCCCTAGCGCGACAGCTGCAATGACGATCAATCGCATGCGGGCGCGCAGCGGCGCACTGACCCTCCTCCCGTTCCGACCGCGCGACCAGCGAAACGGACAGTTAACGAACAAACAGCGACAAATCTGTCCAGAAGCGCGCGCATTCACAGGCAACAGCCCTACTTAGTTCCTTCAAACGATCCGATCCGAGTCTCTACAAATACACAAAAGTCTGCGACCACCGCCATCCGTCTCCCATTCACGCAATACCGTCCTCGGCCTAAGCATTCGTCGCACCTGTCACAATGGCACGTCCACCCCATCTTCCTCGTTTCTATACTTTTACCCTCACTGTGTATCTTGCCCATCCCTTTCCATATACCTCCCCTTCCCCATCTTCCCGCTCTCGTCGCTCTCTATCCTCCCTTCTCCCCCTCCCTCTCAACTTCCCTACCTCCCACTAACACCTTCACAGACCGCCCTCTTCAACTTCCAATCCCTCCTACTCGTCCTCCTCCTCACAATCTGCACCTCAACATACGCCCACGCAACTTTCCCTGGCCCACTCGACCGAAACAAAGACACGTACTGGTTGAGCCCAATCTGGAAGGCTGCGAGAGTGGGCGAAAGGTTGAGTCCGTATGTTAGTTTGGCGTGTGTAGTCATGGCTGTAAGTTATACTATGAATATGTGATATTAGAGGGTGTAAAGAGAAAGGGGGGAGATATGTGGGCCTGGAGTGCTGACGATGGGCAGGTATTGCAGTTTATGAGTTGAGTGTCATTCCCATGTACGGGACAATGGATGACGACACATCGCGTTGAAGAGGAAGAGGTAGAAGAAGAGCATCCGCCAAGTTGACGCATTTCACGAAGCAAGGCGTTACGGAACGATATCGGGAAGGAACTGCATAATGAGCATCCCCATCAGAGGTGGAACACATGCCGTGCAAGTCACCCTTCACAAGTACCGAAGTGACCTTGGCACCGCAAGAGTCTTACCAGAAACCCTTGATTTCACCACTTCACACAATTCAGTTCAGTTCAGTTCAGTTCAACTCATAGGTTTTTTTTTTTCGTAAAAATTAAAAAAGATATATACAGAGCAATAAACAAGCAAGGTTTCGCACTGCTTGCCATAGTTTTGCCAGTGTGCCAGCACCCCAATCCATCTAGCCCCTTCCCCAAACCAACCCCATGAAAAGATCATATCCCACCCTGACACCACCCAATTTCGTACATATAGCAGTTGATGATGATACACGACGTTTCCAGCGCCTAAACTAAAACACCTTCTTTGCAAAGGCGCTCGTGAGATGAGAGGTTTCTGACACATTTTAGGCGTTTCCATAAAAACAGCAGCAGCAGCAGCGGCAAACAAGTGAGTAAGAGATAAGAGGAGTGAACAAGCAAAAAACAACAACAAGCAGGACATATTGTAATGTCCTGAACCAACCGGACCAACTCCTGTCCATTGCTGGTACCCGTGTATAAAAGAAGGCGCAATAATACCTTCAACCAACTTGAGAATAAAAAGAACAAAGACCATGGCTCCATGAATAGTGACATCGTAAAAAGGTTGGCGGGTCTTCGCACCAACAGCATGAGCCGGACCTAACTCGCTCAAACTGCTTAGTGGTTCCGACTTCCTTCTCCCTTCTCGAAACACCCATGGAGCGCCGGTCGCGAACCTCTACGTTCTTGCACACCTTCAACGTCGCTCGCATCCTCAACCATGACGTCGTCGGCGCCAACATGGAGATCTAGTTGACTATGCGCATCGTCCGCGTCCTCATCATCGTCATCATCATCGTGGTCGCTAACCAGACCCGGGTTGGACTCGACGGTGTTGGGGTTGAGATCTACTGGTGAGCTTGGCTCGTGATGATCGCCGTCAGACTTGGTTGGAGATTGGAACGACAATGGAAGGCGAGCGTGACTTGAATGGCTGCCCTTTTTGCTACCTGGTCGGGACGATGGGGCTTTGCTTGCGGGAGCGCTGGCTGGGAGACGGGCGAGATGAGGTGGCACTGCTGAAACTGGTGTTGGAGCAGGACTGTCGTCATCTGAAGCGTCTATTGCGTCAAGGTCGACCTTTGCGCGGGCTGTCTCGACAATCTCCTTGAAGTTACCTTGCGCGCCGCTGTTCTGGAAACGGGCTGCAAGGTACGGTGTCGACGATGACTTGGCAAAGCTAGCTGGTGTAGCGGTCTTAGACTCGTCACGTGGAGATGCGTTCAGATCACGATGTACTTCCCGAGCTTGAGGAGCGGGTACAGACTGTGATGCTAGTGGGTGAACGATACCAGGAGTAGCAGGGACGGGGAAAGACACGGCTGGCGGCGCAGCTGGGGCGCTTGCTGGTTCGGTGGCGGCAATAGGAGTTCCAACCTCGTTGACATCGACAGGGACACCACACGCAATAGCTGCTGCATCATGACTCTTGAAAACCTGCGTGTGCTTGATTCGGCAATGGTTCAGGAAACCCTGTGTGTTGGAGAAGTTGCTGTGGCCACACGGAGCGCAGTACAGGCGCACCCACTGACCATCCGTCGATCGCTTATGCAACAGCGGGTCAACCTTAGGCGCTGGTGCTGGAGTTTCACCAAGAGGCGTGAGCTTCAACATTCCAGTCGAAGTTCGCGACGTGCGGCCTCTGTGAGCTGACCCATAGTCAGCAAAGCTGCCGCGCGTCGTTCTGCCCTCACCAGTGCCAAAGTAACCTTGAGCTTGCTGAGCGAGTGCACGTTCAGAAACGGAGTCGAACTTGGCATCCGAGATCAACCATTTTGCGTAGTGGCGAGTGTACGGGCCATCGGTGACTCCCCAAGGAGCAGCATACTGGGGCTCTGTGAAGCCAGAGCTGGGTTGCAGCGAAGCACCAACGCCGAGGCTGGCATCCTCGCTGAGACCTTCGGTACCCGGGAAAGGAATGATCGAGCACCGTCTTAGTTGCTCGAGGGAAACCTGGCATTTGGCGAGCTCCTGTTCAATCAAACGAAGTTCGTTGTGTTTAAGTAAGATCTCGTAGTTGATTTGCGCCTCGATGGCTTGTTGCACAGGGGTCAATCCAGAATCCATGGTAGTAGATGGCGTGTTGACGGATTCAGGTTTGGCAGTCGGTTGCGAAGATTTGCTCTTGCTCGCACCCTCTTTCCTTGCTGGTTGTGCCTTTGGTCGGGCATCCAAGACTTCGGCAGAAGCAGCTTTGGGTGCGTCTGCAAGACGTCCATTCTCGGTCGCAGCTTTCGCATTCGCATTTCCGCCGACGGTAGATGGTCTCACCTCACCGTGGGCACCCTTCCATTTCTTCACTACTGGTTCAGGACTGTCAGTCCGTTTCCGCTTGATCTTGTTCATGAAGTGTGGCATGTCAACGACCGGCAGCGGCCTTGACTTGTGAAGTGTGGATTTCTCCATGATCTTGTCGCCAGGCGACTCGTTACACCATGGGAGGCGGAACATGGACTGCATTGTGAAAGAAGTGGAAGCCTAAAACCAACAGAGCTCATCTGTAGTTGTGAGGGTCGTGCGCATCGAAGTCCAGGTGCTAGTAAGGCTGCAGGATGACGTTGCAGCAGGCGCAACAACAGTAATGCGCGACTGAAGTTCGACTAGAAAATCAAACAGACAGTCGTACGAGGGGAAATATTAAAACAGGTAGGGGGGGTATCAAGTGTGCGCGAAGGAGTGCAGGAAGAGAAGCAACAAGCAGTTAAGCCGTTGAGATGGTGACGTGGAGGGCAAGAGGCGCGATGATCGGCCACTTGATAAGGAAGAAACAGCCGCACCAGCACGAAATTCCAACAAAGAATTCGTGAATACAGGAGAGAGAGGTGTATTACAGTTGTGCAGGGCTACAAAAGGCCGTGTAGAGGCGTGGTGGGGGAGGAGGTTGGGGGGATGGTGTGCCAGATGGCGATGATGTTGTGATGAAGGGCAGCGACGACGAAGTTCGGGGGGGAGCAGTCATTCAGCGCATTTCCGCACGTACGGGCTAGACTAAGCGGCGCTAGCGGGGGTGTCCCTGTCGAGCCACCTCCTTGCCGGAATTGGCGATATGTGCCCTTGCGTCTCAGACAAAAGTCGTCAACAAAGCAATTCACATGCAAGAAATAGCAGCCATGGCCGACTTGACCGTCGTATCGCAGCTCTCCCCACGATGTCTCTTTAGCACTTCACCGCAGACAATCAACGCGTAAGGTTTGCTTTTCGCGCAATTTACATCATTATGGGGCCTTCGCTAAATCTTAGCCAAGGGGCGCATCCGCTAACTTGCTGCCAGCAAACGTTTAACGACTCAAGTCTTGTCTCAGTCGTTATGTCATTCGGCTTGCCGGCTTAGGGCTGCCCGCGGGGGATTCGCAACGTGGTAGGCACTGGAGGGCACCATGAGATGATCTGTCTGTCAGACATGCCCACGACAACATTTTCTTGCCGTCGCACGCGCAGGCACCAGTTTTGCAGAACAAAGCGGAAGCCTCGGATCAAGTCATGTTCCCAGGGGACTATTTACCCTTCGGTGGTCTACGCCTGTCACCTCAGCGACATCCCTTAGGCCTCGATCAGCATCTGGTGAAGTTTACACCTCACTCTCGCTCTGTGGAACAAGGTACTCATCCTAGCCCCAAGGTAGCCCAAGGTCAATTATGCTCCCAAGCCTGGACGCGCATGCAAGCCAAGCCAACGCCACAAAGTGTCGCCGGCGTCCCAGCTTAGAATGGCCTTAGCCCTGCCCTCCACACACTGGCGGCCAGTAACCGGTCCACTAACATGCTGAGAGGCTGTACCCCCCAGCTGGAACATTCTCAACACCACGATGGCGATCGGCTTCTATGCATCATCCTCTCACGATTGAAGATGTCATGTGATCTGCTGCGAAGGCTTAGCGGGTACATTTGTCATGTGATGCAAAAGGACGAGAATGTTCTGCAAAGACTTTGGCAAGTCACAAGCACTGCATTGAGGCAACTTTCATCGCAATATGACTCTTATTAGAAATAGTGATGGATTGCGTTGAGGGCTAAGCTGATCGCGGTCCCGGGCAGTCTTCCGTCTCCGGTTTGTCCCGTGCTTTCGATGCGCGCTGCTTCGGCACGTGGGCTGACCGCGCCGATGCCCACTCCGAATTCATATGTCCCTCCCTCGGCAAAACGCTCCCAACCATCGAGAATACCAAATACAAAATCGAAAAGAAGGAAAATACGCCTATCATAATACACACTCTGAAAATCACGCACTGCTGCCCACGGTCCCTGGAATCGCAGTGTGAGCGAAAACACCCACACTCGATGATGTCGACGCCGGCGCATCTGCGGCGCCCACCACATCGCCATCGCTGACCACTTCCCCACGACTCATCCTCTTGATCGCACTCCTCAGCGCTACCTCGCCATTTCTACCCGGCGCCATTGCCAAATTCTTGAATGGACATGTACCCGCCGCCAACGCCGCATCTTCAATCTCACTTTCACTCTCACTGCCATCGTGCAAAACACGCTTGCCATGTAGGAAGCCTTCAGGCTCGACTTCCGGCACTAATCGCCCTTCTGCAAACTCGTCGCCATCACGAACATACCATTTAGCAAAGAGGTCGTTTTGTATCCAGATGACCTTGGACAGCGCCTTGACTAACGCAATCTTCTTATCCATCTTGAGTCTAGGATGTGAAAGCACTGCCTCAGTAATGATATCCTGGACAAACGAGAGCGTAACACCAATATGCACGTATTCGACATGCAGTGGATGCGCCCTCCCTTGTCCAACGTGCATCATACCGACTTTATCCAAATACTCCCAAAACTCCATTTTGGATGGGTCGCTACATAACTTTGTGAGGTAGCCCCGCAGGAACATCTTACGGTATAAGATTTGGGGTGAGTTTTCGCTTAGGTTGGGGTCTACGGGGCCTTCGTAGGATGTTGATCGTGTTTCGAAGGCGCGGGCTGTGATGTCGTATTGGAGCAACTTCTTATAGACGATGTTGACGACGGCGGGGATTAGCGCTTTGATGTATTTGGCGCCTGTTGTGAGAGCTTCGATGTCGCCTATGGGGGTTAGGACGAGTCTTGGAAAAGGAATCTGGGATGGTACTTACGGGAGCTGAAGTCGAGGAATGAGTGCAAGTATTGAATTCGCGCTTCTAGGCTGGTGTAGAGTTCGCGACGGTCGATGTGCTGCATTGGTCGGCGGTTGAGTGGTGTCATGTTGGGCATTTCTGATAGTAGATGTAGAAGTAACTTGGATATCGTAATGGCTGGTTTATTGTCGCAAAACCTTGTTTGAGTTATGGATGGTGCTGACAATGAGTACGACATTTCATCCAGGATGAGCCATATATCACTGTTGTGTTCGGTGTATACGAGGCGTCCAGCTTAGGAAGGTGGCTCGTGCCCTGAGGTGGTGTGTTCGGTCGTAAGATGGCGTGACAGTCGCCTTCGCATCGCAAGATCGTTACACTCCAGGTATATCCTACGCTCCGGCGCGACGGGATGTTCTCATCGCAACATAATGATGTAGTTCAGAATATGGTGTTCTTGTTCTTGTTGGTTTGGTATCTTCGAAGTGGAAGACCACATTAACGCGCGTCCTTGAGATTTAGAACCTTCGGATTCCCCCTGTCTGCACCTCCATAGACGGTAGTACTTAGCTCCCTCCATTTCCTTCTTGTCTGCGACCTCAAGAATTGTTGGGCAGTGAGGATTACTATGCGTCGAGGTGACTTGTACCTTCCTACACCAGAACAACTTCGACAACCTCAGGGTCGTTGTTATTGAGATAGCAATCGAGGCACATGCACAAAAGGCGAAAGGTAGCAGGGCCTGCACTGCTTTGCGAGTGATAAGGCTGTATGATCAGCCCAAAAGCCGAAATCGCGATGTCGTCGCTTTTGTATGATATGGCACGGGCTGTTCCCGGCGTACGAAAAACGTAATCCCCAGGCTTCACGTGTGCGAAGGCAATAACGTATGCAAGTGATTCATCACGTTCGTAGCAAAATCCCTCTGAGCCTTCTAGCGCCCGTAGAGCTTCTGACGTGAACTTGTCCATATCAACTTTGAACTGCTCTTCTGACTCGTCATCGGATTGCAATCCTAGAAATCCTTTTGCAGCAATTAATATGAGCTTTTGCCGCTCGAAAGAATCTCCTAGGGGAAGAAAAGATCTTGTAACAAAGACATTTCGGACGCCGAACGACGATCGGAGATATATGTTCGGCACAGTGTAAGTAGCACAGGCAATAACCCAGGCTATGATATGACTCGACATGGCACTGTCCCGATAGGCACGATGGCTTCTTGCAACAGTCTCGAGGTATGATATCGCATCCAAGTAGTTTGTACTTGACTTAGTATCGACGACACGGTGGATACAACCGCGGAGCTGAAGTGCTCTCAGTCCGTACACATCAGCAAGACACACACTACCGCCCTTCCAAAGCCCTTCCTTGTCTTTTATCAAAGAGTTATCCAACCTTTGATTATACTGAGGCGGACGTAGCTCTCTGACAAGATATTCAACATCCTGCATCTTCCTTGTCAAGTTCCAGCTTGGTACCCAGGAAGGCCAGCTTTCCTTTTGAGTAGCAAGCCCTCCAAATTCGATTGTGTGCTCTATAATAGATGGAAACAAGCCGAGTTCAATAGCAGTGCTGGCGAAAGTCGTATAGGCATGTGAGAAATGTACGTTATAATCCACGGGGCAAGGCAGTGCTAGCCGACTGTGTTGTGTGTCATGTATTCCAGTACCTGGCAATATGCCATATAACGAATACAAGCGATCGCGTTCATCGACACAGATGGCTGTGTGGTATACTTCCAGAAGATGAAGTATATGACTGTAGACTTCGCAATCATCAGTTATGTCAGAGTCGTGTTTCATCTCCATGATGGAAACCTGCATCCCGTAAATATTGTTGAGGTTCCGAACCAGAGCATTAACTCGATCGAAGAGAACACTATTGAATCTCTCTCTTTGGTAAACCTGAGATAATGCAATTGCGTTGTTCATGAACCGGGACCGTCGAACTTCACGATCTCCGCAATGAACGAGCACTTCACGGCCAAGACATATCTCTTGCAATACCCACCGTCTTGTAAACCAGCCGCGGGAGACGAACCGTTCAAAAGACATAATTGCTGGCGCCAGGTTATCGGAGAAAGCTCTGTAGTGTCTCCCACTTATCGCCGTCCAATTCTCGCGAACGGAACCACTTGGGTCGAAGAGTATATCAACAGCATCTGCATCCTCGTCCGTGCCTGGGCCTAGCCAGACATGCACTTTGCGAGCTGAGGCATATATTCTGCCCATTGAACGTACTTGATGGCTCTTCTCTGAATTTTCGGCTTGGTTGATACATACGATGCCCCCCACCAGCAGCTTTTCTTCGGCACAGAGCCCACTGACACATACTAGCATCTATCCACAAATGGAGTGGTTTTGTAAGCTTCCGCAGATGTCGCAATATCTCATCTACGACAATCGTGACGCGGAGAGCTTGGCCGTCGCAGATGAATGTCGTGAAGCTTCGCTGAGGCCCCCAGGCATATGACACGCAATTGTATGCTGGTGGGTTCTCTTCGTCGTCCCCGATCGTCCGCACCAAGAAACTGCCGATTATAGGCTCAGCAAATGCGCCTGGCTTCAGGCAAAGGACGCGGATCTCCTCATCTGGGATTATTGACTCGTATTCGTAGGTTATTTCGAGTGACATCTTTCGCGCTGATAGCTTCCAGCGCTTGTAGCGCTCATAAAAATGATTTGGGTTTCTGTTGCCATCCACAGACTTTGCATCGAATCAACAAATGTCTGGAACGCGCGCTGACGGGGAGGTCACCCCAAGGCTGTCGAAATGTGAAGATCGAGGGCGTGCGGCGCAAGTGCGACACCAGGCTGCTAACAGTCTATCACTGATGGAGAAAGTAAGAGCGAATAAACAGCGATGAAGGGTTCGAATTTGTTCTGCCGGTCTTCTGCACCCCGCACCTGCACGTTCAGGCAGGCTGTGGTGGGGCCGTGCACATGGCTTCTACTGCCAAGCGTCCTCGTCATTTCCGCATCTGAAGTTCTACAGACGTTGTAAACACAGAAGACTGGGCCAGTACTTGCCGGCAATATCACCGTAAGACTTGATTTGATTAGGAGCCTGTAAATACTGTTTCATTTTCTACGCCTTGCTCTTTCGTCATCCGACATCGTTTGAAAGAAGGCGGACATCGCGCATCAGACCTCTCCATACATGAAAGCAAATCAGTCCACGCAAACACCTACAAGGCGAGAAAGTTCTTGATGCGTTGAGTTAGAGGGTCGATATGGTGGTATGACCAGTGCAAACACAGGCTCAGCGGAGTGAGGTCAGGATGCCAAGACTATTGTTCTGCGACACACCAGGTCGCCAGGCTCTACCATCGCGAAAGCAAGACTTAGTATGGGTCCCTTGTTGGTATAGAAACGAAAATTATACCGACGGTTTAGCAACTGGTTGGCTTCCTGCAGGAGACCAGAACTGTCGGAGTCGACCCGCCCTGTCATCTCATTCGTTAGTTGCTTACGCATTTCTGTATCGACAGCATGGTATATGAGATCTGTTTGCTGAGCCAATACTACTGGCGTTAGTGTGGATTTGCCACGTGAGGGTAGCAGCGTTGTGGCAGACTTCCGAATTTCAACCTCACCTTTGACGCAAAAGAACTGTGCGCTGTAAATCGCGACCGACAAGAGTACGTTCGCCAAGGCCAAAGACTCGTGGGAGAGACCAGCGGCGGGTCATCACGACAACTTCTCCATGGAGAATCCCATTGCGGTGGGACAGTTTTGACTTGATTGGGTATCGGCGATAGGATGAGCTCTCCCAGACAGGGATATTCCCTTCATCCATCCAATGTTGACAGTAGTGAGTTATACCTTCGTCTCCCAGAGGGATTTGAGGTTGCACCTTAGACCTCTCCTTTGCTCTTCTGTAGACAAATTCAGACACTCGTTCAGGTGTGGCATCTTATTCTCAGTGCTCGAGCTTGATACCCATGACGGCCTGCTTCTATCCTATTGTGAAAGGTTTCCGAAAGCGATCGCATGATATAGGACCTCATGACTTCGGCCAGCCACTACAACCGCGTGAGCGAAATCAGTTTAAATTCAGGAAAATTGCATGCCATAGCTCACGGAAAACCAATTGTAACAGTCATATGGCATACTGTAGAGTGAGTACAGTTGATCCTATTCATTCATACATTGGGTGGCATGGTAATTCCACAGGAGCTGAAGTATTGGTCTGTTGGTTATTTATTTGTTGGTCTGCTCGCCCTCGCTGTTGGATGAACGGCCATATACTGGGTCTCTATTAGAGTCCAAAATAGTAATGTGTCTCGCGGCTTGCCGAGTGCCAGAACTCTAGTGGAAACCGTGTTGATGGTCCAAGTGCACATCCGCGCAGTGATTCAACGATTCCCATGTGAACTTTCCAAATCCGTATTGTGTGGTCAATAAACGACTGAGGACCACCTCTTGTAGTACCCATCGTCGTGTAAACCATTCCCGAGAGAAAAGGGTATCAAGGGAGGGAAAAGCAGAGAACACAGAATCGATAGGCTTAGTCGTTGTGCCATCTGGAACTACCTTTTCCAGGTTTCTATGGTCCTCATCTGTCGCTGGGCCAAGCCAGACAACCACGTTGCGGGCCATTGCGTATATCGTACCTATTGAACGGACTTGAGGCTTTTTTCCGTGGCATCAGCTTGGTTGATGCAAGCTAGGCATCTAGTTAGTCACAACCCGACCTAGATACCATCTCACTTACTAGAATCTACTTAAAGATACTGAGTACTTAGCGGCTCCTGTAGATGCCTCAACATGTCATCTACGGATCTTGTGATGCGAAGGGAATTACCGTTGCAACTAAAGTACGTATAATTTTTCTGTGGCCCCCAGCAATACGATACGCAATCCCATCCAATATTACTACTGCGTCGAATCCAGGTCTCGTCCGGCTGAGAATCAGTCTTGTTTGGGATCTTTTGCACCGAGAAACTACCGACTAATGGTTCCCAAAACATGCCTGGTTCTAGACGAAGGACACGTATCTTCTCACTTGCAACGATTGACTGGTAGAGGTAACTCGCTTCTTCTTTGTTCATGGGATCTGCAGATCCTGCGCCGAACAACGACGGGAGGTTGAGTCGATCCAAGTTAGGCGTAATGTGAGGGATTCACAACGACCAATGGGAAACCAGTAGCACACTGCTCTGCACTGCTCGAAAAGCCAGCAAGGCGACAGAAAAGGGTGCGAGACGAAGAGTTTGTGGAGGTTACATAGCGGGCTGTGTTGTGTCTAAATCGCAGTCCTTCAGACCCCGCACCGGCGCGTTCGAGGTGGGATGCGGCGCGGTTGACATATCTCCATTGCCGGGGATATAACAATCAATCATTGGACATGCACGCGGAATTAGCACAGTAAATGCGTGGTTCAAAGTAATGCATGGGCGGCTACATCGCGAGCGTTGATGTTACAAGAGAGCGATGGTAGGCGATGTAGGCGCAGGAAGGGCCTATGACATCATCAACGTCAACACAGGAAGACGCGTTTCTTCATTCACATCGACCAGCGATAGCATTCTTTGCACGGTTCACGCATCCGGGGGAGTCAAAGCCCTTACATGCACGACATCGAAGAGTCGAAAGATGGTGATAGAGGTGTCTCTGCGACTAGTGCCGTCATTATGCGCCCGTAGCCGATAGCTTCAGCCCTTCCCCATGAAACGTGACCCTTATCCCACTGCACACCTGCATCTCACCCCGCAACCCCCCTCCGATCTATATCGATACTGTGACGTACAATGACAATCACCAACGTCGCCCTCATCGGTGGCACAGGCACGCTCGGCGCACCCGTCCTCAATGCGCTTAAATCCTCCGAGTTCGACATCTTCGTCCTCAACCGCCAAACATCCAAATCCGTTTATCCAAAGACAAAAGTCATTACAATTCCCGATGATCTGAACGTTGATGGGGTCGCGAAAGCGCTGCGAGAGAACAAGATCGATGCACTAATCATCACCATCGCGGGAAGCCATGTCGAATCACAGAAGAAGCTCATCGACGCCGCGTTCAAGGGCGGCGTGAAGCGCGTGATGCCAGCGGAGTTTGGAAGCTGCGACTCTGCAGATGACAGGACAAATGAGATCCTACCGCTAATGAAGGGCAAAAAGGACGTTCGGGACTATCTTCTTACGCTTGAAGGCAAGGAGCGAGAAGAAGGCATGGGAAAGCTTACATGGACAAGCCTCGTCACAGGCCACTTCTTCGACTGGGGCATGACCTGCGGTCTTTTGAAGTTCGACGTAAAAGCTCGCAAAGCATATGTCCTTGATGGCGGCAACATCAAGTTCTCCGCCTCAAACTTGGACTTCATCGGCAAAGCAGTCATCAAGATTCTAGAGAAGTCTGATGAAACCGCGAACAAGCTACTTTATGTCCACAGTCACCACGTCACGCAACTCGAGGTCCTTGCTGCGCTGGAGAAGGCTACTGGTGATAAGTTTGAGAGGATCAACCAAAACAGCCAGGAAGAGCTGGATGTTGTCAGACCGAAGATGCTCAACGGGGATGGGGAAGCGAGGGAGGAGGTCGTCGCAGTGTGGGGAGTAGTGGCTGCGGACTGGAAAGAGAAGCAAGGTTTTGCGAACGAGATGCTTGGGCTGCAAGAGGAAAATCTCGATAAAGTCGTACGAAGGGTTGTGTCGGAGCTTTGAGCGGACACTAATCTGCTCGGAACAAGCAGCCAAGAACGTTAGTATAGTCAACAGAGTACGCTAGTGATGAGCACCAGCTGTATGGTCATTCCAGCAAGTTTATACGCGCCAACAACTCTACTAGACACGCAATCACGGACCTCGCTGTGTCAAGGCTCATTACTGCATGTAAAAAACCCTTCGTTGTTCCGATATAATCGTGCGTCATTCAGTTGTAACACGCCTTCGGCTCGGTACATGATTAGTCTTGCGATTGGCTGATTACTATTCGATAACACACACGTGCGACACTACCATATTACCTAGGTAAAGCCAACGCACATCTAACTAAACAACCAAACATATATAGGCATAAAGTCGCCCTTCATTCATTCAACACGATAGTAAATATTCAACACAAACCCCTCTCTACACATTACTCTAGACGCCACTAACGACTTCCGGCCCTCTTCTCAACCACCAAGATGCCTCTCTGGGTCATATACCATCCACCCAGCACATTCACCTCTACGGCCACCAAGGCGGCTTTAGCAAAAGCAATCACAGAAATCTATGTGCTCGGCGGCCTCCCCAGATTTTACGTCAATGTCATCTTTCAACCCATCCAGCCCGAATCGTACTACATCGGCGGTGTCGCAAGACCCTCCCCAGATAGTGAGGACAACAAGCCTGGGCCTGATAGCTCGGTGCCTTTTATCAGGATCAGGATGGAGCATTTTGCTCGAGTAATGTAATGCTTCCCAACCCCGTCCCTCCTTCAGTCCTCACCCTACGACCTCCCTACCAGTGTCTGAATCCCACATAGTCTCCTCCCTGCAATATGTTCCTTCCGTCTTATTGGTACTGACAGCAAGTAGGCCCTCGGCCGCACACCAAAAGCGCTTCTTAGACAAGGTCGACGAAACGCTGAAGCCGTTCATCGCAGACCAAGGGTATGACTGGGAGTACAGTACTGAAGAGGCGGATAGAGATTTGTGGAAAATCAACGGAATGCTGCCGCCGATGCCGGAGACTGTGGCTGAAAAGGAATGGGTAGAGAAGAATAGGGCGGTGGAGTTTGAGCCGGAGCAGGGTGGATTGCCGAAGCTGTGAGAGGATTGGAGTGGAGATAATGAATGGGCATAACGTGATATATGTGCTTCTCCTTGAGGTTCAGCAGTGTAACAGTTGAAAGAGTATAGTCTGGTCCTCTAGTACATTCCATAGGTATTGTCCGCAGTCTTGTTTAGTGCTGAGCGCCTACTCTCTCGTGAAAACGATATCAAGGCTCTAACGCTAACTCCAAAGCTCACGATCAACTCGCTGTTCAGCAGACTAAGGTGAGCCGTTAAACAGCTTGTAGCGCAGCCTCTCCAGTAAGCTTTCTCGCGACGCGCTCTCCACACTCTTGACCCTGTCCTCCATATTACCCTCTTTACCGCCGTCTTTCATCCCGCCTCCAGCCTTAGAGCCTGCCCTCCAAACTGCAAGATCGTCTTCGGCGGCCTTGTAGACGGGTGGTACGTCGGTCTGGCTGTAGTGTTTTGTGATGGATTCGCTCGTAGGCCATTCGCGGCCGAAGAATTCTTGTACGTCGCGCCTGAAGGCAGGATCTTGGTGGAGGACGTAACCACTGCTGTAGGCGGATTTGAGAGGCTGCACTGTAGTAGAGCGTTTCTTACCAGAGAAGGCAACACTGGCCGGAGAAGGTAGCGAGAAGTTCGCGGATACGGGCTTTTGCGTGAGTGGCACGGAGGGATCGAAGCCGAAGGATACCATGGGCTTGTGGATTGGGGTGAAGTCGCGCTGCATGTTAGTCGAGGGGGATATTTGTGGCCAGATTTAGTTGTTTGGGGGAGACAGAGGGGAAACCATGTTGGTTGTTGAAGGAGCTATGATTTGTTAGTGCTAAGGAAGTGAAGGTGAGTCGATATGTAGAAATTTCTCACGTGTACTGAGCGTCATCCCCATCTCACCTAACAAGAAATGCACCCCTTGATGCGCGAAGCGCAAGGAAGGTTCTCCCACAAGCGACTCAATCTATTTGACTCAAGTGCAAACATTCTCGGCGCTTGCGGTCGCAGTTGCGCCGCCTTCATGAACTCTTTGTAGAATGACCAGTCAGGGTCCAGCTCCGCTCGAATGAAGAGTAAGAGTGGGCCGAAGTTGTTCAATTTCACCTTTGCAGCGGGTGTTCGCTGTCGGTGGCTCTGTTTCAAGAGATGTGTAGAGTAGTGGATGAAGAGAAGAAGAGAAGGTGAGGATGATAGGAACTTGCAGGTAGAGAAATGTGAACAAAGCCATACATACTAACGATTGACAATAGGATCAACGACCTATTGTGACTACCCGCGCTCGCGTCGCGACAATAGCGTGAAAGAGTACGATACCTCATCTAGGTGCCGGAGCTGCACCGGGTACCGTGAGAGATGCGCAATAGCAAATCCGACAAGCTCGACATCCCCCAGGCTACCATACGATCAGGCAGTAGGGCTATAAAAAACTCTCTTGAGACATTTTATGCGTTACTGGCATTCCATCTCTTTGCGAACGGATCATGGTCAGGATCAGTCCAGCGCACGTACTCCGCACTATCAGCCAACTCTTGTGCGATCTTCTCCCCATAGTTCAATCCCACGAAGGCATATGTTGCGTCTATACCCGCGCTGATACCAGAGCCAGTAACGATGTTTCCGTCCACGACCCATCGCGCCTCCGCAACCCAATCCACGTTCGGCCCTGTGCTCGTCGCCCACGCGTAGGCGCGCTTGTTTGTCGTCGCACGCCGCCCGTCTAGGACACCAGCGCGCGCCAGAATCGTGGCTCCAGTGCACACACACAACAAAGCTTTCACACTGGGGTACATATTCCTCACGAAGTCGATCTCGGCGCTCATATCATTACGCGTACCGACACCACCGGGTACGATGAGGACGTCGATGGCGCCAGCCCTTGCATTCCCTTGCGAATCCAACTCTTGAAGTTCAAGTTGTTCGTGAAATGTGCGGTCTACCATCATGCTTTGCGACACATCCGTCTCGGGATGCGAAAACATCATGTTTCCAGCTCTTTGATGCGACGTCTCTACAGGGTCAGCGGTTGCGGCGAGCATAGTCAATTTCGTGGGGAAGTGGTAGAGCATGGACATCGAGTTGAAGACATCGAGGGGACCAAAAACGTCGAGCGCCTGAAAGCCGGGGAAGAGCAGCACGCCATAGTGTACAGATTTCTCGCCGTTGATGTCGAAGAATGGAGGTTTGACGGCGGACAGGTTGACGGTGCCATTGCTGACGGGGGTCGGAGGAAGTTCGGCCGACGTGGTGGTCATGGCTTTCTGGTGCGGCGGGGTAGGAAGGACTTTGGGCGTGGTAGCGACGACATCTTCTGATCTTCGAGGCGGCAGAGCCCCATACATACCATCGCAATGATTACCGAGCTAGTCTGAATACGCGCGAAATGGCGACTGTGGCTTTAGTCCCAGCTGAGGGATTCACAGATTCAGCTAGACGCACCGTGACGGACGGAACGCCTAAAACACCTGCACGTATGGAACAATGCTGACAGCGACCGTGAACGACATCATGCTCAAACAACCTCTTTCCCAGCACGGAGCGGCTGAAACATACGATTATGTCGCATTCGCAAATTGTGTTGAGACTTCAGTGGTGGGTAAGCCACAGTTGGCCATGGGCTAACGTCTCATATGTGACGGGCTACCCACATTGACAACGTCCCAAACGGGATAGGCTTTGCGAATGAGAAGTGTTGCGGATAGAGGTATCGTAGGTTGTGAACGAAAAATTCATTTGCCCTGACCCAAGCATGATGAAGAGTCACGAATGGGACGCGCAATCTCTCAATCCAAGTCCTAAATTCAGTTTAGCACGCGTCATCGTGTCTCTCGTTTTAAGACGACCAGGTATATTCACATAATAGAGTTCACCGGTACGTGGTTGGATGCGCCTCCAGGTGAACAATATTCGTCACCCGGATCTTCGTTTGCTATGCGTACACCTGGCCGATTCTGTCATTTCTGGAATCGACTGCCACCTTCCCTAATCCTTCATTGCACGAATCCCATTATGCCGCTATCCACAGAAAATGGTTCTCGGAAATCAACAGAGACAGACGCACAGCAATCAAGAGACATGTGGGCTCCGCGGCGATCCAGTGAAAGTGGGCGACTTAGCGACGAAGCCGTTCCACTTTCTCAGATGGGCGACGTTGACGCGCTCATCAAATGGAACGCCCACGACAACAAGCGAAAAGGTAACCAAGCGCGCAAAGGAAAAGACCCACCAGTATTGCACAAGCTCACGAGAGAACACATCCGAGCTTGGAAGTAAGTCTTGATTCTATCCACCCCCTTCAACCCCATTCACATCTGACCAAACGCAGAAGCGCCGCCAACGATTACAAGGTCAACTTTCCCCGCGTCAACCTATGGTCATGCATGTACTGCCTTCACTACATCGACTACCACAAGCGACCACGATATTCGCGTTTCCGTTGCGCGGAACGGGAGTGCGTGGGCAGAGGCAAATTGCAAGTGAACTATCTTTGGAATATCACCGAAAGCGTTCCTGTGTATGTCGATGGTCGGAGCAAGTTGTTAGGGCGATCTTGGGCGCGCCCATGGGAGGATGTCGGTGACATCTAGACCATCGATCTAGGCATCGTGCGGGTAAAGCGAGTCGTCCCATGGTTCTGGCGCGTCGGAAGGCTCGATATCCATCTCACTGTCGTTTTGATCCACCTCGAGGTGCTCGGTGTTGGAGATGGTTGGAGACACCGACGATGTCGCCGGGCTCTGGTGTACCGTTGGCCCAACAAGTTCTGCATTCGCGATAGTTGGAGGGGAGGCCTTTATTGGAGAATCATCGACCATTTCTGACTCAATCTCTATAGCCAAAGTATCTTCGAGTGTGACTATCTTCTAGCCTGAGTTTGTTTGCTTGGCCATCATTGCATCCCGCTTCTGCGGCCGAACCACCTGTCTGTCCTCTCCATTCTCGTCATCATATTCCGCTTCCCTACCATCTCCCACGAGCGGGAATTTAACCGTTTCATGGCTATTCTTCTGTTCTTCAATCTCAGCCAACATAAGGTTCGCCAGCCTATTGTGATCTCTCGAGATGTCCGGAAAGTCCTCGTTCACGAACTTTGCCATTGCGTCGGTGGAGTCTTTGGACCGTGCTCGCGACGTCATGATATCGCCATAGTACTCGCGATGGATCGGGCAGACGGCTGTAGGTAGCTTCTTGAGGAGTTTAATAATTGTGGCTTGGACCGTGTAAGGTATTAGATAGGAGAGACCTTTGGAGGTGCTTAAGCTGCAATATTTGTAGTCGACCATGATTGATAGTCGAGTGACGAGTGATGTCCTGGGTGGATGCAACAGTATTCTGGAAGATTGACCGTGATTTTAACAAGAAAGAGTTGGTTCTGTCTGAGGTAGTATGGACAATAAGTGGAACTTGACAGTGAACGAAAATACATGTTTCTACTGGGTAGGCGCAAAAGTATTTTCTGATAGCAGTGTAGTATCTACCTTGATATGTTGACTAGCGAGTCCTTATACCCTCTAGCCTATTTTGTCCCCTTCTTTCATCCACTATTGCGATGTTTGTGAACGGTTTTAAGATCAGCCTTTTCCCTATCATCAGCCGGAGCCGGCGACTATAAATTCCTTGCAAGTCCTCCCATCCATCGAATTAGTGTATGTCGCCGCGTCCAAAGCATCCAGAGGCTCGACTACCTCGCCGAAAACAATATGTTTCTTACCTAAATGCATAGATGAATGGCCGCAAATGGTGAGTGAGGATATATTGGCTTGTAGGAAAAGTCACCAGTAAGCTATTATCGCAAACCGCAGGTTCATTAGGCTCAAGGCGATGATCAGTGATATAGTAGGTGTGGAGCTTGCACTAATCAAAACTTTAGCTTAGACCCAAGCAATTTTTAGGAGGTAGTTATGCAGTTGTCATCATCCGATGTATTGTGTATCTCCGCCAAACTGGACATTCGCTTTCAGCCGGTTCATATGTTCTTCTCTCAAGCATATTGCAGCTGTTATATCCTTCTCGAGTGATTTTGACATAAGGAAAACGAACCCTTCTAGCGCTTTGGAACGCGGTTTCCGAACAGCTTTAGGCTTGCCTAGCCTAACATCAAACCCAGATCGGAGGTTCGTACCTTTGGCCATGAATTGAGAAAGATCAACCATCCCAAAGCTCTCTCTCCACAAACTCTCTTCACTTTTCTGGCCATAAGGCCGGGAGAATGCCTCTCATAAGCAACTTCGAACATTCCTTCTTCCTTCACCGCTTCCACAGCACACTGGGTTCCTCAAGGCTAGCCCGGTACTGTCTACCTTCAGGAGCCAATTTTCACCTACCGTAGCGTAGACTTGTGTTGCAGCCCTTGCTCCGCAGCCTTTGACATGCGCTGGATCTCTGGATATCCAAACACAACCTGATTCTGCTGTCCAGAAACATGTTTATTCAGAGCAGATCTTTCGACGATGTCGCTTGGATGTACGGATGCAGCCTTGTTTGAGGGGGAAAGATAGACCTCGAAGAATTTTGATAGATCAAGTTTCGGAATACGAACCATGAACTTCCGGAGGCAAGAACATTCTTTCCTCTCTTCTAGATACTCCAGTCTGCATAGGGTTGCCTGTCCGACCTCGTTTGCCCTTGGTGACTGTCTCCAAATCCATAGCATGTGTCCATCAGAGCATGATCTGCCATGGATGGCGCTTGGTCCGTATCGTGAATGGCGAGTATCACTGTATCGATGAAGCGGGTGAAAGGCGCTGTAGTGGACGAATCATGGACTAGTAAGATTCTCGTCCGAGGCCCAACGCGCGAAAAGCGGGGGCAATAATAACATAGCTGCCGCATGAACTCCCGCAACATCGACAACGCCAATGACCCCTTACGAATGAAGAATATCAATAACTGGAAGTAGAGTCGCATGATCTTTTTGTCGGCATGGGCAACATAATCGGGCATTCTCTCCTCGGCCACTCCAGATCCGTTATCTCGTTCGTATTCGGTACGACATCGTCCCCGAAGGTAGTAAGTGTTGTAACAGACCTACTGGTTGCAAGGCTCATGCGCATCCTCGGGCGTCCATAATCTGGTCGGTACCAGTACCGGCATACAAGAATATCAAATTCACTAGATGGGGCAATAGATCGGTCTGACGCTCGCATGGCAGTGGCCTCTTTTGGTGCTGTATTTGCATCCACCATAGCTCACAAAGTTCCCAATACCCGGTTTCACCCACCTATGTCACCTCAAAGACGCCAGAAAGCATCGCGCTCACCGGTGCGATGCCTACGTCGTTGATACCGCTTGAGAACCGCACCAGTAGGCGCCGACGCAAGTCTGGGCCGTAACTGGTTGCGATACCCCTAGAGCCATGACTCAAACCATTTCAAAGCTTGAATATATGCCGACTGCTTCGCATACTTCTGCTTGGGGATGTTGGCGTTGACCCTAACCCCAAAACCGTGGGGGGCGCCCGAGTATAGTGTCTGTTCATAGGTAATGTTGTTGCCAGTGAGAAGAACCTCAGCGTCGTAACGCTGCGTAATGTTGTAGGTTCTGTCGAGCTCTAATCATCGCATTAGTCCAGCAATCATAAGCAGATAAAACAGCACTCACCACCACCCGCGATACTGATTGGATTCACGATAGTAGCGATTTCTGCATTGGAGAGCACACTCGGATGCGCAATAAAGCCGACATCAACACCCTTGCCTTCGGCCAAGAAGCGAGATACATATCTTCCTCCAAAGCAATATCCGACAGCCCCGATAGTCTTAATGCCGAGGTTGCCGCGTAGATATTCGATCGTCTTCTCGATGATAGGCTCGACGTTTTGGGGTTGGTGGTTGGGGAACCACGCAGTCAGATTGAGTTGACCTTCAGGAATATTACCGGGAATCGCGTCGCCATTAAATAGATCGGGAATGACGGTAAGGTACCCTGCGCGAGCAAAAGAGTCCGCAAGCCTGGATTACGGATTAGTTCCGCATTGTGCTCTTTTTGCTGCGTAACTTCACAATTTGTTTTCCAGGAGCGGAACTCCAAAGATGTCAGTCACGAACAGGATCGCGTTGCTGCTGTTCGTCCTGCTGCGGTGGTCTGGATACGCGTGATAGATCTCGACTTTGATATCTTAGTGCTGCTCATAGAGATGAATCGTCCTCAACATTGACATACTTCCACCGATATTCTTGATCTCGCCTTTCGGTTGGCCTTTACTGATGACGGAAGGAAACTGGTGTCCCGGTACCTTCCATGCAGAGGCGAGGGTGAGTGTAGCGAGCACAGACACACAAGCGCAGGCGAGCTTCATGGTTATATTGATACGGGGAGATGTCAATTGGAGAGGTTCAGAGTGTAAGCAAGAAAAGTAACGGCTAGAACTTAAGGTAGATACGTCTTTATAGATACCGTTTCACGTAAACTGCCTTCCTGATTCTTCTACACTAGGTCAGCACGCCTTCCGATTTGCGGAAAAGCGGACGGGAATGCGATCATCCAGCCTGCGTCATCACCTACATACATGTTAGTACACATGATATGACCTGGGGAAACAGCCCTGGAGATGTAATTTGCAGGAGTTACGCAGCAAGATTACAATTGAAGATCTTTACTGTAACTGTCAGCTTTTTGCATTAGCGGCTTGTGTGTCTTGGCAATTCCCCTCTCTCTTTCAAGCTTCGTTCCAGCTTCCTTGAAGCCTGGTGTAGAGCACCCGGTACGCAGCTCCACAGAGGGTGTATGGGAAGTTTGCTTATGCAGATTGGATTAGCGTATGTAGATAATTGCCTCTTGCTTCCTGCTCTAGGTGTTGCAGCGCAATGGTTGTTGAACTCGTAGTTCTGCCGGCCGGCGGTATTAAGTGCACAAGCTGTGCAGGAAAAGCCGACAACAAGCTAGAGCTATTTTGAACGAAGTCATGGAACTAAGCTCAAAACCGCCTACCTGGCCGTCAGCAAGTCATATAAAGAGACTCCATCTTCGACTGCTGCGAAGTGCCACATGCGCTAGATCTAGCATGGCGCTGCGGTAGTCTGCATCGTAATTATGCCAACGCCACCTATAACCGATGCGATTAATGCGGAGGAAGACTGGACAGGGAAATCGAGCACGGAAAGCCGAAAGCTTTAAAGTCGGCTCGGTCAAAGGGCTCATCTTGGGTGTTTCAAGTACGCGCCTACAAAATTCGAGATTGACAACCACGAGATAGGAAAAAAGCCAAGGGTTCAAGCACAACTCGTAACTTAGTCTTCCAAAGAAGCAGCGGCCCATCTGGGAGTTTGCTGTCCTCGTATTTGTAACTGAAAGCGTCAGAAATGACCAACACCTTAGTCACTCCGGAACTAGAGCGAATCATCCGTCAATTCGCGGACGCAGCTTACATCCGATACCTGCAAAATGCCCCCTGTTATCTCATTTACCCACCATCATCCACCTCAGTATAATGAATTCTCTGGCGTGTAATGCTTCGACCTTGGTCTTTCGAAGACATGGCTACTGTGCGATTCTATATCTCCCTTGACTCAGCACACGCCACTGGACCTCGCGTGCCCTCGCATTTTATTTCCAACGATGTTGCAGCTTACCAAACTGCACCATCCGTGGGTAGGTTTGTTCCCCATGCCTCAACTTCGGGACAACACTATTCATGCAGCTTTGCACGATTCACGCCTCGATGAAGATGAGTTGTGGTTCGATCTTCTGGAGACGAAGTACGCTCATGTTAGTGCTGAGAGTCCGTCACTGCAAGTGTGGGGTGAGCCCTGGAATATTTAGAATTGGGAAGCCAACAGTGAGTCCCTAAGGAAGTGAGGCTATCATCTCCACGGGTGTACGACATTTTTAGATTCTACAAACCATTGGCAAATATGAAAAGGAGAGAAACCGATCTCGTTACCATCAAGTGTAAATAGAAGGTTGTTAACGATGTAGTGACGCAGCATATGACACTGTGCGAGTGTCACTGCGACTTGAACAGATTAAGATGGGGACGCTGAACACAAGGACTCTGGGCGTCAGCCAGTAACGAAGTACGGGAGTAGGGCTTAACGACTTACGATTAATGAACAATGAAACATCTAACAAGTCGTCTCCAACCCACTACGAGCTGGTGTAAGCCTAATGTCACGGCTATGCGCAAGTGTCGTCACCTGTTGTTCCTCCAATCTGGTTTTGGGTGTACTTGTTGACAGCAATACCTAGGTACGGAGCTTCGCAGCGCTTACAGCTCCACCAGATCCAACTCTGATCAAAGAGAGTGGAGATCGGAGAGCAATGCATAGGGGATGCTGCTTACGCAATTACCAGTGTTGGTGCTTCTCCATAGTGAACAAGGAGCGTTGTACACGGCACACGGACTTCGTACCTAAAGCACTATGTAGTTGTGAATGAGGACGATAGAAGTTTAAGATAAGTAACCAGCAAAGGTTGGTCTTAAGACAAACGATTCGTGAAACGGGTTTCCCGATCGAGCCTAGCTTCTGTCAGCAGTCTGCACAACTGTCTTAACATAGACAACGTCAAATGATTCCATGATCTTTGCTCAGGGTATTTTTAAACTTCTTCAATACTATACATAATTCATTGCCTAACGGCGTTACTGACGTGACCTTGCCAGGTGTCCGGCGCTATTTAATGAGGCTGTGTTAACATCTCGATTCATTCAAACAGGGATAGCGCGATACCTTGGAAGATAACATACCTCCTAAGCATATGTGAGGGGGCTTTATTACCGCTGATATTGATGGTGATGTGGTAGTTGTGAATGGTTCGTTGTCTATCGGTTAGTGTAGTATCCTAGGGTGATATGGGATGAAACCAGAGTTGTTTTGAAGAGAAATGTCATGCGATTCGTACAGTAGAAGATGTATCTAAGGCCCATAGAACTCAGCGATCCTTGGTGACAGCGCTAAGCGTAATCGTAACGCTACGCTTTACTTTGTCATACCTGATAAGCCACTAGCAGCCTTTCGTCTGCAGGAGGAAGTAGTTGGCATAGATTCTGTATTCGTAATTCGTAAGTCGTTACATCATGTCCCTGCTCTCCTCTACTACTTGGTATCCAACGCCCATGTGTTCAATGCCCCCATATCATCCTATGTTCTCTAGTCTAGTTGTCGCCGTCATCTCTACGAGCTTACAAAGCTCTCCCTCTTGACCGCGAGGAACGTCAAGCTCCACAGCTGTCGGATGTTGCTCTCAGTCGAGGTCAATGAGCCGAGCTGCTCAACTTGGAATCCGTTGTTGTACTTCCAGCTCCATACTTCATGGCTTAGCTGATCACGATTGGCGTCAATGATATCCCAAAGATTGTTATAGGCGGAGAGGACCTTGTTATGAACCGTAGAGTCTGTGCAGAAGTCTGAATGATTGTGTCAGCACGTTGATGATGTAAATAGAGCTTTGGTGATTTACCAGGAGCATCGCCCTTTGCACAACGACCAAGTTGTCGCGCAAGTCCAGCGCCCATCATAGCAAGCTGCCAGCTCCAGACCACAGTACCGTGGTAATCAGTCTTCGAGAAGCCTGCAGCAAAACCTGCGTTTCCAGCGTACGCTGGATTCGCGACAAACAGACCAACCTCACTCGCCAAGCCAACTGGGAACGGTTGAAGGATATGGTCAGCAGTTTGGCTGATATATGCCGTTAGTTGGGTCTGGTTTGTGGTGTCCAGGAAGAAGTGTCGGAAGCAATCGTCAGTGTTCATAACGGGTACAACGGGTGATCCAGCATTGCCGTCTAAGGCGAGACCGTAGTAGACGACGTCGCTGTTGACTTTATCGGCGTGGTTGGGCACACCGAGGTTGGCGTTGGAGACATAGCCTTGAACGAGAGACTTGGCCTCGGCTTGTGGTACGGTGACTTCGAAGAAGCGTAGCGTCTCGTCTTCCCAGATTTGTGCGTACCGATCAGCCTCTTGGGACCAATCGGGGTGATCTGAGAAGAAGCCAGCACGGCTCAAACTAGCGATAGCACGTAGTCCTGCTGGTACAAGAGCTGTGTTGACGTCATACGGAATGCGGCCTCCTCCGAGACCATTGTTGGAATCGCGCCACTCGCCGACCGATTCGCCCTGGTTGAGCTTGATGAGATTCTCTTTCACTTGGCTCTGCGCGAATGGCGCCGCGATTCGCATGATCTTCTCGGCCGTGATCTGGGCTAGCTGAGAGTAAGGCAGTCCATTGTTCTCAGCGAGAAATGTCGCAGTCTTGCGGAAGAAAGCATCAGAACGTTGCTTGCCAGCGTCCGTATCGACAAAGTAGCTATTCATAGCAACAGGAAGCATGAAGTCTGTATCAATCATCTTATAGTCACAGCTAGGTGCGCTGGAATCGATCCCCTTCTTCCTGTTCAGCCAAGTCGAGTAATCGCCGAGAACCTCTTCATGACACACTGTACCGTCGTTGCGGTTGATTCGCTCAATAACAGCTCCGATGACGGCTTCGATGGCGGCTTCGCTGAGAATAGGCTGCATCAGCAGCATCGATATCATACTATCGCGACCGAAGTAGGTGAGAAAGCGCCATGTACCGGCTAAGAGCTTGTTGGTGTATGAGAGAAAAGACAAGGAGGTGGTCTGATCTGGATTCTGCGCAATCAAGCCTGAAGAAGCATCGTTTAAAACTTCTTGAGGGCTAAGCTGCTCCAACTGCGGGTAGTTGTAAGAAGCTTCGAAGCGGTAAGACCCCGCGCCGAAGGTCAAAGTCCATGCAGCTTCACGGTTCAGCGTGATGGCTTGGGCGCCATTCAGAGGCGAGAACTTTAGCGTAGTGATTGTTACGCCGTCGAACCAGGTACGGTTGATTGAGGCGCTTCCGTCTTGATTGGTAGCGAAACCGAAGCTGTTCTGGAAGTCCTGATTAACACTACCTCCTTCGGTGAAGTCACGAATACTCCGTATACTACCCAGAATCGGTACAGTCAGTCTAGCAGCGGTGTTGAACTTGATCGACCCTGAAACTCCAACGCGATCCGAAGCGGTCAGTGGCTCTACCGATTGTCCATTTTCAGACTCCTCCAGGCTCATGGTCAGACTGCCCGATCCGCCCTCAGTCTCGAATCGAGCCATAGCACCACTATTACCCGCAGGCCATGCAACAAGAAGGCGAGGCTTGGCAACATTGGGATCTCTATCTGGCTGGGGACTAGTGACGATAACGTGGACGCTGGTATGACAGTCTGAATAGAAGTGATTGTTGTGGGGTCCGTCTTGGAGAGATAGTGTCGTGGCTGCTTCCGCGCATGGAGAGGATAGATCAGTGACAGGCGGGGGAGAGGATGGTCTTCCTTGAGGGTAGGCTAGTACGCCAGCTACCAGGGCGGCTGAGCCCAGTACCGTAAATGTGACCATGGCAATCCTGACTGACTCGTTAGTTGTTGGGTATCGCATATTGAAGGTAGAGAACGTACTCAGGCTTCCAAAATCTACTTCAGTACCTCCAGCCTGTGGTGAATGGTGTTGTGTACGTCGAATATAAAATTCTTCGCAGTTGCAATCACGGCGATGAAAATACCGAGAAGGGTCTTCTATTACCGCTATTTCACGTCCCCAGGGCCGTGCATACAAACAATAGTTTTACAGATTTACTTATTCCCTGGTCCATGCTTCACTTTTATACTCCTCGACCCCATACCGCCCTTTACGTGACCCACCCACGATGTGCTGTCACACGACATAGAACTCGACGTCATGGCGCGGAGCGTTAATAGCTCGAGTCTTCTGAGATGTGACGTTCGCCGCAGCTGCCCTGCCTGGAGAGACCAAGATCACGATGGTTACTCCGGTGTCTTGTTTGTGGGGTACTGTAGTGTTGGTTCGTTGTACTTTGACCCGGTGATCTTAATTTCCGAGCGCTTAGCCGGATCGGGTCGAGATCTACCCACGGGCCCACATCGCCTCATCGTGTGTCATGACCCGCAGACTTCAGTCTCTCCTGCATCTTCTACAACCGCTATGACATTTGCCAACGGCCTTGCATGAGCAGTGCATCTGATACACACGACGCCTCTCAGGCATTCACCCAGAAGCGTCTGTCGTAATCTCTTGAGATATATCACACTTTTGCGGGCTATCGTCCGATCAAGCCGCTGTCATCAGTATGAAATTGTCACGCGCCGACGGACTACCATTACCTTGCTAGTGCTTTAGTACACGCCGGAGGAAATCGGTAAAAATTCGTAGTTCTGCTTCATCGCGACTGGTCACTAGCTCTTGTAGTCTCGTCATGGCCACGGGTACAACGACCGAGGCCGTTCGAGTAGCGCCAAATGAACAGCGCACTATACAAGCCTCCCTTAACACTCAGCAAGATGTCATCGGCAAGATGTCTTGACCAGAGGAGTACGGTCTAGAGTAAGGTACGGAAGGCTTTGGCCAATCACGGATCTATCCCGATATGAAGTGCAACATCATAAAATCTGGGGTAATTACAAGGCGTGTATGGGTAAAGGATGGTTACGAAGAACTTTGCCGGTCCCAGTACCCTGGTTGATGGTCCTGGGAGGATGCTTATATCGTGCTCAGTGCGATATTGAAATGGGTTGACAGTCCAACCGTCCATCACATACGCAGAGATGCGCCTTCCAGCCATCCCGATACTCTCTCTCCTCATCACCGCCATCGATGCACACGGCCGAATAACTACAATAACAACTTCCACCGGCACCATTTACCCAGGCTGGGACCCCGCGTCCTCCTCCAACCTAACACCCCCTTACCCCCTCGCCGCATGGTCCGCCTCAAACCTCGGGAACATCTACATCCCCCCCTCCCAATTCAGCACCTCAAACATCGCCTGCCACTACAACGCCGTACCTGGAGCTCTCCACGTTCCCGTAACAGCTGGCGAAGAGCTAAAACTTCAATGGAACGAATGGCCAACGTCGCATGTGGGACCTGTCATGACGTATCTAGCGGAGTGCCAGGGTAGTTGCGCTGACGTAACGGGAGAGGAGTTGCAATGGGTGAAGATGGATGAACTGGGGTGGCTGAACAGTACAGGCTGGGATGAATTGGACCTAGGTGGAACGTGGGCGGCGGATATGCTCATCGCGAATGGGTTTTCGTGGGTGGTGAAGATACCAGATGTACTTGCTGAGGGAGACTATGTTTTAAGACATGAGATTATCGCGCTGCATGTAGCGGAGAAATTGGATGGTGCACAGGCATATCCGCAGTGTGTGAATTTGCGGGTTGCGACAAGTGGGAGGAATAGGGAGGCAAGGAAACTGGGTGGTGGGGTGAAGGGGAGGGAGTTGTATGGGATGAGGGATAAGGGGATATTGGTGGATGTACATCGGAAGATTGAGGGTTATGAAATACCGGGGCCCAAGGTATGGGAGTATGCGACGACGGTAGGGCAGCCTTATCAATAGATCACGTACGTACGCCAAACGAACAATTTGGAGTTTTCTAATAATGAATATTGGATATCAGAGCTTGTTACATAGACTTGTCTCAAACAACAAAGGAAATTACCACTACGCCCATACGTGCGTCCCCTTTCTCCCGGGGCGCATTACCGAAATCGAAGACATGCGCCAAAATTCTCCCGTCAACACAACAACTACTCATGCCTGCTGCTCCTTAGCCGGCCTATAATGTCCATTCAGGTCCGCATCGCTCCCATCACTCCTACTCTGATCGCTCTCCCTCCTCTCCCCAGTCAACTTCTCCGGGTTCTGCGTCGCAGCCATCTTAGCAGCCTTCTTCCTCCTCATCTCACCCCAAACAACCGCTGCCACCCACACGCACCACATGACACCAGCAACAACGCCATACGCGATCTCGCCCTCACGCGAGTTTCCCGCAAGCAGCAGTCCAAGTCCACCATTAATGATACCGAGTGTGATAGCGATGCGACCAACCCAAATATGCGCATAAGACCAGAGAGTACGGTGGCTGTACTTCTTGAAAAGAACGTGGTGGATCCAGCCTAAGAAGGGTTGGAAGAAGATGAGCGCGAAAACGAGCATACCGATGATTGCATGGTGGCTACTGATGTAATGACCTCCACTAACAGGCAGCGCAAGCCAAATACCCAGACCAAAGGCAGCGGTGTAAGTCAAGTAAGCGAAGATCTGGAAACCGGCGTGCAACCACAGGACACCGGGGAAGGAAGCCAGGCGAATGACGATGGAACCAGCAGGGAAGAGAATGACAAAGGCGAGGGAGGCGAGGACCCCGTGGGCGATGAGATGCTTGCGTGTGTCGGGTTCGCTGGAGGAGATGGATGTGAAACCGGAGTTTGCGCCGCCATTGTTGGGGAGCGTGTCGCAGAAGGGGAGCGAGGAATCGTCGGACTGACGTTTATCCCAGGGTGCGCCTGTGGGGAAGGAAGTTGGACGTGCGGTGGGACGACCGGTCCACCAGTCATCATCGTCGTCGTAGGACTGGGTTTTGCTGGGCTTGTCGTATTTGGATGCTGATGCTGATGCTGTAGCTGCGGCGCCGGATGGGCGTTGGCGGCAGTTGGTTGCGGCTGGGGTTGCGCCTGTTCCGCCGGTGGTACCAGATGGAGATGTGTTGATGAGGGGGTTTACGCTTGAACCGCCCTTGGCTGCGGCAAACTCCCAATTGAAAACCCCTTCGTTGTTGTGCTGGCGGATGGATGCAGAGGTGGAATCGTCGTTTTTTGGCCCACCAGACGATTGGTAGGCGTAAATCCAGTTACCGCTGTTTCCGGTGAAGTCCATAGTGCCACCAGACCAGCTATTACAGTTCGAACCTATGTCACATGTCAGTTGTTGTTCGAGCTCCAGCGGCCGGTAGACAACTTACATCTCACGTTGGCTGTCATGACACCGTTCGCTACACCAGAGCCTTCCAGCAGGGTGACCTGAGCAGCATCATTGGAACTGGGAGCTTGGTAGCTGCCCGACGTCCGTGGAGACAATGTTACGTTGCTGCCATCTGCTGAAGTGTATACGACGAACATGTTGGAGTTGGCCATGCCACTGCCCTGGCCAAGCGCAACCCATTCATAGCTACTTGGTGCAGATATCTGGAAGAAGATCTCTCCGGCTCCAGATGACGCTGCTGTTGCATCAGGGATGTTGAGCCCAAAGGATACACTGTCAGAGGGAGAGATATTGGCGACTTGGGCCGAGGCGCGATAGGCTAGATGTGGTTAGTATTGTAGTACTACTGGGCTATGGTTAGGGGCTTACCCAAAGCCAACAGGCCTACAGCAGATGCCTTGGTATTTCGTCTCATCTTTGATAGAACTTGGGGGTCTTGAAAGGAAAGTCGATTTTAAGTTGTCAAAGGGCTCGACGTTTAAAGGCTAGTGACGCCCAGCTGAAAAGTGGCTTGGAAGGCGTTCCTAGAGCAAGGTGGATGACAAAGCTACTGATCTGGCGTAAGGATAGCAGAGCCAATGGGCCGATGAGAGAGGATGCCTTGAAGGTGAGTAACTAATGTTCAGTCCGATGATGTTCGTTGAATGTGGACAAAGAGGTTTATAGATGGTGGAGACCGGGTCGCCCGTCTTCCAAGAGTACCATCCAAGCCCCAAGATAGATGCTGACAGAAGCATGGCTACGTACACATACTTGACCTAATTTGGTGAGTAGGTATCGAGTAGGCACAGTCGAACCAGCGGTATTACTGCTGCTGTGTGGTTGGACAAGGCTGGCCGAATGCGGCGGCTTTGCGGAGAGCCGTGACCGACTGGGCAGACCGCTTACAACCTCAGGATATGACAACACAACTTGTGCAAGAGGTACGCGTCAGAGACGCCATGAGGCGCGAACAGTGAGATTCCCGAGCGAGCATGGTTGCAAGCTTATCGTGATACCAGTAAGGGCCAGCGGAGTTAACGTCGGCGTGGCTTGGCTTTGACGCGTGCGAGGTGGCTAAGTGCAGGGACAAAGAAGTAATTCAGACTTCGGGCGAATAGCACATCGCGTATTTGCAAAAGTAATATCCCGATGCTGGGGCACGCTGGCGAAGGCAGGCATGTTAGTTCGCGTGCGGGTGGTGAACATGTCTGTTAGCCGCGAAGCCCTAGACGGCCAGTCCTGGACCCTGCCGTTGTGGGGCCCTGACCGCACGTTTCATCGTCCCAGCCGCGACTTGTTCCTCAACACCCACCTCCGCACTCCGTATACCAAGACATGTCAGCAAAGTGCGTTGGGTCCAGACTCTGATGCGTTCATGCTCGTCGATCTGGACAAATTTCTACAAGACCTTGGGCTCAGGGCTGTCCCTACATATTGTCAGCCCCTATCGTTCGTTTGACTTTACTCCAACGCTACTCGGAGATTCGGCCATTTCCACATATTACGGTATATACGGTGTCCGGTACTATAGCTACTACCATATCGAGTTGGTTACTGCTTAGGGTCCTCTGCACTGCATGTGTAGCTGCATTTCCGGTTTCACGTGGCGCTGTATTTGTCTCGATAGGCGCAGCGTGGTGGCTTGCAGCCTCAGCCCTGAACGTCCGCGTCAGCTTTGACAGAAACCTTGGAATCCAGGAAGTAAAACCAACACCATCGGCATTTTGTACAGAGAATCACCGAGGTATCACTATGCCAAGCTGATTCCATCCTCTCAGCATACGTCGACGATGAGCTATCGACATCTCATCGGGAGATGACTCTATTGCGTCTTGGTGACGCGATTCGTAGGGCTGACGTTGGTTGTAGAACGAAAGGTGAGCGCCTCGATCTTACAAAACAATTGTTCCACATCCGCGACCATTACAGTCCTGCTGCTGCGATAGTTTTGTGCAAGTCCCTGTCTTCGTGTGCAGTTCATGATTCTTTCGTTGTTCAGCTCGACGTGGTAGTTTTCTCCAGCACCGATAAAGGCCCTTTTGCGGCTGAGCAGCAATCTCATCAATCACGTGTCGTATCATGCACTGCCTCTTCCAAGTGTCTTGGTCTGAAGTCACTTTCAGACTTCCCATTGCACTCGAAAAAGGCCCGAGGAAAACCTGGGGTCATTCCCTACGACAAATCATCCGGTGGTAATGCTTAGTGATGGTGCAATTCCAAATTCATAGTTCGCTGCGCCACGGCTCTAGAGCGTATTGGCAACAACCAGCGCGGAGAAAACTGGATGCGGGTACGGCCGTAGTAGAGTTAGGCAGTTGTTGGCCACGATCGACGCAAGCGAGGTACAACACCATGGACAGCACCATCGTGGTCTCCGATCCTCCGCAAATCACCCGGCTTCACGGCGTCTCTATGAACGCGATGTTCGTATTCAATCAATGAATACTCCACCTTCTTCTTTTGAACATTTACTTCTACCACATGGATCTGGAGCGGAGGCGGTGAGTCTTCCTGCTTCTGGTTGTTTGGGCATCAGACTTCATCCTACTTCCTCAAGTCGTCGCATATCCACTCTGCGACCCTCCTAGCTCCGCCATTCACCCTTCCTCCGTTCCTGAGAATTTGGAATAGCCGATACCCATGTACCTATAGTGGAGATGTTTGTCGTTGCGGAGTAGCATGCCCAACTAGGACTGACGTCCTCCTTACGACCATAGTAAGAGTGCCGACAGTCAGAGCCGTTCGATGGCACCACGCAGTGTTTTGACATTCGAGACCACCATGTACAGCGCGTTCGGTGCGTTAACTGTTGACACAAGCTTTTCCCCGCCTTCTTACCTCATCCTAGAGTGTGGGTGTTCTATGTATATTAGCGGTTACCCGGCTGCTGCATTTAGCCATCACTATAACATGTCGGTCACACGCAATGGCATCAGTGACTGTTCGCATTACTGAATACCTCCTTCTCTCCGCTGTCCCCATGTGCGTTCACATTAGGCAACCTGTCAACTTCATATGTTGCAAACGATGGCGTATTGTGCGATAGATGACATGTCGCTAGATGGCATTGGCAACAGCATAAGAGACAACCACATAAGACTGCAAACAGGTCATAGCATAGACGCAGTAGGATTGTAGCTTCACAAAGACATTCGCATCCCTCCAGAGCCTCGCGACCGCCACAATGGTATCTCTCAAGCACCTCACCGTCGCCACCTTGATCGCGACTGTATCAGCGCAGTCAGCGAACGCCACGATTCGCTACATGCCCTTCGGCGACAGCATAACTGAAATTGTCTGCTGGCGATCAAAGCTCTGGCAGCGTCTCCAAACCACTGAATGGGCAACCGTGAACTTCGTCGGTAGCGGCAAAACCGAGAACAACTGCCGCGACACAACGTACGATCGTGACAACGAAGGGCACTCTGGTTTCCTCGCCATCGATATCGCGAATAAGAACCAGCTTGACGGTTGGTTAAAGACGAATCCGGCAGACGTGATCACCATGCACTTGGGCACAAATGATATTGTGCAGCAGAATAAAGCGGTGACGGATATCATTGCTGCCTTTACCAAGCTTATTGCCACTATGCGAACCTCTAATCCCAGAATGAAGATTATTGTACGTATCCTCAACTTTTCCTTTTCGCTACATATCATCTTCTTCTACCCCAGTATCCGCTCTCCACCCACTCACTGTCTCAGGTGGCACAAATCATTCCCCTAGGCAACGGAAATTACAACACCAAGATCCAAGATCTGAACCGGGCGATTATACCTTGGGCTCAGGGTCTCAATTCGACTGGGAGCCCGATATGGGTTGTAGATCAGTATACGGGATTTAGTGGGAGCGCGGATTTGAGGGATGGAGTCCATCCGAATGACAAGGGCGATGTTAAGATGACGGGTGTGTGGTTTCCAGCGGTTGTGAGAGCGTTTGAGGCGGTGAGAGCTGATAGGGTTGTCGTAGGGAAGGAGTTCATGGCATAGCTGGGAGAAGATGGAAGAGGGACAGAAGGGCATCAAAGTAGCTCAAGTGGCGTAGCTCAAGTGGCGTAGCTGAAGTAGCGTAGCTGAGCCTATACATGGTCTACCTCGAACCATGTCAAGATGTTTCTACAGTTTCACGAATCATGTCACTTTTGACGATGTGTGACATGCTTTGATAGCTCGGACGGATCGCGACTCCAGTATAGAAAAAAACAGCACGTGACCTGGACGCTATGATCCCACGCTAAAAACTTCGTGGGGCAACGGCGCCCAAATTGTCGACTCTCCGACTAGGGAAGGCGCATCAACAAATAACAGCACTCTTCCACTGTCACCGCTTCCAGCGCCACCTCTTCACACACAGACACTTTAGTGTTGCATGCTTTTATCTCATCGCGGATCATTCAAAACAAAGTTTTAGACGTCAGCACTTAGATATCCGCCATGGGAGAATCAAGGTACGTGCTCCGAGGGGTTAGGCTCCGGCCCATGTCCGCAGACATGGCTTCACTTTGCGAGCATACACTGACGGCACCACGTGCACAGACAAGAACTCGTCGCTTGGTTGAACAATCTTCTCCAGCTCAACATCACCAAAGTCGAACAATGCGGTACCGGGTACGTCACGCGCGCCGAGCCGTAGAGGGGCATCAGGGTCCACGAGTGAGAACACGAACTGACATGGTGGAACAGAGCAGCACTGTGCCAGGTCTTCGACAGCATATTCTGTAAGTCCTTCACCCACTCCATGCGCGAGGCGAGATTAAGACTAACAGCGTGCAGACGATGTGCCCATGTCGCGAGTCAAGTTCAATGCCAACACTGAGTATGCATACCTGCAGAACTTCAAGGTATTACAGAGTACGTCTTCTCCTCCCCTCCATGCTAATCAGTACAAAAGCAACTGTCGCTAACAGCGCAGCAGACACGTTCGCCAAGCACCAGATCGACAAGCCCATCCGCGTCGAGTCCCTCGTAAAGTGCAAGATGCAAGACAACCTCGAGTTCCTCCAATTCGTCAAGCAATACTGGGACCAGCATTTCCCTGGCCACGAATACGACCCTGTTGCCCGTCGCAAGGGCCAGGGCGGTGTCGCTACCGGCGGCGCTCCCGCACCGCGCGCCGCTGCCTCGACCGCCCGAAGAGCACCTGCTGCAAGCAACACGGCTGCGCCTAGGACACGTACACCGCTTGCATCTGGAGGCGGTGCCGCCAGCGCTGCTTTGCGCGAGGAGAACACTGCCCTCAAGGAGACTGTCACGGGCTTGGAGCGCGAGAGGGACTTTTACTTCAGCAAGCTTCGCGACATCGAGCTGCTGATTCAGCAGGCCATGGAGGCTGACCCTGAGCTCGAGAAGGACGAGGGTCTGCTCAAGCAGATCCAAAACATTCTCTACTCCACCGAGGAGGGCTTTGAGATTCCACCCGAGGCTGAGGGTGCTGAGGAGGAGACGTTCTAGACGGGCGATACTTCTCTGCATGATACTCCGACGGTCATCGACGTACAAGAGGAACTGCAAAAGGTCATTGCGGAAGCACAGGTGCTGTTGGACAAGGCTGAGGCGGCTGATACGGCTAGGCCCAAGGGAACTGACATTGTCGGACTCGGTGGTGCGAAAGAGGTTGGTAGCAGCTCTGGATCTCCCGTGGCTCCTCCATAGACGGACATGTCTTCCGGTGAGACTCTTCATTTTGCACATCTGTCATATCTTCTTCCTTCGTCAATGCCTCCTCCTTAGCCAAGCAGTCTGCCGAGTCTTCGGAGAGTGAAACGTTCCGAGTCCTGAAAGGATGGACAAGGCCATGATTGCATTTGGAAGCGAGGATACCACTTTCTGGGGAGATTACTTTCTTCCTAATTTCAATTACACGATGTTTATGAGTTGTGTGGTTGACAACTAGGTCCTTTTTTCATCTGTCAAATCGTTGAACTGTGCACTTGTATGACTTGTTATCTTTTCTATAGCTTTGCTGCCTTTTCTAATTTTTGACTTGTACTCTTGTTCTTTTTGCTCACAAAACATCCTCCTCCTCCGCCGCCGCCGCGTCTGCACAACCCAGAAATACTCGACCGTCGTTCCATCTCACTTCGATTCACCTTCCCCCAGACCTCTTACTCAAAACATTCCCCACTATGCCCCGCATTATCCTCTCTTTCTCACTCTCAGCTCCAAAACATTGCCCGCAATTCCAAGCCGGGTCATCTAGGTCCACAGACTCCTATGTCGTGCCAATCAGCTCCATAGTGACAGTGCAAGGTGATTCCTGGGAAACTGTATTTGGGTGTGTGTGAGATGATGTTTTGGAAGAGTGCGATGTGGCGTGCTTTCATTTGGTTTTACAACGTCCTAAAAACTTGACGTGACATTTTTAGTACGGAAATAAGCTCAATACGTCGTTTGATGTAGTGCATACAGGATTGTGCATTTATTCCTTGCCGATGGAAGTAATGAATACCCGTGAAAGCTCCCTCGGAAAGGGAAGGCTACTTGAACAGCTGTATGCATCAGAATCTCTGTCAGGCGATAGATGTCAAGTCGCCCTTGGGTGATACTCTGCATCTGAAGTTCAATCTCGCGGTTTGACAGGATTGCGAACAAACACCCAAAAAGTGGATAAAGTGTTGCGCAACACTCTTAGCCCATGAAGCGGAAGCACCGTGTTCATGCATATGCTACACAGAATATCTCACGAACATTTGCGAGAAATCACCGATATGCTTGGGCGAACACAGACAGCATGCACTTACGTATTGTGAAAAGTGATGTGTATTGTACCAGCAATATCCCTCATAGACCACAAGGGTTCGCTCACATCTTACGTCAATACAGGGTGACTAGACTCAAATAGCAGAGATGATTTGGCAACCAATTGTATACACTGAGATTGGCTGTGCTTTAGATTTGAAGACCTTCTATTGGACCGGCAGTCTCGTCTCACCTCCTCCAAAGCCAATCTTCGAATTCCTTAGCGCTCAGTCCCCGCGGAACCTCATGTAGAGCTGTCTTCCAATTCATCGAGATACCTTAGTATTCATGGGTCGTCGGGTCTTGAATTAGTTTCTTGTACTGTATCACATCCGGAGTGTCGGCCCCAATGGTGGTCACGTATAGTGGCACCAGTCTTTCTGCAAATATCCGGGCCCTCGCCAAGTCGCCGTTCGCGATAACAATCTGGAAAGCGTCGGGATATGCCTGGGCTAGACCAACTTCATCCAAGATCGGTTCGTTCCAAAGCCGGACCTGTTCATCGACACAGCTCAGCATTCGCCGGGAGGACAAGATGAGGCCCGGTACACCACCTTCATCGATTATGCAGTCTAACTTGTGGATTCGGTTCAGCTTCACGTCACTCTTCCTGCTCTGGTTGCGTGGTAAAGAGCAGAGTCGACAGTAGCATGTGAATTTGAAGTTCTCCTGGAGCTCTTCCCGCCGCGTCTTGCGATCTCTGCGACTGCTCAGGTAGCATATTGTGATCTCGTCCCCTTCAAGGATATCTCTTACAGCATGGATCGTGAGCTGATCAAGGTTCTCGTTCCAAAAGTTTTGTGCATTACTGTCACAGGCGTGATTGATTCGACATGCTTTCATAAAAATACCCCCAGCATCCAAAGTCGATCCCATGGGTAGGGCATTCGTTCGAAAGATGCCACGCCATTTCTCTATAGGAGTGGCGTAAGGATAGACATTGTCCATAGATAAAAACTCGCGTAGTTGGTCTTTGCTTAGAGAGCTGACCTGTTGATGAATAGACATGTCCAGCTGCTCCATGTTTGCGATTGGGCGTCCTACAGTAATGAAAGCTGTTTCAGAGATGATTCGCGTGCCCTTTGGTATATCTTTGGTCGCGATGATGCCTTTACCCTTGCCAGAGATATCTTCAACGGCGTACATTGGTAGGCTCGCTGAAACTCCCATTGCGCCGATTTCTTCTCCTTGTACGAAAATTTTCTCTTCCTAGAGCGTCAATCTCAGATCCGGATAAAATCTTGACTCTTCACTCAATGATTCATGAGACGATGTGAAGAACGACTGCAGTAGCCGCAGACATAAGCAACCAGATGGCGTGCCCTCCGTTTTATCTTGGAGATTCGGTTGCGCTGCAGGCATGGTGCAGAAATCTGCAAGTCCACGGGGCAAACAGTGGTTGGCTGCAAACTTGACGGAAGCGCCTCCAAGGTTAGCTGAACATCAGGATCGAGGCTGCACTCGTGCGAAGATACAACGATGATACCTGCAAGACTACGTCCGAGGGTCCCCATATTGTGTAACAAGAACGTTGTAAAGTGCACTTGATGTAGTTCTTTGGGATCCGCTGCAGCTGGATTGACAACGACTCTGTAAGCACGCGCTGCTGACTATGTATCGAGGGCTTGATTTTATAGCCAGTTGGTGAGATGTACGAGAATACAAATGCCGGGAACATCGTCGCAATAGTAATCGTCTCGGCTGACGTCTGAGTGTCGCAACGCCAACACTGCTGCACCGGACCAGAGGAACGATCTTGGGCTTACCGACTGGTAGTTCAACAGTTATAGCCAGGGCATGATTTATGATGTCGATGGGAAAACCAAATGGTCCGCGGCGCTCGTTCGCGACACTTAAGCTTGCTCGGATGCGGGCTTGGAGTGCTGTGGGGAACGATCGCCCGCCTTCAGCGTTGCTGCCAGTTGCTTGGCGCCCGCGCTAAAGGGTTTAACGTGTCTTCTGCGCGTTCGGCTGCTTGATCAACACTCCCCACCTCTTCTCATGGCATGTATCTTCAGCTAGCTGCCCGATTCTGGTCTGGGTCAAGAGCAAGTTCACCGGAAATATGACGAGCAGAAGTCGAGACATGCGCCCACGTGTCCAGAACCCCGCATTGCGTCTACCCCTCCTGGCACCATAGCTCCAGAGCTAGCTCTGGGCGATGCCGGGGTCAATACGTTATTATATGTGCAGAGCGCGCCGTCTGCGCACTTCAGCTCTATTTCCTGCCTTCCTCTGCTTCTCTTGAGCCAATTCCCTCGACTTTATCAATTTCCTGTCTTTGTCGCGTTGCAACAAGCTATTGCACACTCAAAACCGCCATGCCTGACTGGTCCGATCTTACCGTGGCTCTAAAAGGAAGCTTAGACAAGCTCTCCAAGCTCCTCCAATCCGATGAGCAGTTGAAAGCCTTCACAACGTCGAACGCGATTGAGAAAGACGTGACGTTCGGGATCAAGTCAAGTGGTTCGGATAGCACCCTCCTTGTCACAGTTACCAATGGTGGCGCAAAAGCTACCACTGGCGCGTCGAAAGATGCACTGTTCACACTTTCCGCTCTCCCAGAGCAATGGGAACAGCACTTCAAGGAAGTTCCGGCTATGCCGTACCAGAGCTACTGGGGAATGTTCGGCATGAACATCAAGCAGAAAGGTATTGAAGTCCTGGGCGATCAGACAGCTTTCGCGCAATGGACTCATGTATGGAGGCGCGTCCTCGAGCTTACCCATGACGCGCAATGTGGGCCGATGAAGGAAGACGAGCAACCCGAACCTGAACGAGACTTTCTTACCGGAAAGTACACGTACCTCGAGGCTCCAGTGTGGGGTAGATGCAAGATCTTTTACGAATACTCTGGCGAGGGAAAGCAACCCATCGTCTTTTTACATACCGCTGGCAGTGACAGTCGGCAATATCACGGTGTCATGAACGACGCAAAGATGCGCAAGAAGTGTATCATGTACGCGTTCGACCTGCCAGGCCATGGACGAAGCTTCCCCTCGAAGAACTACTCCCCGGGCGCCCATACAAACACAGAAGACAGTTACGTGGGAATCATCACAGCTTTCGTGAAGGCTCTTGGCCTACGAAGACCGATCATTTGCGGCGCGAGTATGGCTGGCCAGGTTTGCTTGGCAGTTGCGATCCGCCATAGGGAGGTTGGCGCTGCAGGTGTCATTCCATTGCAAGGGTATGTGGAGACTTGAGTTCGAAGTAATCGTACTAACGGACGTAGGTCTGAGTATCTCAACATGGAACGACAATGGCACGATCGCTCTCCAGTCGTTAACCAGTCGTTATTCAACCCAGAATGGATATATGGCGTACGTGGAAAAGAGTCGTAAGCAATTGAATCGCTACTGACCTCCATAGATGATGTCTCCAACTACACCTCATGTGAACAAGCAACTTATATGGCACACATACAGCGCGCAAGCCTACGGTGTAAGGGCAATTTTAAAACTTTGCACTACTCCATCTAACACAAGTGTAGATCTTCCACGGCGACCTCGACTTCTATTTCGGAGGTTGGGACGGACGGTCACGCGTAGCTTCGATCGACACCCAAAACTGTCCCGTATACATGTTGACGGGCGAGTACGATTGGTCCAACACACCAGAGATGGGACAGAAGACTGCAGACAAGATCCCCGGAGCCATGCATAAGGCGATGCCGGATCTCGGTCATTTCCCGGCTACCGAAAACCCGGCGAAGTTTGTACCGCATCTGATTGAGGCAATCGACCATATACAGAAGGTCAGATCGGATAACTTGAGTACCATGCGGTTGGGTGATGGTACGGATTAAGGACCATGTCGAAAGTTGATTCGCAGCGTAGCGATGAAGCTTTGTTCACATACGAATACATCGACTTCTTGTTTTCGATTCTCTTGCCGTCTCTTTCGCAGCGCGTCTTCTTCCTTGTCGAGTTATGTGAGTAATCTCATAGACTTCTCGAGAGTCTCTGCGATGTACAGTCTAGGACTGTGCATGGATAACATGCTCTCTCATGACGTTTGTGATACCTGTATCTCTTTCTACCACGCGCAATGAATCCTTCTCTGCCTCCACCTCAGCATCCGCAAGCCCAGTTTGACCGACCGCCGGATCCTTTGATACGTAAAAGAGAAGGTAAGGAAGACTCGCGCCCAGCGGCTTGAACAACCTAACCTTCTCGATATAGCGGTTACCGCCAAGTTGGTCTTTATGCTGTAGTAGGAGATAACCTGCCCATCGTCCTACTGGTGAGCCTAGCGTTGGGTTAGCCTGGACAATTTCCTCCACTCTATCTTGGAAGTTTGGGTGTCCTGTAGTATGTAACATACCTAGAATCGCCTGACCACCCTTTGTGTCTAACCCAAACTCCTCCCCAGGCCAGAGTTTATACTCACTCTGCGGCGGTACCAACGTCTCCAATGCACTCCTGAAAAGCTCCCTCGACCCTACGTTCATGATCTGTGTAACGAGCAGATACTTCAGACCAGCGAGATCAGGCGCGTTGACGCGGTTCCACATTGCCCAGCCGACGTCTTGAGGTGTTCCGATGTGAGGAAGCTCCTCGGGGAGCGGGGTCCGGAACCAGGTGTATGTCTTTGCAGAGTAGGTCAAAGACATGATGTTCATTAGGGCAATGAGGCCATGGGGATTGACAGCGAATTCGTAGGTGGCGCCTGTTGCCTTGAGAGAAGTGAGTCGGAGCGTACTTGTAGTGATGAGCTATGTTGATGCTGGATCCCTTGAAAATGAAGTCAAGATGGAGAGGGAGAGGCTCACCCGATACGTCTTCCCACAAACATCATAGTACTGATTTGCCTCACTCGGCAAACTCCTATCCTCGTTCCTCTTGATGGCTACACCATCCCGGTGATTGACCTGCAACGACAAGACTCGAAGTCAGTATACCTCTCACATGCTCCTCATATACGATGACACAGACCTTGAAACAATGATTTGGTCCCCCGTCCTTGGTACTCCTAGTATCCAAACCAAGTTCGTCAAACGCGGCCTTGATATGGTGGTACGCGTCGAAATCACACTCTTTTGCTACCGTGGCGCTCAATGCGTCACTGTCGTCGAAACCCCAGGTTGCTAGCTCGGCACGGCCATCGCCTGTAAAGGGTGATTGACAAGTTTCTGAGAACTGCGGGAAGTCTTTGAAGAACCACCGAGCGATGCTGTCTTTGGATCTCATGGCCGAGTTGAGGGTGAGACCGATGGAAACAGCCTTGTCGAACTTGGTAGGTGGGTTGACGGTTGTGTAGACAATGGAGAGATCTGAGTAGTTGGAGGCATTACCTTTGATATCGTTGTTGACGTCGACATCGTGGGTAAGGTTGGTGAGGGAAGTGTAAATGGATGGGAGGACGTGTGCTGTGGCCACTGCTGCGATCGTGAAGATGCTGAGAGCGTAGGGCTTCATTCTTGTGTGAGTTCGATTGAAGCGAGTAATTGAAGCTGTTGTGAATAGCAGAATGGACAACGCTGCGAAGGTGATTGTGGATACTCTTTGGGAGATCCAACACCTATGGTGAGGTGAGAGCGAATTGTGGAAAGGGAAGCCGCGGTTCACCGTTCATCTGTGACTTGGGAATCCATCTATCAGTGAAGTCTTTACATGCAACTCCTGGCAAATAAGATGAGATCAAGCAAAAGACGGAAACACGTACGATAACTTGTTCCATGTAGAGAATGATCAGACAACAGGTTGAACGTGATCGAACAGTTAACCTCAATCCCAATCACATCAATTACGAGAAGAACATACATAGGCTTTCGCGACGAACATTTCCCCTGCAATCAGGCCTGGATCGCGTACTTGTTTTACCCCCACCCGTCCAACCTCTCCATCATCGTCCTTCATACCTGATGCAGAACTCTTGAACACCTTCCAACCTAATCTCCCTTTCTCCCAACATTATCAGCCCCTGTCTACACTTTACAGCCTACCGAGTGTCTTCCAATGACTCAAGGATTAACTAACACCGCCCTGGGTATCTACATAGCTTAATTCCAGCGTAGCGTGTGCCTTCCAGTTCCATGGTCGACTTCATGTAGGTCATAGGTAAAGCGGTCCGAGTTGAAGGCGTTTGGCTGTATCCGCGAGAAGTGAGAGCAGCAAAACCACGCAAGTGAGAAAGAGAAAGAAGCGAAAGAGGGATTGCAGCTACTCGACAAGAAGATACAACTACTCGCACACCGAAAGCAAGAGGAACAGACTAACAGGTTTGGTCAATTTGTGCGACGCAAAGAAAGGATGGTGAAGTGGTTAGATGGCATTACCAGTGAAATTTCGGAAAAGGGTTTTAATCTCCAAGGTTGCGAGGAAGGTCCGCAGCCATGTGAAAAGGAGAACAACTAAGAGTGCAAGTCGTTCCTCATCAAGTCTGACTAACAGATACGAGAAAGCGCTTCATGTCCACAAGCAACTAACAAATACAGCCACATCTTTCACCAACCCCCTCAGACAAAATCAAAGACGTCGCCTCGATCTCCGACCATCCTCCCCACCCTCTTCCCCCAACGATCCTTTCCAGTTCTAACCTCTCCCACTTGCTAAACACGACTCTTACACTGGCCTCCGCACGACTAATCTCGGCCCTTTCAATGCTCTTGCCCACAAACCCCACCACCTCATCGTAGAAGATTGGATTCTCAGGTACCCCGTAAAACACCACCCTCTTCACACCCCTGATATTGTACCTGTGGAAATGATGCGCACGTCCCGTGTACAAGAGTAGTGAATGCTTGCCATTCATGAAATGGGAGCGTGCCTTGCGGACATCAGTCGCGTCTGTGTACTCACTAATGGACGCATATGCCAAATCCGAATCGACGAGTGAGTTTCTCACGCGCACAAAGTCGAGGTACGAAGGTATGAAGACGAGGACGCCGAGGCCGCCGTCAGGAGCCTTTGGTAACCGGGTGATGGACGGTAGGATGGACGTGTTGAAGTATTTGAAGCGTGCGTCTGGGTCTGTGAGGTGGGACGGCGAGTCGAACCGTAGGAAGGTCTGTTTGATACCGTAGGACATGGACTCGATGAGACCGGCGGTGTTATCTGCTGTGTATTTTAAGCGCCCAGCGAAATTGCGCATATGTTTGTTGTATAGCGTGTTAATCTTTGGTGTTAGGAATGCGGAAAGTACGATGGTTTGTCGGATGAATGGCGCGTGACCGTCTAGGTACCAGCTTCTCACACGCGAGAAATCGCAGCCGTGTGCATCCCGTGGTTGGAGGTTCAAGTGTTCAAAAACAAACTCTGCGTGCTCCCAATTTTGCATCAGGGCTGCGTCTGCTTGCTCCATTATCACCATTTCGATGGAGGAGAGGAAGTCGGAGTCGCGTTTCTTGGGATCTCCGGATTCGATGGCTCGTCGCAAGCCGAGAGTCGACGCGAAGATGATGTCGGAGTTGTAGAAAGTCGAGTAAAGTTTCAATGTCTTCCGTGTTAGCTTGACGCCGATGCGGAATTCGTTCTCGTCGTTGCCTTCGAAGAGCTCGCGGAAGTCGGCGGGGCGATCAGCGGAGAACTTGTCCTCTGGGAGGGAGAAGCTGTCAAGGAATCTCTTCTTGTTCTCTTGCTGCTCGAAGTCGTGGAGTTTGGTGATGCTGTCTAACATGCGTACGCAGGCTTGCTTCGTCTCGAGCAGGAAGAGTATCTTTGGACGGGTGAAGCCTTGATCGCGGTACTCGGCGTCATCGTCTTCTTTTGCGGCGGCTAGCTTTGCGTTGTTCTTCAACACTCGGTCGCGTGTCATGAGGATGTGGTTAAGCGCATGTAGACAGGTCATGTCTCGTAGACGTCCGGCGTTCTGCACCGTCCTCGCGCCGAACAAGAGATCTTGATAGCCGAATATAGAGGGTGTGATAACTTGTTCTAGTTCATCAAATGTGCCGATTTTCTTCTGCGCATTCTCCACGAGTCGCGCTTTCAACTGAACATCTCGCACGCTTTTCAACTTCCTGCCCGATGCTTTTACCTCGTCGCTTGGAACCTGAAGTATTCCGACACCCTGCCCAGGTTTCCGATCGAGCTTCTGTGATGTCCATTGGTTGGCTGCTATCCGCTTGAGTCGTGTGGCTAACTCGTTCTCATCGGGGCTCGCGAAGTGTTTTTCGTAAGCATGCTCGAGCTCTTGCTCTGCTTGGTCGTCTTCGTCCGGGTCCTCGTCGTTGTCGACCTCTTCTTGTTCGTCCTCAGCCACAACGTCTTCGGCTTCTAATGTGCTAGAGTCGGATGCATCGTCTAGTTGCACCTCACGTGAAGGCTCGTCATGTCCCAGCTTCCGTCTCTTCTTACGATGCTCTTCCGACCCAGCATTGCGCGACGAGAAAGACTGCAGGAGAGTCGCATAGGCATTCGAGATGGGCTGCGCTTCCTCTTCCTCTTCGTCCGAGGCGGCGTCGTCTGACGCGTCGGATTCGCTTTCGTCGGTTACAGAGGGTTCGCGCATGGGAACATTTCTGGCGAGGGTCAGTATTGGGCTAATGCGCTTGCGACCAATATCCGTACTCACGAATCTTCAACCTCGTCTCGTGTTCTCGCTGCTGCAAATCCGCCTCTACTTCCACCTCTTCCACGACCTCTCATGCCACCTCTGCCCCTCCCCATTCCTCCGCCGCCCCGTCCTCGTCCACGGGAGCCGCCTCGTCCTCTGATTGGCGCCATGTTCGGAATGCGCCGAGTGAAGTAAAGTCGGATGCAGGCCGCTGATGGATTCGCAGTGTCGAGGGAATAGAAAACTGGACCGTAGTAACTTGTTGCGCAAGTCGAAGTGGTCTTTTCGGGTATTTGGTGAGATGTTGTCTTGACATGGGCGTCAGATTCACGCGCCTCGTCGGCCAGAAAAAGTTCAGATGGTCCGTGCAAGCGAACGCACCTGCCCAGATTTCGTGAAGAATATCACATCGTGCCCCACCAACCACATTTGACATTCACGCCCGCCCCGAGCGCCTCAACACCACAGCCCAAACAATTGCCATCGCCACCGTCACCATGGCCGAGAACGACTCCTTCCTCCACCTGGCGCGCCCGCTCGGCCCTGCCCCCTTGGGCGCTCAACCGTCGACTGCCCCGCTGAATGTCGCTATCCAGCCCCAGGTATGCGACAAGCCCAGTGAGAGGCTGCCTGCTTCACTCTCTGACACGCTATGAATAGGCCGTCTTCTCCATCCTCGACCACTCCCTCCGCCGCCCCGCCGAACAAGAACGTGTCATCGGCACCCTGCTCGGTACCCGCAGCGAAGACGGCACCGAGATCGAGATCCGCAACTGCTATGCCGTCCCCCATACCGAGACGGCCGAGCAGGTCGAGGTCGACATGGACTACCAGAAGCAGATGCTCGCTCTCCACCTCCGCGCAAACCCCCGTGAAGTCCTCGTTGGCTGGTATGCCACTAGCAGCGACCTGAACACCTTCTCCGCTCTCATCCAGAACTTCTACAGCCAGCAAGGCGATGGCACATGGCCACACCCCGCCGTACATCTCACTGTCTCGACAGTGCCCGGAAAGGACATCGAGTCCAAGACGTACATCTCCGCGCCCATTGGAGTCACGGCCGAGCGCGCCGCCGACTCCTGCCTCTTCATTCCCGTTCCCCACGAGATCAAGTACGGCGAGGCCGAAAGGTCAGGGCTGGAGCTCATCTCTTCCGCAAAGGACCGCGAGGACCGGTCGCAGGAGATCATGACTGACCTCGACTCGTTGGAGCGCGCCATCACACACGTCCTCGACATGCTCGAGCGCGTCTCCAACTACGTTAACAACGTCCTGGACGAGGAGGCCGAGCCATCTTCAGCACTGGGTCAGTTCTTGATGAACGCACTCAGCCTGGCACCCAAGGTCGAGCCCGCTGACATTGAGCGCGACTTGTACGTCACCTATCCATGCACTATACTATATATCTACTAACACGCCATAGCAACGCACACATTCAAGACGTCCTCGTCGTATCATACCTCGCCAACACCATCCGCACACAAATCGATCTCTCGAATCGTCTGGCCACCGCAGCCCTCACCATGGGCGGCGGCGACCCTCTCGCTGGTGACGGCAAGAAGGACGGCGACAACCGGGGCAAGGGCGGTGACCGACGAGGAGGCGGCAAGGGCAGGCAGCAGAGGGAACAGGAGGCTTGAATATGAAGAAAAGGCACACTGCATGGAGTTTGGCGTTCAGGTGACGCCGCGGCATCACGCTTCGGACTCGGCTCAGCTGGTCGTGAAAAGGCTACGGGTTGTGGCTGAGAGAGCTATGGTCAGAGGAATGAGGAGAGACAGTGAGCTGGGCAGTGGACCCTTCGCTCATGAATCAGAGCATACCATAAAGCGCTGTATAACTACTGCATTACCCCATCGGTAGCATCGATGGCATTCATTGGAATGCATGGAAAGTCATGAAATGAACACGATCAAACCAGGACAATAATCCCATAGGCGTGGTGATGAACAACGTCCTTTTGAGTAGTCTCGCAGAGACATATCTGGAGCTTTTTCTTTATTTTTCTTCTGGAAATGTGGCGTAGGGGAAGGGGACTTGCGAGAGTGAAATTTGTGCCCTCTTGGTCATCCTGTTTATGCACTGTGGAGTGCAACATACTGGAGCGCCTCAGGGTCCATCATGAGATTGTATGAGAAGAAGTAAACTTACTGCGGTAAAAGTCGCTGCGAGATTGAGAATGCTGCTATAAACTCACCATAACATGTGGACCATGGTATAGAGTATCACCAAGATGGCGACGGCGTCAATGGGGTGGGATTTACCATGGAATGTGGCCATGGTATAAGAAATAGGGACTTACAGGGTAGACACCTCGATGTAGGGGAAAGACTAACCGTAGAAGACCAAGATATAATGCGCACCATAGCGGAAGCTCGGGTGCGGAAAAAGTGTAGGTTACTTCTGCACCGCCCAGCCAGTAGATACCTCCTCCGACACATCCAGCCCTCCATTCAGTTCATTTGTAAGGAAGTCTACAATGTCTCCCATAAGCCTCTCGATCAAAGTCTGTCAGTTCGAGGTTCTCGTCCACATGCTTCTGGAAGTCGATATCCCGTGGATGAAGTTTGTTGGGCGACTTTCTGGCGTCTTCTTCTATCCCTCGGGCGCTTTCGGTTCTGCTCTTTCAAAACATCGCTTTCTTTATCGACACCATTTCCGAAAAGTTTTGACTTGTCGAGGTAACCAGTTTGTTCTATTTTGAGAGTTTGACATTGATCCTAGATTGCCTCAACATCATCAACGGGCATGCTGGCTATATGCGCGCTGTCGTTGTTCAGTCCAGCGGGATGTATGCACATACTGGTGCTGAGGCCATGGTAGGCTGTGGGGTTATTAAAGTGAGTAGTATCTCTCCGAATACGTTCTCTTCTTTAGAAGCTGGGTATACGAGGATGAACATTTCAACATGGAATATCCGAGGAAAGATCAGTTTAATGATTCGAGCAATTAACATGCTGAGAAACCCAGATCTGCCGCTGCCGTGTCGTGCGATTCGGTCATTGGGAACCAGGGACCGTCCAATCTAGAATCAGGGCATCGATGCAATATCGGAGGTCAAGCCCAAGCTTATTCCTGCTCTTCCGCCCCTCCGCTCCTCCATGAGCATCGCGCATGGACACGGTAAACGTGTTACGCAAACTACTCAGCGCGATAGTTTATAGGTTACATTGCGTAGGTGATTTTGTCGAAGATTCTTGTAGGGCTATCATATGAGGCGCAGCTGATAAACTAAACCAGTCTTGATCCTTTTAGTTAGTGCTAATCAAAGCCGAAAGATCACAGGATAGATATGGTGGACCTGTCGCTTTTCTAAAGTTGTCGGGTTATCGGCTTCACGCAGCCTCCACATCCCGATTACCTCTATGGAGCTCTACCTTTTGATGGAAACCCCCTTATAGCAGGCGCTGTGACCTTGAGAAAATAGAGCCTGGACGGAGGCCATCATCGCTCGGAAAGACAATTCGTCCTTTGCCCGCAAGTACGAAAGGACATGTACTGCCAAGCTTCGTCGTACATCGCAGGCTTTGAAGCTTCGGGCTTCCCGAACTGCCGATGTCCGACATCCTTCACCTAACTTCTGGCCATTACTCCTTGTTCCAGCTGTCTATAGCGTCGTGGTGCGCAAGGATCTCGTATAACAATCAGAAGTTTGCAGTCCAGAATCCAAGAAGTTCAGCAAAAGCCGCAGATCCTAGTTGACCGGACGAGTTTCTTCGATGATGACGGATGTTCCCTTACGCTCGGCCTCAGCTTGTTGCTGGGCCTTTGAGATGGTATATCAAGTAGGCCTGCAGGCAGTGGCCATAATGATCTCTGTATAATAGCTCCACTCCAGTACTCGAATCCTTTTTTTTTGCACACGCGTTGATTGAGTCTTTATTCACACATTCCGACGCAAAACATCCACAAATGTCGACAAGAGCAATGCAAGGCCCTTATGTGGGCATTGACCCTTCGAACAACGATCAAGAACCCGCCATAGAGATGACGAGGACACTTACTGGCAAGAAACGGCACTCGGGGCCTACTGCGTCACCCCTGAACATGCTGAAGGCCCTACTTCCAGCAGCGGTCATGATACTGGCTGTTCTCTGGATCAATGCATCCCACATTTATGGCCTATTCCGTCATCAAGGAGCTTATGTTCACAGAGCGAAGGTCGCGCTAGCAGACTTTGACGGAAGCGACTTTGGCGACGCTCTGCGGTTAGCAGCAGCGTCGAACAATGGGACTTACGGATATCCTACATATGTTAATGTCAGCACTGCAGGCTCGTCTCCTGAGCAGATCCGACATGAGGTCTTCAAGGGCACATACTGGGCAGCGATTATTGTGCAACCAGGAGCAACTACTCGCTTTGAGGATGCCGTGAACGGTACCGCCGCACGATACGATTCCAGTAATGTCTATACATACTATCTACTATCGGCGCGATACTATACCCTGTACGCCTCGAGCATTCTCTCAACGACTGTCACCACCGCATCAGTCGCATCAAGCGTCTTCAGCGCCGAGTTCATAACACCCCGCCTCGCCAGCGGCTCATTTGCCAACAACACCGCTGCGCTATCTGCTCTCACCAGTCCCGCACGCGCTGTTGAAGCCCAGGCCGGATCCCAAGACTTCGCCAATCTGGACGACAAAGCCTTCATCAACACCATTGGCACCGTCTTTCCTATCCTTATGCAATTCTTCTTCATTATGGCCTGGAACGGCATATGCAATGGCATGCACTTGTACGCCGCCTACGATTTGCGCACACACATCCTCGCCCGCCTGTTTTGGAGCACCGTCTGGCCCATATTCACCAGTCTGTGCACTGCAGGATGGACGTTTGCATTCCGCGGCTCTTACCATATCGATGCGAAGATGTTCTTTGCGTTCTGGGCTGTGACATGGGTGTTTAGCATGATCCACTTCGATGTGCTGGATATCATCACTGGATTTATACCCATGGCTTTTGTGCCATTCCTTTTCCTCACTTGGGTCATCTTCAACGTTGCGGCGTCGCTTGGACCGGAGGAAATCCTCAACCACTGGTATAGGATCAGCTACTTCTTTCCATCGCTACATTGGTACCGAACATTCATCACCATCATCACACAGGGCGGCGTCAACAGGCTGTACTACACGCTACCTGTTCTTGCTGCTTGGCTGGTCCTCGCAAAGGTTACAAGTCCACTGGCTACGAGAAATCGTGTACGAAAGGCGCAGGAGGTGTACAAGTGGTACAACGAGAGGCACGCTATTGGTGGCCCTCACTAAGAGGACTACTCGAAATCGATATCAGACCAATTATTGCTTCACCTTTAGTCAGAAATTCCTGAGGCTGCTTTTACGAGTAACAAACGCCTGAACCGAACCCAGTGTAGCCCTGTTTACCTGTAAAGTGAATTCATTACATCCACCTTCGTTCTAAATGCACGAATGATTTCCACACAAACCAGATATTTTATTGACCCTCGAGTATGTCGGCTGCTATCTCGCACTCCTCGATTTGGGAGGATGTTCTAGCACTGCCTCGATAGCCCTGCCAAAATTTATCGCAAACATTCGCGCTGCAGTGAGTGATGCCAAAAAAGGGCCCGACCGCATCTTGTTCTACCACGGGATGTATGTGATGAGACCTAAACAAAGCTTCGTTGAGAAAGCGCTGGAGGCGTTCGTCAGGCGACAAAGCGCACTGGTAGCGGTTTTCCACTCTAATTTTGTGAACAAAGGTATGGAAAGGCTAGAGACTCCACTAGACATAGCGGACTAGAGTTTTCGAGGACTCGTGCAGCAACTAGCAGGTATGAATGGACCATAATTCATACGATGATCGCCCACTGGTAGCATCCCATGTCTGCAGTCCGATCTCGCTTGCTCTCAACTCTTCCCGCTCCGCGAAGCCTAGCAGACAGCCTTCAGCCTCGTCTCTTGCGCCCTGCTTATAGTACCCTGCTTTAACTAGCAACATTGCACGGGTAAGGCTGATTGATGATGCATGCTTTGCCTTGCATTACCCAGGCTTACGGCCTCACTTGTTTGAAGAAATATGGCAAGGCTGAAACTACCTGGACAAGTGTCATATGTAGAGCTAACCTGGATGCGGTGAACACATTTATGATTGGTATGAATATTGTCCATCATGCGGCAGTGCCAAGTATTGAGAATGACTGCTGCGTAAGGATCTGGCCAATCATAAGCGCCACTGTCTTACCAGAGATAATCCGTTAGCTGTTGACTCGATCAACGTGTGGTTGATACAAAACTTCTACGGCAAAAAATCTGGGTCAACATGACGTAGCGATACCTAAAACTCATCGCATCTGAACGCCAGCCACAACGCTTGACCTTTGGTGGACTGTCTCTAATCATGCTCAAACACCCTCAGGCTTTGCTGCAGGTCTTAAAAATGTCTCACGCGATGTGAACTGAGTTCGCACAGCCACTGTAGTAACCTCTCTGGACACATCTCGCGCAACAGCATCGACGGCGGCGCTGCACAAGAACATCCAACTCCATGCGCCTGGTCTCTGCTCAAATCTTCTTTTTTGGATACACAAGTCACAAACATAACGCCCTCAGACCACGCTCAAAGCATCTACGGCGTTTGAGCAGCAAATAGCATACGCTCGGCGATGCGAAGAGAACGACTAAGTACGCTGGCTAGTAGTTCTCGATCGTGAGATGCATCTGGTCCACCCGTTAGCCAGAGATTGTCGACGCCCAGAAGGGAGACGAGGCGGAGGATGAAGAGAGGCGAGGCGAGCATCAAGACAATATCGAGGCTGACGATCGATGATCGCAGCGACGACGATCAACGTGCGAGTACCTACACAAACCCTTCAGCATCGATTCCCCATGTATCTGCTTCTCGAGTAAGCCAATGCGTGGATTAGGTATCAAGCAAGTTGCCAGGTATTGTATGGTTCCATCACGGGACCGGCCGAGACGAACCGCAAAGTAGGCTAGAGAGTTAAGCTTTTGAACATAAGCACGGTAACCCAATCCATACTCGCACCTACACCCAGAACCAGCAGCTTCGACCATGAGACAGACCGATCTAGCGCACAGCTGACCGTACCACTGGAACTGTTCGGTTCTCGACCCGAACTCTGAGCTGTTCTAGCATAGGTCGTGTGGACCCTAGTGACGATCAGCTAACCGTGGAACACGATGTCATACATACGCACCGAACTTGATCGCCTCCAGAGGAAGGCAAGCGTGGTCTTCTTACCCCTCTAGTCTACTGACTAACCTTCACACTGCCTCCTACGCGAGAGCTTGTTCTCGATACGCTGTACTAATCACCCTAGGTTGAAGCATACATAGTCGACAATCTTCTTACGAAATCGACGTAAAACTCAGCGAGTACCTTTCGGGTGCGCTTTCGAAACCTGCATCACACGTGCTAGACATGCGAGCAAGCGAAGGTGAAGACGTTGGTGAACAAATTTAAAGCTGGAAGGCTAATGTAGTGACACGAAACGGTGCCTCGGAGCTGAACCTACAAGATTTCTCTCGTGATCTCGATAGTGGCTGTAGGCATGTGGCGTACTCTAGCATTTTATTTTCTTCCAGACTCTTATCGAACAAGCTTTGTGATACGCCCGCATTGCATCCATGTTGCTTTTTCCCAGCAAGTCCCTGTTCATGCAGGACACTACCTAGGTGCTTGTGCAGTGCAGAACTCAGGCAGCCAGATTGATACAATCGCCATTTTTCTTCATGCTATAGCAGGAAGTCCAGTTCTCATACTACATCGGAATTCGGCGCTCTTTTGTACATTCGGTGTGCAGTGGCTGCGACACTAACACTCAGCTGACGACGCGCATACAAACTAGATCACAATTGTCATCAATCCCAACTTCAATCCGCTGTGACAAATAGCTCCTTCATCTCCTTTGTGAAAGTATTCTGCTACACACACACTTCCCATACACACTTACTTCTAACTACCCTTGAACATCGCTGCAAACTTCTTTTGAGATGGCAACCATCTGCGAGTTCTCAGGCAACTCCGACATGTACGGCCTCGGAATCCGAATTGGGTCCTATCTTCAATGGTTGTCTTTGCTAGTAGCCGCCTGTTACGTCCCGAGCGAGCTACCTGGTCTGCGCACATCAAACGCCTTCTTTGCATCAGCAACGTTCATCGGTCTTGTCGTCGAGACTGCTCTGAATGACCTCGAAATCACTGAGATATACATCACCATGTTGTTGGTATTTGGCTCCCAATACGTCTGGCTGACCGCAATGCTCTGGCGCGTGTTCACCCCTTCCGACACCGATCCCGCACCGTCGACGGACATGGAACCACCAAACTCAAGCAGAATGCAATGGTTTTCCGTAAGCGAAATGCACTGGTTTTCCTACACGCTCGTCCAAATTGCCCAAATCGGCTTCCAAATGTGGTTTTGGATATTCGAGATTGCAAAATTCGCCAGAAGAGAAACTACATGCCAGCGATTCGGGTTCGGATTCTACAAATTCGGGTTGACCAGCGACGGCTTTCGAATCCTCAACATCATTCTCAAGGCTTCCTTACTGGTCCTCACAATTGTCTTGTTTGCTTTGTATCCCCGATACCTTCGGCAGAAAGCTGAAATTCGAAGGGAAAGAAACCGACAGTATGACTCCCTAACATCCTCTAGGATCGTGCTAACTGGCTGCACAGTCTTGCCCCAAGGCAGCGAAAGAAAGTTCTCTATATGGCGTTCCAAATCGCTTCAATCGCCGTCGTGATTCTTGCCATAGAATTGACTATATTGTGGAATGGGATTCGTGACGTGGACTGTGCTAAAACCATCGGGCAGTTTATTCCACTGATGATCAGCGTTGCTGGTGTTGTGCAGCTTCTTCTTGCGGCATACAGAGCAAACGGGAGTGTCATATTGGACCGGACATTACAACAGGGAGCAGACATCTATGCAAAGCTTGCTACAAGTATACTGGGCAGACCTAGACGGGAAGACGATGACAGGCAGAGTACTGACGAACGAGCGAGTGAGAAAGGCCCACAGATTACTATCAGATCCTTATCTGACGAGGTGTAACAGTTTCCATCGTAAGAAAGAATATTAGATAGCTTAGTAGTGAAATATTGATTGATAATCGGAGTGTACGTATGCTATCTGAATACTGATTCTAGAGTGCGTCTGGAGTCGTTGTCCTCACTAGTGGTTATCGTCTGAACCCGAACCTGCCCCACCAGCTCAACAGCGTAGGGCAATGAAAGGGTCTTACAACTACTCCATGTAATGAAGAAGTTGAATCGGTGAATAAAACCCTTGTGCTACGTTGCCTACAATGACACTGACATAAATATCATATCTAGATATAGATAGCTTGGACATCTACATTAGTATAAGATTTCTTACATCTTCTTACCATATGCGTTCGTAGGACGTAGCTTAGTAGAAGGGTTTTTAGCACCTATCTAGTTTCTTCCTTGTATGAGGTGCACCTTCGTTGAATTGAGACCTGCACATTATTTCCGCGTCGCCTTTGAGCGTGCCAGCTGCCACTACATTGCTGCAGGCCCTTCAGGTGCGCTCTAGGGACGTCAGTCGAATGACGTCAAATGTTCCGCGACTTCACAGCAGTTTCCGATATATCACAGTCCCTTGGTGGGTTGAACGGGTCATCGACATGGGCATGCGTGGTGTTCAGTCCTGGCTGCCGTGGTGGCGGCTGTCGTTGTTCCGCCAACGCCATGTTTAGTGCGCGCGGCAATCTTTCCGATTTCCGAACGTGCAGCCTAGGCGGACCGCATTTCTGTATACCAGCACCACGTAACGAACCGCAACGCATTGATACGACTGATACGCTTTCTCGATACGTATATATTCAATAGGCCTCTCGATTTCTCACGTAACGACATCATTGGCTCCGGCACACAGCCGCATCTCTCGTACACCGCTTGTCACGAACCCCCCGTCCCATCATTTGCACACTACACATGCGATAGTCCCTGTCATACGATACCATCAGAGAGATGCTCGGCTTCCGTCCACTATCGGTGGGCAAGCGGAAAGCCAAGTCATACAACCAGGCGCCAAATCATGACCGCGATATCGAGGATGGCGAATTCAACGAGAAAGGCTACGCCAGCGACGACTACGAAGCCTACATGTCCTCGGGCACACCGAGCCCTTCCTCATCCCGACATTCATCGGGTGCATACGACACAAATCCGAACAACATCGAATCGAGACCCCTTCGACGTTCAAAATCTCACCGGAGAGCTCCTTCGAAACCCAGCGTGAGCGCATACAGTTATAGGAATCCGCGAGCATGCACACGATACTTTGGGTTGGCGGTGGCGAGCACACTGCTGTTCTTCATGTATTTCTTGTTCAGCAGCAGTTGGGCGTCGATACGGAATGCAGAGCTTGGGCTGAACAAGCCGCCTCCACCGCCCAACGTTTGGGAGAGCTTCCCCTTCTTGAAGCGATACCACGGCGGTATACGGTCGCTGGTAAGCCGAGAGAAGAACGTACCAGAATACCCGACGAAGCAGGATATCGACCCTGAGCTGCCAGCAGAGAAGTCCAAGGAAGACGTCAAAGAGCGAAGATCCCAGGGCGCACATATAGCCGACTCGATACCCTTCGACCCATACCCGGACTACAGCGGACTGAACTATGTGGACAAATACGGACCGGTCGAGACATGCTATCTTGACGCCAAGGATACAATCAAGGTTCCTGGGTTGAGGGCATACAAAGGCGTACCACAGGGCATGCCAGATAATGTCATTGGAAGCTACGAGACACTGGGCCTGAGGAACGACGTCTGCTTTGAGCGCTTTGGACGACTCGGTCCGTATGGCCTAGGTTACAGCAAGAGGCGCGGTGGAACAGGCGCGGGTATGGAAGGCGATCGTGAAGGCATTGAAGATGTCTGGAAGGTCGACGCCGAGGTTGACTTCCGCGAAGTCAACTGGACAGAGGCGCTCGACAGGTGCTTGGAGAAGAACAAGGGCCGTTTCCAGAAACAACCCAAAACTAGGACAGACTCCTTCAAGATGCAGAAACGCGACGCGAATACTGACACGGAAGCTCCATCCAACGCTACGGTGCATGTGCAACCAAAGGCGGCGCACAACACCCTTCTTTCTCGTACCGCAGTCCTCATTCGAACATGGTGGGACTACCAATACGACGACGAAGACATCATGTACCTCCGCGCCCTCATCTCCGAGTTGAGCCTCGCGTCTGGCGGCGAATACGAAGTCCATTTCCTGATCCACGTCAAAGATGACAACAAGCAGATCTGGGCCGACGAGGATTTGTACCAGGAAGTCCTCAAGAACGCACTGCCTGCCGAGTTCGCTGGCATGGGCACGCTCTGGTCGGAACGTCAGATGGGCTTAATCTACGGCGGAGTAGAGGAGTCCAACTACCGCGGGTTGCCTGTCCATGGCGCTTACCGCTCCACATTCATGCCGGTGACGTATTTTGCACATCAGCATCCTGAGTTCGAGTTCTTCTGGCACTGGGAGATGGACGTTCGGTATACTGGGCATTACTACCATCTCTTCGAACAGGTCTCCAAATGGACAACTGCCCAACCCCGCAAAGGACTATGGGAACGCAATGCTCGCTTCTACGTACCGTCAGTACATGATTCCTGGGAAGACTTCAAGCAGATGGTACGTGTGCAGACCGAGCACGGCACGAACAACCAGGCCAACAGGTGGTCTTCACATCTTCCTCCGAATCCACACGTCCCTGGTCCGGAGATGCAAAAGCCCGAGAAGCACATCTGGGGTCCAGAGCCCCCGCAAGACTACCCGGACATTGAGATCGATGAAGACGTAAAACCAAACACGACCCTAGCGGAAGACAAGTACGAGTGGGGTGTGGGCGAGCCTGCCGACCTCATCGTCTTCAATCCCCTCTTCGACCCCGACCAAACGAACTGGATCCTAGCCGACGACGTGACAGGCTACGACAAGAAGAATGGTCTCCCACCGCGGCGAACCGCTATCAACACCTCTGGCCGACTGTCCCGTCGTCTACTCGAGACTATGCACCGCGAACAGTCCCGCTTCCGTCATACCATGTTCAGCGAAATGTGGCCCGCGTCATGCGCCCTACACCACGGTCTCAAAGCCGTCTACGCACCGCATCCGGTATTCATCGACCGGAAATGGCCGACCCAGTACCTCGCCGCTATCTTCAACAACGGCCGTAATGGCGCAAGTGGCGGTGCGCGTATGTCCGTTTTCTCCGACGAGCGTCAGCATAACTTTCTCGGTACGACGTGGTACTATCATGCTGGTTTTGCGCCGAACCTATGGAAGAGGTGGCTTGGGTATAAGGTTGATAATGATGGAGGGGAAGAGTATGAGATGAGCGGGGAGGGACGGATGTGTTTGCCGGGGGTGCTATTGCATCCGGTTAAGCAGGTTGACTTGGTACAGGAGAGGGTTGAGGAGGGGGAGAAGGAGGAGTGATCGATGTGCAGATGATAAGCATGGCGTTGGCGTTTGACTTCATGGGCGTGTGGAGTTGGTTCTGGTACGCTATCTCACTTGATAGCGTTTGATTCTTGTGATTTGTATATGATTGAACATGATCTACACTATTCATGTTGGATATGGGTATTTGGACAGTCAGTCATCTGATGGGCTCTTATTATGTAGCCTTTTTTTGTACATGTATCAACAACATACATCTCGTTCCTGGTAGTTTCCTAGGTGGGCGCCCCGAGTTATGGTGGGTCGCGAAGCAAAACATCCAAGTTCACCTCGGCTTTAAGACCCTTGACCCCACTTATGCGGCAACTGCTCAAGTCGGCTTTACAACGATTGAGGTAATACAAGGTCAGGGAAATCAGAGACAGTACCAATGTGATATCCCTCCTGGAAACAATGCTATCCGCAGCAGCACCGCGCATCGTGCGCGTATCATGCCCAACACGCAAAACAACAGATCTACGATATCTTCTCCAAAGATGCCGCTTCAGCACCACACGTCGCCACCGCATCATGGAGACAACAGGCTTCACTTCCACCCAACTGGAAGTCCGAGAAGCTATATCTGCGCTATGCTCCAAATTTCCGAATAGCTACTGGCGCGAACGCGACGACAACGCGAACGACCCCTCGGACTTTCACGCTGCATTAGCAAAAGACGGTTGGCTGGGTATCGCCCTTCCTGAAGCATACGGTGGCTCCGGTCTAGGAATCTCTGAAGCAACAATGATGATGCAGACAATTTCCGAATCCGGGGCTGGCATAGCTGGAGCCCAAGCTATCCACGCGAATGTATATGCGACACAACCGCTAGCAAAATATGGAAGTGAAGAGCAGTTGAAAGAGACGATACCCAAGATCATTAATGGAGAGTATCGCACGTGTTTTGGTGTTACGGAGCCAAATTCGGGGTTAGATACACTCCGCCTGAGTACTTTTGCGAAGAAAGATGGAGATGGGAACGGGTATAGTATAACAGGCCAGAAGATATGGATAACATGTGCACAAGTCGCATCACGGATGATACTCCTCGCGCGAACAACGCCCCGTGAAGAAGCAGAGAAGCCAAGTAAAGCACTGAGTATGTTCTGTATACCACTCGATCGCTCCGCCCCAGGATTGGAAATGCGGCGCATCAAGAAGATGGGAGGAAGGGCCGTAGACGCAAACGAAGTCTTCTTCGACAACTACCGCATCCCCGCTGATTGTCTCGTTGGCGAAGAAGGCGATGGCTTCAAAATCATCCTACATGGTATGAACGCAGAAAGATGCTTGCTAGCGGGCGAAGCATTGGGTTTAGGCTACGCAGCTTTGACCAAAGCAAGCACTTACGCGCGCGAACGCCACGTCTTCCAGCGGCCCATTGGCATGAACCAAGGTATCGCGCACCCGCTCGCAGATGCATATATGCAGCTCGAAGCCGCAAAACTGGCTACCTACCACGCGGCGCGGCTGTACGATGCTAGCAAAACGGACGAAAGCATCAGGCAAGATGCTATTGGTGTTGCGGCGAACACCGCAAAATACCTTGCTGCTGAGGCGGCGTTCACGGCGTGTGAGAGGGCGGTGTTGGCACATGGTGGCATGGGATATGCGCAGGAATATGACGTTGAGCGGTATCTTCGTGAGTGCTTCGTGCCCAGGATAGCGCCTGTGAGTCGGGAGATGATATTGAACTATATTGGGGAGAAGGTCTTAGCGCTACCGAGGAGTTATTGAGATGCAAGAGAGATTGAGGGCATCTGATGAACTGGATGTACGCTATCGATCACGTGTATAAAAGCGAACAAACAGCTATCATCCAGGTGGCCTTCATATATTCGTGATATACTAGTATATAGTCGTACATTATAGGGAATCTTATGAAGAGAGCGATGAGGGGGAAGTGCGAGGGACAGGGACGTTAAGTGTGAAAATCTTTCTGTAAAGAGTGTAAGTTCGCGGTTCGCTACTAGGTTCGCAACGCCTGCAAGCACCCTTTGGTGCACGATAACACGTAGACAACGAGTTACTTTGAACTTCTACAGTTCAAGCCCTACATATTTGAAACAAGGCTCTCGGATGGGAATTATCGCACGTATAAGTGACCATGTCCTAGCTCTCATGCCACTACTTTTCTTCAAAGAGCAGATCTTCCTCGAGCGGAGGAAGACCATACCAGTCCATTTTGCCGCGGACGTCCCACATTTGTTCGCCAATTCGACCGGGGTAACCATTTCTTCTAAGTTGTAGCTTGGTATGCATCATCCACGGCTGGTAGCGATCCGAATATCCCGTTCGAGAAAGTCGAAGTGTGAGCCACTGCAAAGTATCTTGCTGCGACTCCGAAAGAACTTCGGCGATATTAATCGCAGCGGTAATAGAACGCTTCTTGTCAAGTGCTGGAGGCGGGATGCTCCCGAAGGCGTCTTGTACAAGTTTGTCGCTGTAATCCGATGCCTCGTCGGGGATGTGCAGGTAGAGATCGAGTTTCTTGAGCTTCATGCTCGACAAGATTTCTAGGTTTTTCGCATCAATCTGGACAACACAGTCAGTGCATCTGTGATATCGTTTCAGCGAGTGAGACTCACGTTGGTTTCACAAGGTGCGTCCCATCCAAGTCGCTCAAGCTCGGGGAATGTCGACGCGATTGCCTCAAGACGGCTCGAGTCCATGTAAATAGGGCTGCAGTAACTTCCTAAAGTGGGCCCAAGGATTAGTGTCTTTAGTGTATCTTTGTGCTTTTCGATAGCGAGCCAAAGGTCGTCAATGCCTTGCTGCGCCTGCGACACATCGAGGTGCTCGAGTGCATCAAGTGACTCAATGAACCTCTTCGCAGACTCTATATCAGGACTGTTAGGGTAACCCCCGGTCGCTCCAAAACTTAATGTCTTGAGTTTCGGACAAAGTCCAGTGAAGTACGTGAAGAAAGCCGTGGGGTTGTCACTTCCAAAGTCAAGTTTGCGCAACCGAGAACAGTCAATGGTATTGCGAAACATACGAGCATGGTCGCTATCCCAGAGATAGGTTGACTCTCCCCAGTGTCGCAAGCTTTCGAGAGTCAACTCCTCGAGCTGAGGTAGGCGCAAGCCGGCAAGGTCTAGGCGCGGCAACTTGTCTGGCTCGGTATCAGGCACGAGTTTGATGCTGTCGAATCCTAATCCAGTACCGTCTTGTAAGCTTTGTAGCCGAAGATATCGTACGTTGCCGCCAGCCGCCAGGGCCTGGGAGAGCTTAGGCCAATCAGAGCGGCAGGGCATATCCCGGGGACGGTAGCCTTGGGTGTATACTACGTACGTCAGGCCGACAAGAAGGGGGGAAGACAGGAGCCTCATGTCCATCTGCCGGTGAGCAAGGATATTTGCGTCCTGACGATTCACGACAGCAACTCTTATCTCGAGCTCTGGCCAAGTCGCGTGTATCATGTCAAACACCGCACGAGACATGTGCGCAGAAGTCTCCCAGCTACAAGAGTTAGTCGCACTATCATGAATTGGTTGAAGGAACATACTTGAGCATTCGAAGGCTTCCATGCCGCGAAATTTTGTTTAGTATCACAATCAAGTCTTGCGAGGGCACCTCGTTCTTGACGGTGATACTATGAACGTGCCTCGCAAGCTGACCATGCTCATCCTCACGGAAATTCTGTACAAGCGCCTGGTACGCCATCCGTTCCTCAGTCTTCTCTAGTCCCGTACTCAGAGTGATGTTGCGGTATATGAATGGCAATGCCACATCGCGCAATGTCACCGATGATTGTGCCACATTGATTACGTCTGATGGGGATGCGTCTGCAAGCTCGGAGAGAATGATGCGATGAATGTCTTCGGGTACGACGTTTAGATTGATTGTGTGGCCTGCGATGCCATGCGACAAAGCAGAAGGGGCGGCTTTAGCGATGCAAGAATTGTCTGTGAGCATTGTGTCTGTGTTTCGAGGACAACAAAGAGATATAATCGAGATACTGTGATGATGCTTAGTATAACCACGGATGCAAGAGATATTTATACAGCAGGCTTTCCCAGGGAACGGTGGGGAGCGGGCGCAGCAAGATGCGGTGCCAGCTTCGACGGGAGAGCAAGACCGGGAAGCCACCGCGACAACGCGAACTGCCACGTCTGCCTCAGGCACCTCGTTGGGAGTCTTGCTGAAATTCCTGTGATTAATATCAAGGTCATAATAGCTTCCGAGACGACACTTCGCTCGGACCTTACCCGAGGCTTCCACATAGCTGACAATGCTTTGAACATATCACACTCAAGGTTGGAGCCAAGGTCCTACCGTGAGGCGAAACAACAGTCAGGCAAGATTTAGGCGTAAAGGCGGAATACTCCTCTTGTTCAAACGCTGTTGTCGAACAAAAGGAAGCATCAGCTGCAGGCTACTTGCATGGGTCTCGTTTAGGCTGGACAGCTCGAATTTCACCGCCACGATTGCGCCACAATCCGGGACTTCTTTGCGATGCTCGGTCAAAATGAACATTATGCACTCGAAAATAAGAAAAAGTAATGTAAATGATCGTAGGTGACCTTTTTAGCCGTGCGAGGCGCCATGGTGGCAACTGCTGAACGCTTGCGGTGGTGGTGGTTGTGGCTGTAGTAATGTTGTGGAGGTGATGGAGCGGGAACGGCAACGACGCGTCGGTCGACGCGGGTCCGGGCGTCGCGTCTGCCGTCAGCCTGATCTGCCCATTAGAACTCTCTTAAGGATAGCCATGTGCAAGTTTTGGCCATATTGCTCAACTCGCGCTTTATGCGCTTTGCCTCAGCTTATCTTCGCTTGGCACTGCCAAAATGCCGATCACACAAGGTCTTCCGCGATTTGTCGTACTTTCCGTCGCTGGAATTAACAGTGCAGGAAGGCTGAGCGACGTCGACAAACCACTCAAAGCTCGCTCCCGCACTGCATGACGCTCGGCCGACTTGTACCGATCATAGAGTGCCAGAACTGCACGAATGCAGTATACCCTGTCACCCTCGTTGCCTTAACTTTGCTGGGCCAATCACATCCACTACTTTCGACCACCATGTGAGTCCGCCCTTAGCTGCAGCATGCTCTAATGCCAACGTGGCGGCTCAGCCTGAGTGTATAAACATGAGGCAAGCTCCTTCTACGGCATATCCTCCACTACAGATCTGATCTGAGCGCCTTGCCAGCATGGTATCTCAACAATTCGATGAAAAGTACGTTAACGAAATGAAACTTCGCGCTCTTCTGGTCAACTTATTTGGGATGGGAAGGTTTAGAATCAATGTATGAGCTATGAGATTGTTTAGTGTTGTCCTGACTAACATATACGGCACAGACCGTGGACGATAACTTGGTGGTAGAACTCCCACGGCGTTTGACTGCAGTACGTCAGCCCTTCGCCCCAAGTCATCCTATGTGCTGACAAGAACGTTAAGAGTGAAGAACTATCAGTAACAAAGTAAAGTCAGTACTTCGTCGCAGTTTTGGAAGGCTGCGATGAAGCCTGTCTTAGGGCTGGTGAACTTGGATTACTACTCTGTCTACAGGGGAAGGGAAGACCGCTGTAACTCCTCCAGAATTTCTTCCTGAAATTTAAGCAACAGATTTTGGACACTTTTCTGATCTCCATGGTTGTCATAGAACCTCATGCATGCCAGAACTACCTTGCAATACCCAGTTCCCATACGCGAGGGAATGTACTTTTGAGCATACTCTAGAAGAAGTCCTCTGATAACGTCAGAAGAGGCGCCAGGTGCAAACAGTTTATCCACCGTTCTCCACATCGCAATCTCGAGGAGTACGACGCCTAAGGCATAATACTCGAACGCAGAATGGAAGCCAACACCATCCTCAATGTAGGCGGGATGGATGAAGGCTTTCTCTTGCATCGAGATACTGCCATCGGAATATGCTCCTTGAACCAACTGCCGGCTGTGTTGGAACCCGGTAAGGTAGACCTGCGTCAGATCCACTTCGGTCAGATCCTGCCCTGGATCTCGCAAAAAATCAAGGTTGGAGGAGCATATGTCTTTGTGAATCCACCTTGTCATGTGCAGAGAGTGAATACACGAAGTTACTGCCTGAGCTAGAGCAAACTTGTCGTTCAACGTCGGGTTTCTCATGGGCTCTTTGGTTTCGCGGATGATTGTTGCAAGCGAGACTGGTTCGGCGTCGCTTCGGTTGCGCGGGAACTCGTACACGTAGCCAAATTTCTGCTGGCTTGGTAGATGATATGCTCCCAAAGACTGTAGGATGCGCATATTTTTGGGTTTAGGCCGCATCTGGAAGAGCTGTGCTAGTTCCTGAACTCGGGCTAGAACCTCCTTGCCTATGTCTGCAAACTTTTGTTCGTCTGCGGTGGTAGACCAAGTTCCCGCATACGATCTCTCCTCCACTAACACCTTCTGTCTATCGACTTCACGAAAGCCGTGATAGTACCAACGAGTTGTCAGACGACTAGCATAAGTCGCTGGCTGATTTATATCGCTCAATAAGGCAAGATCGATCATCGTAACCGCTCCTTTGGACACTAGCGAGTCCGATGATGACAACATGAGTGACGCATACCGTGCTGCAGCGAGCAAACCAACTTCTTGATTTTGTGGAGTGTCTTGGGAGTTGCTCAAGAATTTTTCGCCTTCGTTTGGCGCCGTGGCGTTGCTAGAGTCAGCCAAGAGTTTGACGGTCTTTGTGGCGGAGACTGTGAGCAGCTGGAAGATGTTTTCTATCGTGGGCTTTAGTAGGTGGGGCGTGCCGAGGAAAAGGGCGTCGTTGGTCGATGCCATGATTTGTAGAACCTGTTCTTGAGCGTCTGCGTCATCGTAATGGAGAGGCAGAAGGTTTGCTAGCTTTACACTACAGCTCTTCAAGAGGTGTAGCATGCTGTCGTACTGATTGCTGAGATCAGGAATAGTCTCCTGCATCTGCTGGGCGAATGCCTCTAGCCCATGAGAATAGCCCCAAGCTCGCAAGCGATTTCTTTCCAGTGCCAGCTTAGATTGGAACACTGAAGGCAACTTTTCGGAATCTTCACTACTCTCCACGTTGGATTGGAAAACAATACTAAGCATCCAACGACTTAGCGAAGAACGACTGAAGCTCTCGACCACCTCCGCAGATGTCGGCCTTTGCTTTGGATCTACAGCCAGGAGCCACGATGACGTATCGAAAAGCAGTGATTTGGAGGAGCTTTTATACATATCCTTCATCCTGTGGTACCAATCGTGGACTACGGGATTGACATCACCGTCGTGATGGAAACAATTGTGTGATCCATATCTCCCTTCCACTATGCGCTCTTTTCGAAACTCTTTAACAGCGTCTGCTCCTCCAAGACAATAAGTAGCGAACTCGCCAAGGACACATCCAAAGGACCATATGTCATATGCTCGACCAATATCTCGTTCTTGAAGCGTAACAGGATCGCGAGCCTCTGGCGCGGCATAAGTTGGCGGTGCGTGCTTCCATGGCGTCTGCGTGTCTTCCTGGGCATCCTTCAGGCGAGCGAGACCGAAATCAGCCAGTATCAGGCGTTCCTCTTTTACGAGAATGTTTTTCGGCTTGATGTCGTGATGGTATCCATGCCTCGTAATCCGTTCAGTATCTTCCTTGTTTTTAGTCAACGGGCGGAAGTTGTGGAGGTAGTGTAGGCCGTTTGCTAAACCACGGAAAGAGTCCACAATTTGAGCGAAATCCTGGCACCATTTCGGTTGAGTCTCGTTGAGGAGCAGGTCATGGAGATCGCAATCCGCAACTGGGAAGAGGAGGTTGCAAAGTCCGTGCTGCGTGTAGGACGTCACAATGCGCACGAGATTGTCGTTCTCCAAACTCCGCAGCAGGAATAACAGATCTGACTCTCTTTTCTGTGCCTCGGAAGACGACCTGGAGGAAATTTCCTTTCGCACATATTCTGCTCTTTCTCTTTAGTCCATGTCACACTTTTAAAGCTCGTGGAATTACTTACGTTGCTCCCTAAAGGAAGCCTCGAAGTTATGATACAAAGGATGAACTTTGACTCTGAATACAGTTGAAAATCCCCCAGAAGAGAGCTTCTCGTTTTCCAAGAATGGCAGAACACGTTCCGACTCTATGTCTTTGTGCGCATGCTCTCGAAGTTTCAGGGGAACAAACTCCCACTGGAGCTTACGGAAATGCGTCACGGACTCTGGGAAGAGGTCATGCAATAACGTTTCGTCGAAAATGGGCAGGTTCGAGTCTAGTAAGTTTTTCTCCAAACATTTCTTTAGTCGCTGCTCAATTCTCAGTTCTACCAAGATAGCGAACAGTTTTCGGGCGCCCTCCGTCACTTCTACCGAAACGGGCCCTCGTTGGTGAGGCTCAAATCCAAACACAGGGTCTTCGAGAGCTCTTTCGATCGTCGGAATTGTCAGCAGTTCGAACAAGCCAGCCTCGGGTACGAATGAGAGGGTAACGTAAGTTCCACCTGCGATGTCGAATCTCCTAAGACGTTGGAAAGCTAATCGCAGTTCGTCCATGTCCTCGAGTTACCCATAAACGATAGAGGAAGAATCAGACACTCGGGGAGGCACAATATCTCTACCGGTGCAGCGATGCTGTGAAGGCTGAAAAGATAGCTCAATTCAAGCTCACCGGATCTTGGCGACGTTCCTCCTCCACCACTAACAAGCAGGCCCGCCCCTCCAACACAGGCTCAGTTCAAGTTCGCCGTATCATTGGGCGTACTGCCTGCAATGCGCCTCGTAATCAACCGTGCCAGCTCAGAGCGCGTCGTATCGTCAAGAATGTACATGCATGCGAACGTGTAGCCCAGCGAGGCGCGCCACTAGTGACGGCGACACATTGCGATCTCATAACCATACGTATGTCGACGAGGCTGGCAGTGCATACACAAAGCCCTGCCAGATGGAAGCATAGAACGTTTTCCTGTCATTGTCTCTTGGGAGGTTTGATCCTTACGAAACTTCTGAGATTTGACGCACTGCTGGATTGCTTTTGGAAAGCGTATTCGGCACTCAAAGAAGCCTCCTTCATCACGATGGATCATTTGATTTTGCAGATATACTCCCAAGCGTCTGCCTCGCACATCGATATATTCACCCGGCAAAAACTCCTCGTCGAGAACTTGGATAGGATATTTGCAGACCAGGGCGACATTGAAACGTGGGAGTATCATGGCACGGCAAACAGCTTGAAGGAATTTGCAATCGCGTCAGTTGCAGACTTCGATCGAAAGTGCATGGTGCGCATGAACACTATCACGTATAGTTTCCGTCATTGACATAATCACAGACCACTCGGCGCCTCGGAAGTCGGGCGTTGTGAGCATCATCTGTCGATAACTGCATGTAGCTTACTGAAATATCATCTAGCTTCATCACTCAAGGTCATTCTTGGAGCCGACTGCAGGTGGCCGCAGAACTAATGCTACACATTATATCTTATTACCAGATCACTCCATTGATTTTAGACTTCTTCCACTGTTTTGGCGCGAAGGTAACAGGCGAAGATAATCCTTACTATGGGACATTTCACGCAAGCTTTTCTCGTCAAGCTGAGAAGACTCCCACACCAACCAATCTACACTATGGTATGTAATCCCTTAGAAACTTTCGTAGGTCCTTCACTTATCTACGAAGACTTCTGCTGTCACTTGCGACGATTTGAGAAACACGGCAATGCGAAGTTGAAGGATCCTTGGTCTTTACGGCAAATGACGGCATGCCAACGGTTTGACATGGTAAATCAGACATCGACCTGGATCTTCATCAAGCCTATGGAACATTTCCAGAAGAAGTTTCGGATGCTCCTCTGCGGTGATCAACGAAACAACCCCATGGCTCCGCACCTTCTTTGCCTCTCAATGGCGTCAGAGAACTGGAGGTGGTATATTGATTTTCTGCGAAGGCGTTTGGGTGAGTTCGTAAGTGATAAAATATTCTTCTTTCAACACGCTAATCTCTCGCAGGTCGAGAAAGCAACATTTGCCTCTTTTGATGCTTCAAATCTCAACTACGATATCAGTCTTGTGGATAGCCAGCGCCTCAGTACGTTAGAGTCAAAAGTTACCGTGGCAATCGCTGTCCTGGAGCAGAACCTCGCCATCGGACGAGGCATGAAAAGGCATTGCAGGCGTCTTTGGCGGATCAAAGGCTTAAACATAAACCAAAGCCTACAGGATACAACGGAGAGCGACATTGAGATGCAGTTGACTCACCTGGGTCTCCACAAAGCATCCTGTGAGCTTCTGCTTCGACGTATCCAAGGGACCTGTTCAATGGTACCGTTTTCATGCTGCGTAAACTGCTTAAGCTGACGGCTGCTAGCTTTTAAAGATCAACGATCTGAGAAACGACATGATCATGAAGGATTATAGCAAGATAACGACTGAGCTAATCGGAATGACGAATGCGCAGAACAAAAGCTTGCATGCGATAGCGCATGGTGCGAAGCTTGACTCTCGCATGATGAAGATACTCACTGTCATCGCGATAGCGTTTGTGCCACCAAGTCTCATCGCAGTCTGTTTTTCTCTCCCCTGTATGAGATGATAGTTAGCTGACGACTTGCAGTCGATATTCTCGTCTGACTTGATCAAAACGTCTGATAGAGACGTATCTGGCGATTCTTTCCGCGTCAGTAAGGATATGTGGATCTTTGTTTTGTCGTCTTCGACGATTACCATGTTGACGGTGTTCAGCGCCTTGTTGTGGGCGCAGCGCAAAGTGTGACCTTTCATTCGTCACCACGTGGTCGGGCATTTCGCGCTAAGGCTGCGTGGCGCTGGGCTATTATTATATCGTTATAGGATGATGGCACCTGGCTTTCAAATAACTCAGCCTTGTGCCCCACCATTGCACACCTCTTTCATTTCCCTACCCACGGCACCTTCGTGTATATTTGATTTGTAACAATGGCAGGCCGAACCGACTTATACATGTTCGGCAGTCAATCTGGGAAGCGTATACTTTACTCTGATGTCCTTTTCCAGACGTCCTTGGGGCCAACTTTGATGGAAGGAGTCCCTGAAATCGACCACTGCAACTTCATCTACTTCTGCGCCGAAGCACAAGCCCTAGGAATCGATTTCCTTCCTATAACATGGCAACCATATATGGGCCTGGGAGGAATTGGAGGGACGTCGAAGATCCAGCAATCGCTGCTGAGTGTTGATTTCAGTTTGGCGTTCAAGTCTATTGACCTTGGGGGCGTTCTGCAGGCTCGCCAAAATGACGAATTGAAAGCGATGTATTCGTTGTTGAGGGCAGAGATTCAGCATATGAGGAATCCGTGTGTCCTTCGCTGTCCCCATATCATGCTAGTCGACGGTATCTGCTGGAACATTAATAGTGTTGACGGCAGCATCGATCCTGTATTGGTGTATGAAAGAGCTGCGCTAGGAGACTTATATCACTACATGACCTCTGGTGAGGGACGTTTGTTGGATATTGAGAATCGGATCAAAATATGTCGAGACATCGCGATAGGTCTCGAGACATTGCATGAATGCAGTAAGTGATCACATCAGTAGTATCAAAATTTCTATGCTAAGCAGACTGGCAGAGATCATCCACGGAGACGTCAAGCCCCAAAATGTTCTTATGGATCTTGTCGGAAACAGAATCGTCACGGCCAAGGTTGCAGATTTTGGGTATTCTAGGGCATACCTGAGCTCCGAGGATAAGCTCGCGGTGGCTCGTACAACACCTTGGTGCGCGCCCGAGGTCGCTGAACGGGCCGACGGGTATTTGAGCCACGAGGCGGAACGGACGGACATCTACTCTTTTGGAATGTTGTGTCTCTGGATGATATTTGCCAACGAGCTTGCAAATCATTTTGGCGTTAACCAAGACATGACTGATTTCAGCACGGCTGATACAAAAGACCAGCACTTGTGTTTCACAAAAATCAACAAGTTGAAGGAGGAAGATCGTCTGCGACTCATCTGTAGGGGGCTGACCTTGAATCTTCCTCTCGAGCCAGGACAAAAGGTTAGCCTGACTAAGGTGTTCGACTCATCAATTTCGCGCGATCCGTTGCACAGAACCCTCAACATGCGGCGAATTAGAGCGTTGCTCGATGAGAACCTAAGCGATCCCTCAGCGTTTCCCGCGGACATGATACCTACTCTCCACAATGAGAAGGTGGACATGAAAGAACACCAAGATTTCCAGGTACTCGTCCATTGATGTTGATTTCTTCAATACCTAATTTCTCCCAGATATCCGAGAGCGTGCTGCAGTTCCTCCAAGGTGATGTCCGAGTCAGAGAATTTGTCTTTCAATCCTTACTTCATCAAGCCACAAGCTCCACATGCGTCGCCTGTCAATCGAACGCCGCGTTTCAGACTTCGATATGCTTTTCCATTGGATTCGGAATACCTGCGGATGTACAATCTTGCCAACAATGGCTTCATCGCTCCGGGAAATCTCGCGTTGACCTTGAACGAGTACTGCATGGCATGAAAGAGTTTTCCGAAGTGGACGAGCCGCACCTATATCACACTCATCTCCTGAACAACCTGCACAATGACGGGTACTTGCGCAACATCGACTACCTTGACACTTATCTGCCAGCACTCTCCCTCGACAACATCAAAAACTTGTACAAACGCGAAATTGCTGACCTTGTCTTTTGTCTCGGACCGTCAGCTTTTTTTACGATGAGTTTGCAAGGGGTGTACGCGACCATCCTCAGAGAAGCTGGCCTCTACCAGGAAGCGGCAGCTATCCAAACTCAGTGCCTTCAACAACTCCTCCAGACTACATTAGATGACGGCACCGAAACACCGAATGCGCAAGTCTTCATGAGCGCGTTGGCTGAGACATATCGACGGCAAGGTGACTATCAACAAGCCGAGCATTATAACACAATGGTCAAGTCTCGTCGCACAGAAACTTTGGGCCCGGATCATCCTCTGACGTTGGCTTGCGTGCAGTTAGAAGGGATTCTATACCACGAAAGAGGCTTCCCGGAGGATGCGGAGAGTACTTACAAGCTTGTGATAGAAAAACGCAAGCAGACACTGGGCATATATCATGTGGGTACGCTTAATGCCATGAGCGACCTCGGAAATCTGTATCTACATCAGATGAGGTACAAGGAGGCTGCGGTGATACTAGAAGAGGAACGGGGTCTCTGTGAGAAACTTCTCGGTGCCAACCATTACAGCACGCTCACCACGCTCACTAACCTAGCCAACACATATATCGGATTAGAGGAGAAGGAGGCTGCGCAAGGCTTGCTCGACCGAGCGCTTTTTGGCCTGAGGCTGACTTTGGGAGAAGACCACCCCATGACAAGGTCTGTCATGGCCAGTTACGGTGCCCTGTACTACAGCCTCGAAGAGTATTCCACAAGTCTCGACTGGTATAAGAAGGCATTGCTAGGGATCGAAAAGCTGCTGGGAGCAGATCATCCGAGTACCACGCAAATCGCTCGGTCGATGGCTTCAGTCTTAGTAGCAATGGAAGCTGATTTCGGAGAGATCAGCATGATGTACGAAAGATGCATTGGGGCACAGAAGCGCCTGCTTGGGGAGAACCATCGAGAGTACTTGGAAACCCAGTCCGATTATTGTCAGTTCCTTTTTGAACGCGGCCACCTATCAGACGCGGAGTGCGGCTACCGCGAACTCATTAGGCACCAAGAAACATGTTTGGGTCCGAAGCATGGAGCTCTTGCTGTATCACTCTGCCAACTCGGTCAAATTCTCAGCGAGCTCGGAAAGGGGGACGCGGATGTGGCATTGAGACGGGCGGTCGATCTATCGATGCAGTATGGTGAAGGCAGGCACGAAATGGGATGGGAATGCATGGAGAAGCTTGCGGATCATCTCTGTCACACCGGATCAGACCTGCAAGAAGCCGAGACTCTATATCGCAGAATCCTCGGGGCAAAGCGCGCGGATCCGAACATCGAACCTATCGAGAATTATGTCATTCTCGGCTCTCTGGCGGACCTGTCCATGGAGCTAGGCAATCTCGAACAAGCAATTGTGGTGCGTAGAGAGATGGTTGAAATCAGTGAGATGTTTGAGGAAGAATACAACGAGGATAAAGTAGCGGTACTCGCAGATTTGGCTTTCATTTTGAACAAGAGCAAGCAGTATGACGAAGCAGAACCACTATATCGCAAGGCTCTGGAATTGGCAATCACTACTTTCGGGGACTCGGGAGAGAGAACTTTGGACTTGAAAGCGCATCTGGCCTGGAACCTGGAGCTCCAGGGACAACACGAGGAGGCGCGTGTCCTTGTGAATGACGCATTAGAGAAGAGTAAGGCGTGCTTGGGAATTGAAATGATGCGGCTGCGACTGTTAACCAGAGCGGCTGCTGTTTATTTTCGACAGGGTGACAAAGCGGCGGCCATCGTGCTCAGCCAGGAGGTGCTTGATGGAACTCGTGTTGTGTTCGAAGCGGAATCTGAAGAACTGCATGTAGCAGAGGCCAACCACACATTATACACGCAAGGTCTTTAGGGTAATCGTCTAGTTAGAACGATTACCTAGGTGTTACATAGACTGTATTCGTCGCCTTTTTCTTGTTAAATACCTCTCCAAGCGGTGATACCTATCGTCCAGCTAATCCGAGACGTGTTGAATGTTAGCATCCGATTACAGCGCGCTGCTGCTTATCCTTGGCAAGCTTTAGTAGCATCGCAGCAGGGCCTAGTAACAACGTAGCAAGGTTAATAGAGAGCCTTAACAACAGGTTTTGAGTAAATTCACTACATCATGCTGAATTAGGCGGTGAATGAGGACAGTTTCATCAAAGGACCTGAATTGGATAGACGATCGTTCTTATGTAGTGATGGGTATATACAATGGCGAATAGCTATACTTGCTCTTGTCAAGAGTCAGCGTATTAAATCCACAACCCATTACCAGCAGCCTATGTTCTTGAGATTTGCCGGAGAGTCATCTTCTGCCTCAAGGATGACCCTCTGCTACGAATCTTCTCGCATGGTCACTTTACAAGGAAAGCCGTGCACCGGGTGGGCTGCTCCCAGCGGCACCTGATAGGCTCTTTCCCCAAACACTGTCTTGATACTAGACGAAGGATGAAGGCGATCCCACTCATCGTACTGGTTATGCACATCGAACTCGCGAACCGTCATTGCTAGGGTGATCTTAATGTCAAGCATCGCAAGCGTTTGGCCGACGCAGTTCCTCGGACCAGCTTCGAAGGGTCGCCATCCTCCTTTCGGTGGATACAAAGGATGATTTGGCTCAACAAGCCAGCGTCCAGGCAAGAAAGAATGAGGTTCGGGCCAGTACTCTGGATTCCGCTGGATCGCTCCGTGAACGACCCAGATGTTGATGTCTTCGGTGGGGTATTTGTTCCCGCTCCTGTCGAGCAAGAACACGCCTGGAAGCCCGCCTCGCATACCCGAAGCTGGTGGAAATAGACGCAAGGTTTCTTTGACGACTGCGTTGGTATACGCGAGTTTGTTAATCCGCTCAGGGTGCTTCTTGAGAACACTAGCAGCGGAGTTGATACCCTCGCCAAAAACCTCATCAAGTTCTGCACGGACCCTGGCCAGAGCATCTGGATGCTTGGACAGCATATATAGGCTGTACACAATTGTAGCGGCGGTCGAATCATGCCCAGCGAACAAGAATAGGCGGATCTGAACAGTCGCCCATTTCTTGAAATCGGCATCGAGCTTGGCGGCAACTTTACGCTCGCTCATATAAGATGCGATAGCCATGTCCATGACCGATCTCGCACGAGTGGACGGCTCGTTGGTCCTCCAATCCTCATACCGTTTATCCAGCTCGGCGCTGAGGTAACGATTCATCGTTTTGCCGTTATACCACTCAGTCAAAGGTCGTATAGGGTTCCAGCGCTTGAAAGGATTCATTTCCTGGTCCTGGCAGTGCCACTCGATGGAGCTCCTCATTGCGGCTGCAAGTGCGTTGTGGCTAGTCATGGAATGGAGGCGGGTGTTGCTAATGCGCCTTAGTATATCACTTCCATGCGATGTCAAGGTCGCACTCACATCGTGATGGCACCAATGACATCCATCATGTAGTCGCATGTAAGTTCGTCCAGAGAGAATGTATCGCCCTTCCTCGCATGCTCCCGCAGCAGCGTCACATAAACTTCAGCTTCCTCGATGATGTGCGCCGTGCTCTCAAGCATCACCCTGTCACTAAAACCTGGGTTGAAAAGCGCCCTCGAACGTTTCCACTCAGCGCCATTCATGTCAAATAAATTCGCTCCCCCTGCAAACGGCGCGAAGAATGGTTTCAGGATCTCCGGCTTTGGAAGATCGTGTTCTTGACATGCTTGTATCGCAAGCTCGGGCGATGTGACAACAAGCAGCGGGCTGGTGAACGGCCAAAGATCGATATAAAAGCAGTTGTCGGAATGTTTGAAATCATATGATAGCAGGGTGAAGGTATCTGACTGCTGGGAGCCTTTGGGAAACTTCTCCAGGAGTTCTGGTAACACTTTGAGGTTACCGGCTGCAAAATCCCATGGTGGCATCGGCTTCGTGTCGCGTCGCATTAGCTTACAGCTTGCAGTAATGGTTGAAGGGATCGCATACTAGTCCTTGCTTCTTGAGCTTGTAGAAGATCATGCGCATCTTCACAAGCTTGAAAATGAACACACCAAAGGCGGCGACAGCTGAGGATAACGCGACTTGCCATGCCGTGCGCTTGAACTCGAACGAATCCATTGTATGTATGCTCTACTTCCGATGAATCTCGATGTAGAACTATCGCTTGATTGGGTATCGTAAAGTGGTGAATAGCTTATCGCTATGCACCAGGGTATTCCGTCGTGTGCGGCGCAACAGCAGTTCGAACTCAGAAGCTCAACAAGAAACAGAGAGAGTTGCGCGAAGGTGATGTAGTCGCATGTTGCTTGCCGTCGCATTTGTAGCTGCAGCACTGGTCGCGGCCGCCTGAAGTTGGGCTGCCCTACGCTGACGAATCAGAGTGTTCGGGGGCCACGGGGCCTGCGCGGGTGCGGTTTCCCACCGGCTGTTGTTGCGACTATCACACTTCCGCATCCTTCGTTCGCAATACGCGATACCTCGCAGGCTACGTGATTCGCTTAACCTGCCCTATCCTAATGCTCTGATATGCTAGACTTCAGCTCCTTCCACTTCGCCACCACGTCAGCTTTCTCAGCATCACTTGCACTTCGATATCCGACAGCCGATCGACGCAACTGTATGAAGAAGATCTCAGCTTGGAGAGCAGTGAGATGACGAGCCAAGAGCCCTCTCTCAATGCCTTTCAGAAAATATCCCGGCAGACCAAAGATTGCTAGCGGCATCAGATAAGCAGATTCTTCAACATTCGGGGAATCAACTCACCAGCCATCGAATGGAAGTAGAGGCCACCAAGACCTCTCCCAAGCCCTTTACCAAAGCCGAGTGCGCCTTCTTGCTTCGCACCAAGATATGGATGCCTTACGATACCCAGCAGTGCATCGCCGAAACCAAGTACGAACTCCTTCCCTGCGAGTTTGCATCCACTGCCGAAACCGGTAATCTCATCTCTTCGCCTGACCGGGTCATTATGAATAGCGTACGAGGGAAAGTTTCGAAAGCCGTTCGCAACATTGTAAAACAAAGCGACAGGAGCTTTGGCACCCGTAGCCGCAAGGTCACCAATGTAGTGAGCGGTGGCGCTTGTGATCTGGTATCCACGACCGCCCTTCGCTCTCCTCGCTGCGACTCTCTCACGAAGGGCGGTTAGCCCCGGCCGGCTTTGCGGTTTTTCGAAGTTTAGAGTGATGTCGTCTTCGTATGACTTTGCTGCCATTCTGTAAGCCAGGTGGTGGAACTGTTTCGAAGTGATGCCCTTCTCCAGGCTGAGCTCCGAATCATCCTCAGATCGCGTTCTTCCCAAGGCTTCTACGTCAGAATTGAGTGGTCTCTTCTTTAATCGTTGCGAAAATTCCGCTGTATCTGTCCCAAGAGAAGCCATGAGTCCACCGAAAGCAGCTACGGTACCTACAAATGGACCTTCGGCTCCCTCATGGGTATAGTAGTGCCGGTGTCGCAGTAAACGCAGATGTTTCACGTCTAACATCTTTTGCTCAACAAGCGTGCATGCGGCAAAGCCACTCAGATGTACTCCAGTCTGTTTGTCACGCCATGTAGCCAGTCGCTCCGGACAAATTTGACATCGCATTCCGTCAATGTCCAGTCTCTGCTCAAAATCTCGCGTCGTGCCCCCGGCACCATCTTCTTCCGCAATGCTCTCAGCCATCTTTTGAACAGCGACTTGAACAGAATCTTGAAGCGAAAAAGTGATACTATTAGCGAGGCTCTCTGCTGTCATCTGCTTGAAAGGAACAGGCACCGGGCCAGCACCGGCTTTGGCAATCATCTTTTACAAAGTTAGTTCGGTTCGGTGATACATTAACGCAGACTTACCTGTCCCCAGAAGGGCTGGTCGCCAAAGAATGGCACTACAACCGTCGGCTTTCCCAAGGCAATTCCGGCAGCCGTTGTACCAGCGCCTCCGTGATGAACAACACACGACACTCTTTTAAAGAGCCAGTCGTGCGGACAGTTGCCGATGAGGTAGACGTCGTCAGGCACGTCACCTGTGCCCACGCCTCCCCAGCCTTTGGATACTATCGCTCGTACCTTTGCTAGCTTCACAGCGTCGAAGAGAAGCTTGGTGAGGCCCACCGGATCATCGACCACTATACTACCAAAGCCAATGTACACCGGAGGCGGCCCTTTGGCGAGAAATTTGGCCAGGTCATCGGGTGGTGTGTAATTAGAACCAGCGTCCAAAAATGAAAATCCGGTGATGTTGATATGGTCGCCCCAGTCAGGCGGCCGTGGTATCAAAGCTTGAGACCACAGGTAACTATAAGGAATGCGAAGCCTCGGGAGCAATCGATGTCCCCACAGCGGACTCATCGCGTCCAAGCCTAATGTCTGTGTTCTGAATTTATTAATGACATCTCCAAGGCCTTGCCAGGTCAGCAGCTCCATAATGCCGAAGCTAAAGTAGTTGGCGACGGACTTCTCGACTTCTCCGTACTCCATAGCCGCGAGAGGGTGGTGGAAGGCTTTTGTGGGCGACCATGGCATCGTGAAGACCATGTGCAGCGGTATGCCGAGCTTCTCCGCGCAGTGAATGTGTCCCATTGAAGGGGGGTTCGCGATGATAGCGTCTGCAATGAAGAGATCCTCGGGCGCGTCTACGTTTAACGCAGATATCTTTTCACCCATACCATTACCGGCCTCAATACAGCTTCTCCATGTTCCTTCCATCATCTCGGCCATCTCTTTTCGTCGCTTGCCAATGTCGCCAGCTTTGATCGATTGCATGTTGGGGAGTAGACCAGGGTTCTTCACCATATACGCCATTAGTGCTTCCGGGTCGCCGCCAATCGAAAAGAACTCCACACCATTGCTTTCTACGAAATCTTTGAAGGCTGGATGCGTGCAGATACGCACTCGATGGTAATGTGGAGCGGCCTGGAGCAGCTTCGCGATCGGTATGAAAGGCTGCACATCGCCCCGAGAGCCACAAATATGTATCGCGATGTTCAACCGCGGGGCGCTGATGTTGGATGTCTTCTCTTTGACGAACTCATCTACCAGGGTCGTGCTGCCTTTTCGCGGTTTCACACACCGCGCAGGTCGGCATGCTGCAGCATCATCTTGAACCTTGTCGAACCAGTATTTCAAGTAAGTCGTATTCTTGTGGAATTTGATAGCGACCTGGCCGAAGGTATTGACTCGTCCGGTACTTTGCGCTTTTTCGTCATCGTATTCGCCGCGTTTCTGCTTGCTGCTGAAGTTGCGAGGCATTGCGATACCGACTGCGAATGCTGACTACATTGCGCCCTTGTTGAGATATAGGAACACAAGATTACAACTTGGATGACATAATGTAAGACTGTGCATTTTTGCTGCGTATGCACTCGGGCCTTTTGAGATGAACAATAGCGCCAAATCTCACCTCTTACTTTTTGGGTCCTAGATCTGCAGTTCGCGGAGCTTCCCGGGCGTGCTGCGCCAGTCACAGCACGCTGTCTCGCCTCGGTTGGCGATCAACCGCCCCCAGCAAACCATCGCTCGTACCATCGTACAAGTAATCAGCTTCGGCCGGATCTTCTCAAAAGCCTAGACCTCAACGCTGGTGCATCGCACCACTGCACAGATGACTTTGCGCATTTGCACGCCTATCGCGCTCGCCGGAGATCTGTATACAAAGGCTTGAGGACCTTAGCTTCGCCCGCGCGGGCTTGAACGAGGTTATCAGTAACGCACGCACGACAAGCATTCTCCCCACCGTCCCCTCCGATTTGGACATGAGAGTCTGTACTGCATGCGACAACAATTGCACACACACATACAGCCATGACCGACAACCAAGAGAAAAGCATCGTTGGGCGGGCGCGTGGGATGTCGTTGTCGTCGCTGCTGCACACGACGCCGCAGCTAGGCATGTGGCAGGCCACAGCAACAGCAATGGCTCAAGCGCCAAACCTGACCGAGCTGCGAGAACCGGAATCCGGAGGCGCAAACATCACGTTCGATGCGCATGGCCACGCGACTCGTGTTGCGATACCAGATGAGGATGGCGAGCTCACGTTAGTCAAGTCACAGACGAGGATCCTCGACCGTCCAGTAACAGACGCTGTTCTACGAGCGGAGGTAGACAACAAGGCTGGAAAGCAGTCGCGCAAGCACCACGGCCATGGTATTCACCGCCGCCAGACGCTGAAGGAGAAGCACGCGTCCGCCCACAAGGAACCATGGGGTCCTACCATCAAGAATGGTCTCAAGGCATTCTGGGTCTTCTTCCTCACACCATCAGGCTTTCTGATCACCATATATGGCCTCAACGTTGTCGTACGTTGTCCCCCTAACCTGCAGATAACATTGTGCGCTGACTTTGCAAGGCCTGGGGCGCGATGCTCTTCTTCCTGCTCCTGAAAGCCGCCCCTGCCATGTGCCATGTACGCGGCACGCAGATCTACGACTGCGATAATGACTACAGCCAGAACAAGATCTGGCTTGAGATCGACAGCCAAATCCTCAACGCCCTCTTTTGCGTCACTGGCTTTGGCCTCGCACCGTGGCGCTTTCGCGACTTCTACTGGATGATGCGCGCCATCCACGTCCACGATCCAAACGCCATGCGCCGCCTATTCAACCAGAACAAAGCTTGGTTCCGCCCACCAGCGTGGTTCACTGACATCGAAGACCTACAGCCTACGACGTTCACCGGGATTAGGGCGCCGGCCACTGCGATGTGGAAGTTGGCATTCACGGTGGATATGATGGTGTTGAATACGCTGCTGCAGGCGGTACTTTGTTTCTTTATGTGGCATTATAATCGACTGGATCGCCCCACGTGGGCGACGGGTACGTTTATCGCGTTGGGGTGCGGTGTCGCTATGTTCGCGGGTATTATGTCTTGGTGGGAGGGAAGGAAGGTGAAGAAGATTGAGGGCCCAGAGATCAAGATCCAGGCGAAGACGGTGGAGTCGAGCGAGAGCAGCGAAGTGTAGTACGAGTAATAATTAGTACTGTAAAGTAGAGCACTAGCTAAGCTCTTACTCCCGTGACGTACAGATACATGATGTGCTCTGACGTACTCTACAAGCGACTGGCTGCCCTGCTGAGAATCTGGCCTCCGACAGTATTCTTGCTGATAAGCATTGCGCAGAATATCCGATCTGCGGTCTAGGCCACGAGATATTGCCGATTCCCAATGACTGAGTCTGGGTCAAAGATTGATTACCAGCAACTTTGTGCGGCCCTGCCATGGTTTACTCGACTTCTAAAAACTGTAAGGCCGTGCGATGAATGAAACCAACAGAAGTATTCCCCTCGTTCACGACAACAAGGTCTGCCCCACGCTTCTTGGTCCGCGGAACTATGAGCTCGCGGCATAATCGTTTTGCTCTCACAAGGTTGGGAAATTCTACCTACCTACCAGGATTCGGAAGCGATGCTTACCAAGAACATAATTTTCAAAAGCATCGCTCTAACAGCATAGGTTTCTTCAAAAGCAAGGCTTTCGAAAAGGAATCTTCACAGTAAGCTAGTACAGTTAGCTTCGGAACGTCCTACTTTCTGCCGGTTGCATTACCTGCGAATGGACACCTGTACGTAGACCTTCATGAGCGGATTACCTCTTGTGTGAAATAATTAGAAGCGGGACGAAGAAGAAACTAGAGAACTGAATGTATAAAGATATGCCCATGTCGCACTTCTATCACTCAACCAAAAACGTAAATCTTCATCTTAACATCTACTCATCTACTCGGACTCAACATGAGACTTCCTTGGATTCTTTTCGCTTCGACCGTTTGTGCCAACGTCTACGGCGAAGACACACAACAAGCGATAAGCAGCTCTCTCGACTATCATGGAACTTCATATACATGCGACAATGGTATTTCAAAATCAACCGTTGTTACTTTGCAGAAGCTTACCTTATAATTAGGTGTGAAGCCATCAATTACCTGTACGGATCCATCGCTGCACGAGCACAGTTGCTCGTGTGCTTGTACGAACGGACTCAAATTCGAACAACGCCTTTTGCCCTCCGTCAACCCCGATGATAGTAGCAGCAATGATTCTCTTGATGCCTGTCAAGCAGCCAACAACGATTGTTCTGTGCGCGAGCAAGAGCTACTCCAGCGAGCAGAAGAACTTTCCGCAGAACTGGACAAGTGCAAGGGAACACACTTCGTGTATCAGGGTTGCTACGTCGAGCAGATTGCTCCAAACCACGTCGTAACCGGCCGCACAACGACTAGCGGAAGTCTAACATTCGAACAGTGCTCTACTGTATGCAAGGAATACAAGTATTTTGGCCTTCACAATAGGCAATGGTGCTTCTGTGGAAACACCATAAAGCTAGGAGCGGTTAAAGGGAAGGAGGAAGAGTGTTCATCTCCTTGCACTGGTAACGAAGCTCAGAACTGCGGTGCTAGTTAGAGAACAAGTGTCTACTATAGGTCTAGTTAACCTACCTATCCTACTACGAGGACAAGCTTGTTCTTACTAGGAACGAGCTGTCTGGAGAGAGCGCGATAAGGAGTAATAAGGAAAGGGGATTAAATTAATGTAGTAGAGTTAAGTGACTTACTTGTAAAGATTGTCTGAAAATAAGCTAGGGTTAGTTCTCAGACAATAAGTATGTAATATTAGATAAGAAGGTTGTACTAGTATTATTAGTAGATCAATAGCGAGGGTTCTCAAAAAAACAGCAACGCGACGCCGCAACCTCACAAAAATCTCATGATACAGGCAACAAGGCTAAGCGAAAAGCCTCACATAAGCTAGCCCACCCGGTTTCGAGTCACCCGGGGTTTCAACTCACCCTATCGCCATTCAGTACCCTCTCCAAAACACGACTTTTCTCGCCACCCACGCTGCGCAAATGGACACCCGTGAAGAAACTATTCAAGCAGCTATCCGCGATCTTAATGCTGGCGTTTTCTAGAGCCAGAGAGCTGCTGCAAAGGCCTACAACCTCCCTCAAGCTACGTTCTCGGCCCGTGTACGAGGCGCGCGGAACAGCCAAACCAGCCACGTATACCAACTAAGATTGACTCCAGAGCAGGAGGACTTCCTCGTACAATGGATACTCGAAGAAGACGCACGAGCTTTTCCTCCCTCCCACGCACGCGCACGAGAAATGGCGAATCGAATCCTCCGGATGAATAGAGACCACAGACCCGTAGGCAAGCATTAGATAGCTGCCTTCCTTAAGCGTAACCCACGCGTCGCATCTGTCGTGGGTCGAGAGATTGAGGCTGCTCGAGCTGAGGGAGCAACGCCAGTACAGATACGCGCGTTCCTTAAGCTCTTTAAGAGGACTCGTACGAGGCTAGGCATAAGAGCTGAGGATATATGGAATATAGATGAGACTGGGAAGGCCTTAGGTGTATGTGCTAACACCAGAGTGCTCGCATCTAGTCAGAAGAAGAAGGCTTACCATCAGTCTCCAGAGAACCGCGAGTAGGCATCAATAATTAAGTGCGTGTCGGCCACAGGCAAGAAACTGCGCTGTTCAGTCATATTCAAAGGGAAGAGCCTACAGAGCACTTAGTTTCCTGCGATAATTCCTAAATAGCTTTACACAACCTCAGAGAATAGCTGGACATTAAACAAGATAGGAGCTAAGTGGTTGCAGCGGGTATTCCTGCCCGAGACAGCTCTATTAGACGATCGTTGGAGGATGCTAATCCTAGATAGCCACGGCAGCCACGTCAGCCTAGATTTCCTATAGGCTTGCAAACAGAACAAAGTCTATCTTCTGTTTCTACCTGCTCATTCTTCTTATGTCCTACAGCCTCTAGACCTCTTAGTATTCTCAGTCGTAAAGAGGTTTTACTAGCAGCAAATCCAGGCCCTCTCGTAGCTTGACAACGCAGCGCGTGTTAAAAAAGAGCGCTTTATTACAGCCTATTATTATGCAAGAGAGCGCGCAATTACTAAGAGAGTTATACGAGCAGGATGGGCTGCTGCTGGTATCTGTCCAATTAATATTAACCGGGTAGTCAACTCATCTTAGGTATCTCAAAGGCCTATCATGCTACCTCGTCAGCATCAACTTCAACCTGCTTAGAGTTATCTCTCTACCCCTCACGGACCTCGTGAGGTTTTTGTAGCGCAGCGACAGCTTCACAAGGATGAGAATATTAGGCGCAAGACCCATCAGTTCTTTGAAAAAGTTAGCAAGGCACTTAGAGCAGCAAATATACGAGCAACACAGCTTGAAACAGAGAATAAAAGACTTAATAGTCAACTTAAGGCTCTTAAGCCTCAGCAGCCACGAAAGAAAGTTCGTGTAAATCCAAACGAGCGCTTTGCAGAGATAGATACAATTATGGTTGCTGTACAAGCCTCACAGCTTCTTGAGGCACAACGAGATAGCAACGCTGAGGAACGGGCTGCAGAGAGAGTAGCAGCCGAAACAGCAGCTCAAACGCTTCAGTCCATGTGTACAGAGTGGCAAATATAACGGTGTTGAGAGAATAAACTTAATTTTTTATGTAGATAGGTAATTCGAGTCAGTGAGTTGAAACCCCGGGTGACTCGAAACCGGGTAGGCTAGCTTAGTGCTATTAAACTTCTAGCAAAGTGTTGTCGTGTCGTTAGTGTTCAAACTAGGCTTGAAGCTGCACCTAAGCTGCCGCCTCCTCCAACTAAGCTCACCTGCACACGCTCAGTACAACCACCAAAGAGATATTCTGAGTAGACAGAAAGTTTCGCATACATCTATATATCAATATACCACGAAATCTCGTGATACTCGCTTTTGTGGGTGGCTGTACAGCCTCATATTTTTCTCCGTCTCAAGTTGTTGGGGTGGCTCGACCCGCGCACAGACACGTTACGCCGTAACACATGGTCAGCCCTCTAGACATGTTAGCAGCCCCAAGACACAAACCATTATATGAACACACTGTAACACTGGTTGTAGCATTAGGAGCATCCAATATCCGACCCCCCGGTGTCCGAGAACGTGCTCTCGAATGGTTGGCCAGCTTTACGCAGCGGCCACCAAGACCTTTTCCCCGCATCTAACTCTCAGCTCCAAGCCCCCTAGTTTGCTATTGGGGATGAATACGACATAAGGACCGCTACCAGAACTCAGCAGCCCATGGTCTGCCAATAAGAATATTTTGACCATATCCTTGCTAGGGGACAACTCTTCAGCTGCTACAGGACGCGCACAACAGACTCATATCTCGTGACATCAGCAAGGACAAAAATTAGCTAAAAGCATAAGGGAAGTAGACTTCGGGTGGCATATGGTCAAAGTATAAGATGATGCCATAACCCCACAGTTTGGCGCCTCTAGATTAGACAACACTATCCTCTCTCTCTAAGACAAACAATTCTTTCAAATCAACTATCGTCCTCGCTAACAAGTCCCTCATGTCTTTCCAAACGAAACCAAGCTTCATCCACCACGGCACCTGGGATGAATCAACCCGCTCCCACCCCGCCATGAAATGGATGTACGCAAGACCCTCTTTACTCCCTTTCTCCCTTCTAATACTAACTTTACCAAAACAGGGAAGACTACGCTAACGCCGTCGACGCCCACAAAGCATTCGACAACGAGCCCTACTCTAATTGGTTTTCATCCTCGCACATCCTCACCAAATCCACGGGCGAAACCATCTCCGGCGGCGCCGCCTCCTGGACAACACTCGCCAAAGAGCTCTACGCGCCCTTCATCTCGCATCTGCACGACCCGTTTCTCCTCGTATGCTGGGAAAACGAGGAAGGCTGGGAAATGTTTGGCGCCGCGACGCTGTATTGGAATTTGGCTGTTAGCGGAGATGGGCAGAAGGTGAAGGACCGCAAGGGTAGGGAGTGGGATGGCGCGGTCCCAGCAAGCTATAAGTTTACGTATGTTAGGCAGGATGGTGAGATTAGGATGGCGAAAACGCAGATCTTTGCGGATCAGACAGGTGCTATGGGGACGATGTTGAAGAGGGGGATGTTAAAGCCAGAGGATTTGTTAAAATAGGCAGAGAAGAGCGGATGAAGGATGTGTTTCCTATTTTATCTAGGTGTAGGCTAAACAACAGGCAGAATTAATATGTATTGTTACAGAAATAGATATTCTATGCCCAAACCATACTAATAGGGTAGGGTTAGGTTGCCCATAGGGGCAAGAAACGAAGATAGCTGCTCTTAAAAGCAAGAAACAAGAAGGCTACTTTTAAGAGCAAGAAATAAGTAGGCTGTATTATAACCTAGACTGGGAGACACTAGAGGGTTAGCGTAAGCACTTTAAAGGATTGTACAGCATAGTTAAAGAACTATACTATAGCACTACTCCTTGAATCTCAATAATAACTTCGAGAACTCATGTGATCTCCACCCCGTTCGTTTACCTATCTTCTCTGCTCGCAAGCAAAACAACCTCTCGGCGCAAACATAAGCATAGTCGTCAAACTAAGCCGGCCCGGAGGAAAGGGGAACGTCATCAAGGTCCGTAAGCTGTCTTGATATTTCTGCTCGCTTTTCCGCAGCACTCAAGTCTTGACTGTGTAGTGGGGTGCTGAAAGCTCGGTGTCGCGTAACCACGAAAAGCAATTAGTATGGGCCCGCTCTCGAGCACTTGTAGCGAGGGTTGCAGAGTCTTTGGAATCTGGGTTCTAATCCGGCCGAGGAATTGTAGCTATACCACCAAAATTAGTTCGACCAATCCTTCCTTCTCTAGCTGGAGGTTTATGGTCTGGCGAAGCGAATCGACTCTTAGCTTCAGATCGTGGAGCTCTTGATACGGTCGGCCTCGGGTTCTCTGTCTTCATCCCCTCTTTTGAGTTGATAGCTTTCTCGAGTGAGCACCTATCACCAAAAGAGTCTACCATACCGGGATGAAGTAAGCATGGAGCCCAGACTTCGCAGATATCGATGAATCGTGTAACGATGCGTTTGATCTCCGCTAGCGTTTCTAGCCTATCATTTGTCCGCCATTCGTGCGGGTTGATTGACCTAGCTAGGAGCGTGGCATCGAGGACGCAGTACGCCATGTGGCAGAGAGGTGTGCGGCAGCCTGCCTTGGTCGCTCGAAACAGGAAAAGCCGCTGTTCACTGTCAAAGAAATGATGAATTAGCGATTGAAAGTAGCTTAGCCTTGACCATGGAGCACAAGGCACTTCATCGCTGTAGAAGGCGGGCGTGTGATGCCATGCAACGACCTGGAAAGCCCTTGGAAGAAACAATCCCCCGATCATGTTTCACGAGCCAGACCGCTGGCTATTAGCACATCAGACCCAATTGTGGTCTGACAATAGGGTCGAACATGCCGTAGAATAACATGATCTTTGCCTTGATGGCTTATACTCCATTATCCGCTCCTATCCCCTCTTCTTCTGGCAGGTAGCAAGGTCAGATTTTTCGACAATCAACGAAGCCTCTGGCGACACGTACTATGGAAGTGTGTAAGAGGCTGAAGCCTTGGTTAGTAGTACTTGGCCTGTGGCCTTCGTTATAGCTGGTTGGGATAGGCTGCAACCCTCGGAGCGTTGTCGGGGCTTCATCGGCGCTCCACGGACCCTTAGAAGTTTCTCGAACCTAGCACTACGTGATACATAGACCCAGCACAAGCGTAGTGTAGCTTCTCTATCGAATTCATTACTGTTATACCTTGCACTTATGGTCAACCCATCGCACCCTTACAAAGTGATGAGATGTGGGTTGCTTCCCTCGATGGATGCCCATAAGTAAGTCCTTGCTTTTTCGAAGGCCTCAAGAGAGCAGGAGGGACCGATGAGACAAAGGAGATGGAATAATGTTGGGGCCATTCGATCTGATTTCTTGGTCTGCAAGAGCAACGACTCCACCTTTTTTGTGCAGACACTCGCCAATATCGCATTGACCCTTTGACTGCGGCGCAAGAAATAGGTCGTCGTGGCATTGCAATTCCAAGAGCACAGCCGCTGCATCGAGCTTGTGGGAGAGGGCAAAGTCTGCGAGATCGCAAATTACACAGTTGCCAACAAGCAAGTCAAGCAAGTCACTGCCTCAAACTTAACTTGCTTGGTTAGAGAGTAGGCGTAACTTGACTTGCTTAGGAGCAATTTGTTGCTTGCTTAACTTGCTTAGTTTACTTCTAAGTACTTAATTTACTTAACTGCTAAGGGACTAAACACTACTACATTACTAAGCTAACTGTCCTAATTGAGTATATTGTAATTATCTAAAAGTTCCTTGTCTAAAAGCTTAGCCTTACTATAAATAGTCAGTTTATAGCTAGCTGTAAGCCTAGGACTACATTACATGACTGCTCTGCAGGCATGACTAATGCGTCCGACTACTTAAGAGCTCAGATCACACATTTGTACATACACAGAAGAATACACTCATTCATGTGACCTTATACTACTACTACCCTATGCTTACAGTTATGAGCCTGGACTAATCTGTTCTATTACTTCTGTTACATTAACCTCCGATTACTACTATTATGTCGACCTACTCTGTTAGTTCAGATATTATCCTCTAAGGCTGCAACAACTAGGAGCTCTAGATCTTCGTTATTAAGAGAATAGCTAAATCAGGGGACGTATAGGAGTACATCGATCCTGATCGAGTTGTCTAACCTCTTTAGAAGCTAGAAAAACCTCTTTGTCACGGTAACTACCGTGGTTCCCTTGACATTGAACGCGCTACAGAATCCGAGTGCTCCGCCAAGCACCCGAATTCTGCTGATTGGCCGGCCGGGCCTAGCGCCATGCGCACGGCCCCCATCGATAACTTCTCACCGCCTGTACATGCTGATTCTGTTTCCTTACGCAACGTCTTGTATTACACCAGATATCGTACGTAGCCACAATTAACGCTTCTAGTAAGCTCTTAAACACGTGCTCGTAGCATCTCGTAACACTAGAACTACTTATCGCTTAAACAAGAGGGGGGCTAAGAAGGAACGACGCATTAACTCGTTAGAATCTATTAGCCTTCGAACAGCGTGTACTGCCTTCTGTTCCTTAGTTCCTACCTTACTATTAACTATAAGGTTAGATACTTGCTAAAGCTTTGTAAGAAGCTAACACCTCTGTTACTATATTAGTCCCTACACCTAAACTAGGGATAAATCTAGTTACTACCTGCATATTAGTATTAATTCCTGCCCCTGCCCCTCTACCTCCCCCTACTTTACTTCGCTTATCTCTACCTATTACTGTTACTATGTCTGTAACTATAACTCTGCCTCCTATCTAGCAACCTCTAACGTTAGAAGAATTTCTAGCGGACATTAAACGCTAAAAGTCCTAGCATGTTCTATATAATTATAATAACATAATCTTAGCAACTAACTTTCTAGCGCAAACAGGTTAGGAAGGAGACCTAGCAGAGTTAGTAGAAGCACGAAATATAGCTCTAGCTTCGCAGGGACTTCTTAGTTTATATACACTAACTATAGCTTAGAACTATTATTTTAGGGATATAGAAGCTTTCTATGCTAAGAGATTCGCGTAGGTTGATGCTCAGAATGCGCTCAATGAGCCTTAAGAGGTGCCTACACCGCGGCCTAAACGTGCTGCAGCGGTAGCGGCTCCTAAGGCCTAGAAGAGCCTTGGCCCGCGCAAGAAGCGTCGAGAATAGTAGTTTATAAGTTAACAATATAAACAACTGTCGCACGGTTAGGTGCGGTGTTGCAAGTACGGAAAATCATGAAGAGTGTATATGTTGTATTGTTCTAGCATCATAGCTCAGCTTATATTTAGGCCCTCGCACGGCATTATTAGTAACAGTGTTTAGGTTCACGAAAGCGCTTGGCCTGCGACAACAACCTAGCTTTAACCTTCTTTTAAAAGGTTAAATAGTAATACGCATTAGTTACTATAATTTACGCTCGCGCTAGTACACATATGATTAGCGCGGGGGACAAATCTCAAAGGGGGGACAAATCTAAAAAACGGGGGGACAAATCTCAAAAACGGGGGACAAATCTCACCAGCCCCGTTCAGATTGTCTGTAATGTACGCTCTTCCCTAAGCCCTATTTAGTCCCGATTACAGTGGCACATGTCAGTGAACATGCGATGACGTACGATAAGCGCCACTAATGATTTAGAAACCCAATCACAAATCTCACGCAAAATTGCACCGTACGATTCGCCTACTCAACACATCTACTCTCTTTGTACCAAGTCCATCCATCCGACCAGGTCCTCAAAATAGAGCCTGTGTCTGCATGAAAGTGTCGCAAATGGCCTCTCACCAACACGACGTTCCAAGGCGTCTGCCTATGCTGCTCCCCGCCCCCGCTGGCACCATCAAGCCGCCGGAGCAGCCGCGGAAGAGGCCCCGCCTTTCTGCGTGCGACGCTTGCCGCACCCGCAAAACAAAGGTAACGCAACAGACCGCGTAGATGCTCGCTTTTCGTTGTATTAATGTACTGTGCAGTGCACCAATGAACAACCCCAATGCAGCCAATGTATCAAGCACCAAACCGCTTGCCGCTATTCAGAGACGGAAGCGAGGGTCGTTAGAGTAAACCTCATCTATATCAATAACATTTCTTAGCTAATACACAACAGAAAAGGTACGAAGACCTCAAAACTCGCATGACGGCTCACGAAGAGCTTTTTGAACTTTTGCGATCTATGCCCGAACCAGAAGCGAAAGAAGTGTTTCAACGTGCTCGATCCGGTGTTAAGATCGAAGAGATCCTTGCTCATGTCAAGAACGGAAGTCTACTTATGCAGCTGGCCGTCGCACCTGAGACCAACCGCCGCTACGAATTTCCATATCGCTCAGAGATGCCGATGCATCTGCTCGTTCCAGACAACCAATACTTGGATTCTATAGTGTACGGCTCCTTGTCGGGTCTGTACCGATCGGACCATACTGTATCCTCACGCCATCTAGGTGCGTCGTGTGGTACTGTTCAGATTGTACAGGACCCGTACCTGAAGCCTATCCATGCAGCAGAACTTGACGATCCATTGTTGTCACAAGTATCGGCCTCGAAATGGACTAATGTCATCTCAAATGATGTACTTTTTCGAAGGCTGTTGAGTAATTATTTCCTTTATTGTCACCCACTCCTATACTGTTTCCACATGAAGTATTTCCTGCGAGATATGGTCGCCGGACAAACTCGATTCTGTTCGTCCCTCTTAGTGAACGCTGTACTTGGTGCTGCTTATGTGAGTGTGCGATTTAGGGTAATTACAGCCTGGTTGCATACATTCGCTAATTTGAAATAGCAAACATATGGCGCAGACCCTGACCGATCCAAGCATTGGCTGCCGGATAACCTTGGATACAAGTTCCTTGCTGAGGCGAAGCGGCTGTGGGAATTGGAGACAGCTGATAACGTTCAACTCACAACAATACAAGCTGCGATAGTCATACATCTGATCTGCGACTTGATCGGTGTGGACCACGTAAGTTGTGTTTACACTGCAGAGGCTAAAGCTGACATGTTACAATCTAGGTCGGCAACGCCTTCACTCAACAAGCAATTGCCATGTCGCAGGAGATCAATCTGTTCAAAAGTCCAACCCACATCAAAAGTAAGAGGATGCGGAATGCACGTATACTGTCGGCATGGGGGCTTTTTGACTGGGTTAGTGGTGTTCAGAGCTATTCTCGACGTGGACCACGCTGACGTATCTGTTTGGTACTTCTAGTGTTTGTTTGAAGCATATCACATGTTCCGAATGCCGTTATTAAAGGACCCACCTGAGATGCCATTTCCGGATCCCTTGACAAACCCGGGCTTCCATGATGAGATGTGGCTACGTTACCCACTCGCCACGTCGACAGTGCCTGCCTATTACGCTCACACTATCACCGCAAGGAGACATCTCAGTCAGATCAAGAACGATGTTGTTTACAAAGTTCGAAGTCGGAATGGATTTGAAGATCCGCTTCTATTCAGTACCATACTGCAAATAGAAAACAGACTGAAGAATTGGTTTCAGAACCTGCCGCCGGCTATGCAGGCGAGGAACATCGTTTTTCCACCGCAGCTAGAAGTTCAGTAAGTAAACGATTATGCACTCCAACTATTGAAAGCTAAGAGATGCAGCCTTGAATATCACAGCATCATTGTCGAGCTGTTCCGACGAGGCAGAACCGGGGCAGATAGATCCCTGTCCGCGAGGAGGATTCTCGAATCGAACATTCGAATGGAGACCATCCTGCGAATTTATTACCTCCGTCATAGCTTCGACAGCTTCACTAATACCATGATGGTCTTCATGGTCTACATTGGCAACTTGGCTCTCGAAGGCCTAAGCAGCAATCAGCTGGACAACGCTAGCATTGAAGCCCTCCGATCAACCCTCATTCTGTGCGTCAATGGTCTGAAAAGCTATGGGAAAGCATTCCACGTCTCGAAGCTCGCTTATTATGCTTTAAGCATGCGAATGTCTCCGCGTGACTTACGACTGCTGCAGGCGTATTCTGGCCCAGAAGACAATGCTGTAGACGAGCAAGCATTAATAAGCCATGTTCATAGGTATGCGTGTATATTGCCCACTACTGCACTTATTTGTTTTGTAGTCCTGTTAGTTAATAAATGATAGCTCCTGGCCTATCCCTATCTTCAACGTCAAAGATGAGGACCCCGAGAAAGCGAGGTTAAGAAACCTGATTGAACAAACCGAGAGAGTCTCATTAGCGGACGATTCTAGCTTTAGTAGTACACCTGAGCTGCGATGAACAACCTCTTACCATGTGTGACGCACCAACGCGCACTTCGAACATCTAAACAGCCCTACAACATGGGGCTGTAGAGCCTTACACAATAGCTATTATCGCGAGATTTTTTGGTAGAGAGATAAATAGAGGCTAAGAAATATATCGCGCTATTGATATCGTGTAGAAGGAGTAATGTTGCGGCTACGTCGTGACCTGAGAGGTACTGCGCTTGCCACAGCACCTTGAGGCTCTCCACTACCCGCAGGCCTTACAACAGCTCTTTTTTTAAAAAGCAGTTTTTGCAGAAGCCTTAAGGTTGCGCTTCTTACTCTTTTGCAAAGTTTTAAGAGCTTGTTGAAGTCGTTTTGCAGTCCTGCGAGAAGCTGCCCTAGAGGCCTGTTCACAGAGATGGGAACAATCAATTCAATCAATTTTGAGCCTGTAATTGTTCTTAATTAAAAAACTCCGAGTTCACATTAATATTGACTTAATTAAAGAGGTTTTTAGGCATGTCAATTAATGATTGATTGACTTTTTGATAATTCTTGATGTGTAACTTTGAGTAATCTTGTATACAAATAGTTAGAGATCTGTCTCCCAATTGCATATATCGTAGATCGCAGCTAACTCAGACTTATTTAGAGTATCCTCTGCGTTATTAGAAGGCTTAAAACCTGCCCTCCTCTAACTCCGTACACATTGTATCGCGGCTAGTAGTTGAGATCCGATCTTCCGCCTCTAAGGCTCTAATAGATCGCCAAGCTCGCTAAAGAGGCGCTTACATTAGCTACTAGCTAGTATTGTGAGCAGATCTATCGCGAGTTGCGATAGGTGAGGATATCGCGTGCGTAGGCCAATCTAGTATAGTATAGGGCTGCCTTCCTATGCGAACTGCGCCTTTGTCTACGCTAGCTCATATCGCCGCTAGCAGTTAAGCTTATCCGCCTCTGATATGTTTAGCTCAGTTGTATACTCGCGATCAACGAGCGCATCGATCGCGTCGTCTATAGTGTTTGATCGTGGCGGTAGAGGCCTTCTTGTAGGTAGCGATAGCGGCTTGTATTGCGCCTAAAGCTGTTGTAGGGCATCCTCGTTTGCGGTAAGCTAGTAAGGCTTATCGCGCCAGCTGTTAAAGCAGTAGTTTTTGTAGTACAGGTAGAGGGAAACAGCGCCGTAGTAGGCAGGCGAGGCGTCGAGTTTAGTGTAGTAATCGTTTAGTTTCCGCTAGGCCGCCCTTAAGTTAATAGGCAGGTAGTCCTTAGGAGCGCTATTAGGGCTATAGTCAACGCTATCGTAGGTAGTAATTATCGCCTCATAGGTACTAAGGATATACTCGTATACTGGGATCACCTTATATAGAGCTCCAAATCCACCTGTTTTGCCGCGAGCTTTAAGGTGTTTAGTGGCCTCCTTCAGCGGCCTTAACGCCTCGATATACTCAGTTACTACTGCCTAATCTGCCGCCGATAGGTCATCTGATCGCATCTATAATGGCGCTTCTAGTAGCTTGTTGCCCTTTAATATAGCGTACGCGTCGTCGCGAGCGATCTGCTTAATATAGTGGCTAGAATATAGGTTAAAAGTTTAGGATAGGTGTACTGCACGCTTAAAGTCGTTATGATAGCTGTTCTACTGTGTAACTACAGGCTTAATAGGCTCTAATATTGTTTCTGTTTGTGTGTAAGATTGCTTGTTAACTAAGGCCTGCAGCGAGGCAAACAGATCGTGTTGTTGAGGCGTTTTAATATAGTTAATTATATTAAGCAAGACACCTAGTAGACTATCGCGCCGCTAGTTTTGCAGGTATTTTGTCTTAGCCTAATGCTCCTCTGTATTACTATTAAACGATTGAGTATTAACTCTAAACATAATTGCCTAGCCTACGAGATTAAGCGTATAAGGCGCGCAGCGGAGTCGACGATAGAGCCTGTCGAACTAGTATATATCAGCGAGTTTGGCGATAGCGCTATCGTTTGCGTAGGCGTTGTCGAGGACAAAGTATCTAACTTTTAAGCTATCAACTTGGAACTGTTAGAGCGTTTTGTATACAACTTCAGCGATCCTCTCGCCTGTATAAGCGCCTGTAAGTTAAGGCAGGGTAATAGGTAGGTCCCTAAGGTTGCTAAAGGTATCAGCATAATAAGCAACAACGCCAAAGAACCTGCGTTTACTACCCTTTGTTGTCTATCCGTTAAAGCTTATATGAATTTTGCTAGCAGCCTGTAACAGATCTGCAACAACCAAGGGTTCTAGGTGTCAATAGAGCCTTATAACAAAGGCTGATATACTGCGGTGACTTACCTATAGGGCTTCTGCAGCCGCTAGGTTAGCGTACGCGATCATCTTGCGGAAAGCTAGTGTTTCAAACTCGCGGAGGGCGTGATTGTTGTCGACTAGCCAGCTGACTGCAGCGTATCGAAAGCCTTGTACATTAAATCCTCTAAGCGTGTTTGCAATGTCCTGAGATACAGCTACACGGCTGTTACTTAACAATCGTAGAGACGTTTAGCCGCGAGGCAGCGTAGTACTAGCGAGCCTGCCTTAACAATCGAGGCGATGGCCTGCGCGAGCTTGACCCATATGGCTTATCGCAGCTGTTGTTAAGGTTGTTACCTCTATTGGGCGCATCCCATCTCTGTTCTAGTGTCAATAGCAGTACCTGCAGATCTAGAAAGTCCTTGTAAGGTTGCCGAGTTTGGCGACGCGATAACCGTGCTGGAATACCCAGCTCTTCTTTCCCTTAAGGGTCCTTAAGGGCTTCGTATATTGAGGTATATCAGCCTAGTTAAGGCCGTCAAAAGTATTAGCAAACCGGGCATCTAGCTTACTAGTATTGCCTGTAGTATCGCTGGTAATATCGCCTGCCTCGCTTGTAGCTTTAGTAGCAGCAGTTGAGCCCTTAGCTGGCGGAGGAATCGCGTCTCTAAGTAGCGGATCGAAGAGCTGTAGTTCGAGCGGAGTCTCCTCGGCGGCCTGGCTCGCGGCGATCGTTAAGGCCCTGCCCGGCGAGGCTATAATATGCAGCTTGGGCTGCAATTGCGATGGAGGTTGCGATGGAGGGCTTTGGCGACTAACTCTAACGCGTTTATTAGGTGCAGCAGCACGATTAACAGCGCGTTTAGGAGGCTTTAGGGGCATTATAGGTAGGCGTAGCGCGTAAAATACTGTAAATTAGCGGCGTAGGAGGCGTCTATAACAAGATACTAGATAACGTGTTTGCATAAGCTAGGGCGTTTCAAAACAGATCTTCTGCGAGGTTACCTAGGTGCTGACTAATAAGAACTCCACACTAAAAAATTATCGCGGTATCGATCTTGCGTAGGCCCCGCTAGCCTCATCCTACGCCTCCTATGCTGCGATCAAAAACGATCAATTAGATCAATTTTTTAATCAATTTTAAGCCTCCAATTGTTCCTAATTGAAAAATCTCGAAGGGTAAATTGATTTTGAATTGATTGAGCTTTTGCATCAAGAATCAATCAATTCAATCAAAAAACTTGATTGTTCCCAAGTCTGCCTGTTCAGCAGCCTTCTTAGCCTTCTCCTTCTCCTTTGCCTGTCTAGACTCCTCAAGAATTCTATTTATCTCAGCCTTATGGCGTTGTAGCAGCCCCTTCGCGCGCGCTCCTACAGACCGACAATTAGTCTTAAAGTTACCGCCAGACGATGTTACTGTGAAGCAATGGTATCATCTGAGATATTGGGCGCATGGGTTAGGAGAGTTGCGTTGGATTACTGACAAACATAAGATAAGTCGCTATTCGGTGATGTAGCTATTCGTAGATATCTATACAAGGCACTGGGCCTACGCTGACTTGGCGTGCTGGCAGCTAATAGGCAGCCGCGATCAGAAGCCAGGCTCGAGAATTATGGTTTCCGGTGGGAGAAGACATCACGGCCGACGATAAGTATTGTAGGCGAAGCCTAAGACGGGATCTACTGCAGCTTCTCCAGAATATATGAGAATGATCGCAATAGTAACGAAATTAGGCTTTAGGATATAGTAGGGTGCGCCCTAGTATATAGAAGATGTGCTATTGAGTTTGCGATTAAATCCTCGATAGACCGTGAAGGATGTATTGTTGTCGCCCTACACAACCTGTCGAAAGAATGTATTCCTACGCCTACTATTTGTTGTACATAATGAATTGTAACCGGACGTGTAGCGATTGAAAAGCTTTGCTGAGTGTCACGCGTAGTGTCAAATTTGTGGCTTCCGGCAAACGGCTGTATATTCAGCGACCATTTCGAGTGCCGCATCTGCTCGAGCTATCCTCGTGGTGGGTAACAGTCGAATTGTTGTTGTTGCTGTTGTTGTTCTGGCGGGTATTCCACATTTGAACCCTGCCCACCATCATGACTGTCTTGTGATGTGTTCACATGTGACAGGTCCAGGTCAAAAGCATTTAAACATCCTGGTTGGTCCCACAGGCTTTGCATGTTCACAAATGGTACACCAAGGTTAAAGTTGGTGAAAAATGGATTGTCAAAGGGCATCGGTACTATGAATTCGTCCGGCAAGTAAAACGGATCGAAGCTGTCTTGATGTCCAGGCAGATTGTCCAGTGGGTAGTACTGAGAAGGCCGAGGGTCGAAAGTGCTACTGGTATCCATTGAATTCAGGCGAAAGTTCTCCTGTGGCACCTCCGCAGTTTGCTGGGCGTTGTATGGGATATAATAATGCTGGTAAGCATTAGGTCCTAGAGTTTCTTCTTCATACAAGTCGAGCAGTTCATCAGCCTGGGATTGCAGAGCCGGAGAAAATCTCTTAAGAACTCCCTTGATGACATGGTGTGCTCGAGCGGCGACGGGATCGTTATGTCGCATTGCACGTAACCAGCGAATCAGTTTTCTGATGGAAACGACCATGCTAGGCTCAGAGCTCTCCATCTCTTTGTTCCTGTAGGTCATTTCTAATATGAGTACCGCAATTGATTGCATGACTAGGACGGATAAAATCAATTCATGTTGCATATTTCACGCTTGGCAAAACTTACTAAAATGAACAATTGCCCACCATGGCCCCTTGGAGTAGATGAAATCAAGGTCCGGATCGTCAGGAAATAGTTTGGTCATTTCCAAAGCAGCTCCGACGCAAGCTTCCGCGCTTGTCTTGTTGAACTCGACAGAAGCCTTGCTCTCGTTACGAATGCGCCGCTCTATCTTGCATAGA